ATCTGTGGTAGACTGGTCCTGGAGTATTTGATGAAGGTAAGTTTGGCGACATATTTGGAGCAATTCACCTCAAAAGCCAGAGGCACCAGGTGGGGGACATTAGATTTTGCAGTGCGTGGTGCTGGGGAGGCCAGACCCGCCCTCTCCTTGTGGGTCACAACCGTTCTGTCCGCGTGGCCATGGGACAAGGGGAAGCAGGACAGTGCTGCCTGCAGTGGGGAATGAGATGGCACCTGCAGCGCAACGTGATTTAACATTCTAGTGACTCTCCAGATCCTAAGCTGTAGGGTTGGGGTATTTATAACATTTTGCCTAAAAGCTTCTGTAAAAGGTTCTCAAGCCATTCATTATTCAGATCATTCAGAGTGCATACTTCCCAAGTCACCCTAAAAATAGAACCCGTTTCCCCCATCAGCTCCGTCCCGGTGCTGGGGCGCGGGCCACGTGCTCTGAAGGAAGCGGCAGACGGGGAAGTCACATTTCATCATTTCATGGGAAAGCAAAGGGGTTTTTTTTTTTCTGGCTCAGTGTTAGAGCTGTTATGTGTACCTTAGCTTGTAATAGACAAAAATCCAGTCCTGCTGTATCTCTACTCCTAAATTCTTTTTCCGCAGCTTATGTTCTGACTCCTCTGTATGTCTCTTCCATTTGTCTTGAGAAATTCTAAATATAATCTTCTTGAAAGTCACTACTTAATGGTTTCTAGGATAAAACCCTAGGCGATCGATCGGTAGTACTGGATGGTTTCCACTTAAAGTAGTTGAGAGGCTTTTAAACTTTTGATCGTGACGCAAGAAGAAATTTAGATCATAACTTAATACACGTTCTCACATGTATATGACAGAAAGTTTTCTTGAATCACTGCATTCATGTGAGGCCCTGGCGTTTTCTCTCATTGTACTTGTGAAAAATGCTTCTCATGAGCTGCCAGTGGAATTGGAACTCGTGTTTAAAAATCACTGCCCTAGGGCATCTGGGTGGTGCATTCGGTTAAGGATCTGACTCTTTTTTTCAGCTCAGGTTGTGATCTCAGAGTCGGGAGATCGAGCCCCACGTCAGGCTCTATGCTCAGCAGGGAGTCTGCTTGAGATTTTTCTCTCCCTCTACCCCTCCCCATTCTCTTTCTCTCTCTCTTTCTCTCTCTCTTTCTCTCTCTCTCTCTCTCTCTCTCTCTCTCTCTCGTCAACAGATCTTTAAAAGAAAAAAATCACTGCCCAGCCATACCAGCACACACCCCTTACTTGCTTCTGGTGCTTTTCTCCCCACGTGGTGTCTGCTCCCCTTCTGCTTTGATGTGACACGCGGAGTCCTAGCCCTGTTCTCCCCATAACCTCTGTGCTATTCCTCACGTCACATCCTTCGAGGACAGTTCTAACCTAAAGATCAAAAATCTCCTTTGTTTCTTAGATGGATGTGTTCTTTGAGAAATCGAGTCTCATTTATTTTTGTGAGGGCAGCAGAGCCTGGCGCCCACTTGGGTGCTGGCCGGAGCTGCCAGCGCTCACCCAGGGAAGCCGGGGAGAAGCCCGAGGGCCGTCCTGGGGTTTCACCGGAGCTTCGGGCTCCAGTGACTCACCGTGGTGGCACGATACTTCTCCATGGCGATGGCACATGCTTGTCCCTTTGCTTCTTATTTAAATGGGAATAGTTATTTTGAAGAGGGGAAGGGCAACCTTCGATACAGTTAATCATCTCTTAGCAAGCTCCCAGGAATGGAATGGAAGTTTTTGCTTCGCCTTATCTGACACATTTCAGGGCCTCCGTTTTGCCTTGTCATTACGTTGGAAAGCAATTTGGTGGCTTGTCAGAAGGGAACACTTACATCTGTGTCACTAACCTGCGTATCTTCGGCCTCCGAAAGAGTGTGACACTAAGTAAGGCTGAAACTGACAGCAGTTACCCCCGAAGCACCAGAAATGCCAGTATTCTCTGGATGAGCTGAAACTGGTTTTTGTAGGCTCTTCTAGTTAACATGATGCTTGATGGAAATAATTACATAATACAAATTGTAAAAATTGGTTTGATTAATGTATTTTCATGACACTGGTGTAACGTCAGGAAGTTGTGGTGGCCTCACACACTGTCCGTGACCCAGATGTCCTCGAGATGCTCCTGCTTCTCGTGTTGGCATAAAGGCCACTAGTAGGCTTTCTGACCCCCTACTAGAGATCTTCTGTGGCACCGAAGACGTGTTTTGAAATTGGTACATTGGTATGTTGTCATTAAGCTAAATACTTTACATTGCCTGAAGTTTCTATAGTTCTGGCAACAGTGGGGTGGTTACCAACATGTTCCATGTTGTGAAATGTTGGTTTAAGCCAATTTCTTGTGACCGTGGGCTGTTCCATACTCGATCCCTATTTTTTTTTTTTTTTTACAACCTGGCTTTTTATTACAATCACACTTGATGCAAACCAGAGAAAGCCTTCGGTTTGCCTTATGGGTGAGGTTGCTTCATCTTCGGCTATTTTAACAACTGTGTGTGCATTTGAGTGAGAAAACCTGTCAATGTCCAGATGAAGCTGCCGAGCTTGACCGCAAGTGCCCCAGGTTTCCAGTTACTGCTCTGTTTGAGGAAAGCAGAGGCCCAACAGGAGATACTGTCACAGAGAACGCCCCAAATGGACATTTCAGTAGGACCCCACCATGTCTCGTCAAAGTGCCATCATCGAGTCTTAGTACAGACCCACACTGTATTGAACCAGGGTCCCAGCTAGAAACCTAGGGCTGGTGCATCGCTGTGTTTCCCTGCCACTTACTAAGATGCAGGACGGAGTACTAGTTGAGAGCATGGACTCTGGAACCAGTCTGATCAGATAGGAACCTTGAAGTGGTCACACCCCTGTCTGGGCTCTAGGTTCCCTGTCTGTGAAATGGGCATCATATTAATGCCCACCTCTTACTGTTACTGTGAGGATTAGGTGTGGCCTGAGCACACCACCTGCTTTGCTACCATAGCCCTTAGTGGCAGGTGCCTGCACCAAATTGAAGGCACTTGACCAGTTTACAACTCTCATGACCTCTCCCCAGCAAAACAGCATGGGCATGTTAGGTGTTTTGTGAATGTTTATTAAGATGCACTTATGTTAATGATGGGACCGTAGCCTTTCAGAGATGGGAGGGTGAGAGACCCCTTCAGGTGAGCACACCTTTGGTTGTTTGCATCTGTGTCCTCCTCCTTCGCTGGTAGCAGAGGGGCCAGGGGCAAGTGGCAGTAGCACCACTCACATCAGGTAGATGTCCAACTTAATGGTCGGTAGTCAACACACTTTTGGTTTTTGATAGTAGAGTCAACTAACATTCCCGCTGGCTTCGTAATTAAACCAGTCAACCAAAGAGCAGAAATGTCCCCCTGTCTCTTTAGACATCAATGATGCCTGCCTTCCTTGGACCTTCTGCTGACAGCTGCTTTTGTTCAGATCTCTACAGCATTAACGGGCACCCGTAGGTTTGCAGTAGATGGGGTCTCTCCATGGTGGGTTTTAGCAGATGTAGCCAAGAAAATCAAAGGAAGGAGAAATCCCATCGTAAGGATTGGGGCTAGATTCATGCTTCACATATACCCAACCAGTGGTAGATGATATCTTACTCTCCTTCATGCATCATTTAGAGGAATAGATAGCTTTCTAGTTAATCAAATTTTTAACTACCTAAAAGGAAGTCTTGAGCTTGCAGCAAAGCATTTCAATGAATCTTTCATATTTACCAGCTGCTGCTTTTTACAAGCAAGAAGAGAAGCTTTTCAAGTACATTTAAAAAGTAGTTTCTGTAAATTTAGAGAGTTCCTCGGTAAACCAGGGAAGAGTGAAAATAAGAGCCCAGGATTTGGGATTAGGAGTTTGGATTCTCTCTTGGGCTTTCCCTTAGGCTAGCTGTGGAACAGGTCGGATTACACCCAAAAGAACTTTTGAGCTGTTAGGCATTTTGAATATGGTAGAAGCAATTACATGTTTTTATATGACGGTAACAGACTTACACCCTGGGGTCACCTAAATGTCAGAAGCTATGACACGAGCACCCCTACAGCAGGACATTGAGTCAGCAAGACCTGTTGGACACCCTGTGGTCCAGGCTCGGTGACTCCTAAACCTAAAGTATGACTTCCAGGTGACTCCCAGAGTCTGAGGGGGCTTGTGCGCTCCTCCAAGTGAATCTCCTCTAGGTCTCAAGTCAGAAAGATGGATGCTGTGGGATAGGACAGAGACAGGGGGAAGAAGGGCGGTATGTCCAGAAATGAACCAGCAGACTAATCCATGAACTTGGATTCCAAAGTAGTGTACTTGGAAGATTGAAAACTTGAGGCCATTTTTTTGATGAGAAGTAATTTCTAAGATTTCTTAACAACTCGATTATTGTTTTTTCCCTGGACTCTCAGCTCCCAGGAAGCTCTTTACAGCACCATATTCGAATGTTCCCAATGTTTCATTACTGTCGTCTCTGTAAACTGGGCCAGCTGTGACCCCAAAGCCTCTGTGGTCCTGAATGTCCCTTCCCTTACTGATTGCATGCTCCCCAATTCCAAGAGTTGATTTGTTTGCTTTCGGGTGGGCAGCAGACACACTGCAGGAGCTCAGGCACCTAAAGATCTGGTGTACAAGGCCTTGGACTCACAGGTCTCCAGGCAGTGGCTGTCTGCCACACACCGGGGCTTCTGCCTTCTACCCATCCCTGCTGTACTCCAGTGTCAAGCCCTCCCCTTTGTCTCTATTAGTAAAGAAACATTTTTTTTCATTGAAGTATAATTGACACACAGTATTACAGTTAGTTTCAGGTGTGCAACATAGTGATTGCACAAGTCTGTACATCATGCTGTGCTCACAAGTGTAGCTGCCGCCTGTCATCATACAGCACTGTTACTGTACCCTGGACCCTGTGCTGCATCTTCCATCAGAGACTCATCCCAGAAACACTGTATTAAAGAAACGTACCAAACATTTTTTAAGAATGCTGACACTTAATGGTTACATGAGGATATTAACTCTTTGCTCTTTTCCCAACAGACACGAGACGACTTCCTGGGACAGGTGGACATACCCCTTAGTCACCTCCCGGTAAGGACCATTACCTGCTTAATGGTGCATGTTGTGAGCAGCGGTTTCTAATGGATTCTGGTTAGGTATCTTTCAGAGCAATATTTCCTCAAGGCAGTGGAGCAGGGTGGAATGAAGAGCATGTGGTCTAGTCCTGCCCCTTTCTAGAAAGTGGCCGTTTCAGGAGGATGGGAGAGAACTTAATTGTAAAAACCAGCTGTATCTAAATCATCCAAGTATGCCTGTCTGCACCACCAGCTTCTGGTCTTCTTTTGTCACATCATATAAAACAGCTCCCTTTCTCTCTCAAACCCTCCTTCTTGTCATTGAAATGTCTTTACTTTCAAATTTATCCTTTGGGTCCATTCAGGCATTTGTTCCCTTTGTCTAGAATGACACACTCTATTTCTCTTGGGCTATATCCATATAAGCTAGTGCTTCCCAGATTTGGGTGTATGGCTTTTCTCAGGCAGCATGGAGACAAAAGATGCTGTGGGTTCTGAGTGAACTTGTCAGCTGGAAACACCCCCTCCAGCGTTAAAAACTGTACTGAGTTAGCCTGTGTGGTGTTGCTACCGTTCCTCTCTGCTCAGATGAGTAGCAGAGCAGTTGGGGCTTTTGACCAATAATTGAGGCTAAAGATCTCTTCACGCTTCAGAGGGTAATCTAGGTAGAGTGGGGAAGCAGGACCTGAAGGCTGTGATGAAAGGCGGATCAGCTTGTAGTTCAGCTTTAGTTTTCTAGATTGTTCCCTCCCTTATCCTAGCCCTTCTTCCTTTGGGCAGCACAGAGTGACTCTAGTAGCACCTAAGAGAGGATAAGTCAAATGTTTCTGCCTTCCAAGGGCATTTTGTTAATTTTTTTTAATGCTTTGTTTGAGCAAAGAGCATAAATAACCTACAAACTAAAATGCCTTAAATCACCTAGTCTCCGTCTACAGCTGAATTGAAATCATGGCTATTACTGTATGTTAAGTACCAAGAAAGACTATGTCTTACCCAGGAAGCTCTGAAGATGTATTGTGAAGGCATGTGATAGCAAGCTATTTATTATTTACTCGGGGGAGCTATTAAGGAAGAAAGGTTTCAAGCACATTCCCTTCCGAAAAATTGGAAGCAAAAGTGATATTGTTAAAATATTTTTGTTTCTATATAAAAACCTGAAGCTCCAAGGTACTTGCAGAGAGTGCACGTGTGTGCATGAGACTGACTCCATAAGCCATCAGAAGCCTGATTCTCCTTTTAGAGTCTCAATGAGAGGATATAGAAGTCTCAGCATTGGAAAGGAAAGATTTCACCTGTTTCTGCATCAGTTGGTCTTCTGTTTAGGCTCTTCAGGTTGAAACTGTAATCTCACAATTCGAGGCAGTGTTGGTTAGCCAGTTCTTTGACGGGTATTCATGACCACCTTTTTCCCTAACATAAAACCCAAATCTCGGCAAGGCAAATTTATGTACCTAATACCCTCTAAGAGGTATAAGTGGAATCTTTTAAGCAACCTGTTACGCCAATCCCTTGTTTGAGTGATTGAGTGCAAATTGGTTTTGAAAGGTTGGGTGGGACTCCCAGAGAATATAAGTGTGTTCCTTTTCAGAGACCAAGTCAGTAGAGGGAATAATTTAGCTTTGGGTTTGGGTGGAGGCAAGAGTGAGCTTTCAAAGAAGGAAGTGGTGCCAGAACTGGAGGCTGGAACAGAAACCAGCCAATGAAAGAAAGTGGCCAGTGACTGCCTGGAGGGAACTGAGGACTTCTACATGACCTGAGCTGGTTGAGTGATGGAGCCACCCAGTTTGGCATCTGCCCAACCATTAGCTTACATTGGAGTGCGATAATCTCCACTCTACTAGCTTCATGGAGCCAACAGCAGTCTGGGAAGTGGACCACCGAGGAAGCAGAAGGAGAGGAATGAGGGTGCATTCTTCACCTTCCAAGTGGTGGAAGGACCCAACCAGCATCTTCTGAACAGACGCAGCTTTGGGACTCAGGATTTGAGGTGCTGTCGTGTGTCCATTTGATTGTACCTGAAAGGCACTCGTGGGAAAATTTCACAGTGTCCTTATATTTTGTAGATCACAAATGTGGGTGAGAGAAATGGGTGTTAGCATTTGAATATATTTTGCAGAGTCAACGGCGGTCACTCTTTTCTTGATGGCTCCCTAAGTATTGTGGAAGGCTCAGGAGTCCATATTGGTCAACATCATCAAATTTTAGATAAAGAAAATTGTCTCATGAGCAATGAGAGAAGATACAAAGAGCAGTGATGTCATGGTAGCGTTACATTTGCCATTGCCAACCTGTGCAAGCCTTTTCCGCGTTGAAAGTATTTGACCGAGTGTTTGATTATTAATTTTGTGCAGCCCCAGTAGCTGATAGAGAATATATTCCTTCAATAGCTGTTTGCTGACGGACAGGATTCTAGTCTCTGAGGAGAATCCAGGGAAGCAGCTTTTTCCCTCACGCCAGCCTGGCATTGTCGCTCATTACAGTAGCCACATGTGGCCAGTTGGGCATTTGAAATGTGGCCAGTATGACTGAGGAGCCGAATTTATCATTTTATTTCATGTTAATTAAAATTTTAAAAGGCACCTGTGGCAGGTGGCACCATATTGGATAATACAGTGAGGGTGAAACAGTTCCCTGGCATGGATTTAAAAAAAAAAGAAAAAAGATTCAGATTCTCTTCTCCTCAGATAATAAGTATAGCTTTTATTTTTTATTTTTAATAATTATAGCTTTTAGAGGGAGACCCAACCCCCCCCCCCACTAATTACTTAGTGATTTTTCATTTCCTTTTTCCCCCCCTACCTGGACTGTTTCTTGCTAGTTCTGTGCATCTGATATACCAAGAACGGTTATGTAGTAATAAAAAGCCCAGGTCATTTAAATCATTGAAACTAAAAAGAGGTGATTTTTGTTATTTTTTTGAAATCTATGTTAGCAGAACACCTAATTGCACGTGGCCCTATGTTAATGCACACACAATTTATTTATTTTAAGATCTTCTAAACCGAGAATGAGGCTTTATCTTACTGTCAATGATAATCAGGAACCTTTATTCCTTTAAAAGAAAAAAAAATCTCTGTCTTGATTCTGGTTTAAGAAGTTGCCTTCATTTGAATGAAGCTCTTTTCTAAACCAAGAGCCTCATGGAGCAGATCCAAGTAGCAGAACTAAACTTAGTGTAATCCCTCGTGATTGTTAAGAAATTATGTTTGATAGTTTAAATCCTAGTCTGTGTTTTGTGTATGTTTGCAAAATAAATATTTTAGATATAATAATTGGTGTTTGCTGAAGAAGCTTCTCCCTTGCTGATATTCTAGAGGCATATTGGCTCCACTGCCAGTGGATATTCGTGCCTGTTGTGTAAAACCTTGCTTTTAGGATCTTAGGAGCAGCTTACCTGAGCTGTCATGACTTGGCAGCTGTAAGTTCACTGACCTCAGGAAGACTGGAAGGTCAGGGAGACCCTGCCTCTCAGTGGACTAGTCCAGAAGCAGCCCCTTCCAGTGGTGCACAGCATGAAGTTACAAGCACCTTGGCATCTTGGACCTGGTCACACAGGTCCTGCTTGGCCTCCTGCCCGACGTTGGGTCCCTGGAGTAGTTATGAGCCCTGCTGGGCCCTGTGGGCCGTTGTGAGGGGCTGAGTTGGATTTTTGCCAGGGTGACAAGTGGAGGAGGCCCTCGGGACAGAGCGGGGGGCTGTGTGAGACCAGGTGTACCCTGCGTGTCAGTCACCACCTCAGTTACCCACCACAGTGGCCAGTGGAGCCCAGGGTCTGCTCCATCCCTGTCCCTTCAGCAGGGAAGAGTAAGGAGTGATCATGTGAAAGAAAATCTTTTTCCTGTTCTGATGATGGATCCCTCCGTGCTTCATACTCCTCACATGCTTCCAGAGGAAAGCGAGTAATTTTAGACTTGTGATTCACTTTCCTCCTTCCTTGGCCCTCAGAGTTGGCTCTCCCAGTTTTATTTATGGAGGAAAACGTGGAAGGGGCACCTGGGTGGCTCAGTGGTGTGAGCGTTTGCCTTTGGCTCAGGTTGTGATCCCAGGGTCCTGGGATCGAGTCTCACCTATGTCTGTCTGTCTGTCTCTCTCTCTCTCTCTCTCTCTCTCGAATAAATAAATAGAATCTTTTAAAAAAAAAAGTTAAACATGGAAAGCAAGAGGACACAGGAGCTCAGAATGGGAGGGACCTCTCTTTCCTTTGCTCCCATTCCAGGTTTGCCACTCATCTTTCATACTTGTCCATTTTATTGGTTTTTGAGGGTGGGAGCGAGGAATAAGAGGAGAGGGGGAATGGGGAAGAGCCAGTAAGGTTGGTGGCCTGACCTTTTATGCAGATCCAAGCATTAAGAAAACATCAGTTCATGTTCACACAAGTCTCCAAAGGTCAGGCTTTAAAAGATCTCTCCAGAATGGTTGAGTCGAACCTGGGAGATGGGCGAGTCACCCTGGTAACCTTAAGAAGTTAGTCATCCTTCCTGGGCCTCTGCATTGACACCTGTAAAAGGAGGCTTGTGCTAAATGACACCGAGTTTCCACCCCGCTCTGTGAGAGCGCATCTCTGCTGCTCTGTGGCTCCCTGAGCAGAGGCACCGGCGACCGTGATGACGTGCATGTCACCTGGGAGACTCGGGTGGCAGGGCTGGCTGGAATGGGGGGGCGGGGGGCACCAGCCCTAAGCTCAGCCGTGACTCTCATTCTCTGGCCGATTTTTCCACAACTACCATTTTTACATCTGTCTGTGAAATTCAGTGTGGCGGTGGGGGTGTCATGTAAAAAATTTCATGACTTTTATGTTCAAGTGCTAGGACTTCAAGCTTATGACTTGCTTTTACTAATTACTTAGAGACAGAACCGCTCCAAGACCCATTTTAACAACAGAAGGACGTTTCCTGGCAGGTGTTTGCCTGTTAGGCCTCTGAAATTTTTCTCGCATCTTCTTTCCACTGTGTCGCCCCAACGCACCCAGCGCACTCAGCTACAGAAGCTCTGGACCCGTGGGAAACAGCCGTGGTACAGACAGCTAGTTTAAGAACAGTAATTTCTCCTGTTTTAGTCAAGTGCTGCTCGGGGCCGCCGTCAGGGTAGCTTTGGATTTCAGGTTTCGAAGCACTTTCAGGGTGATGGTATTGGTTTTAGCACCGTAGCTGTGCTTGAAGGCGACTCAGGTGATAAGCACCTGTGCCGGTAGCAAGGTCATGGTTCCCGCTCACCTGTAGAATTCAGCAACCTGGAGCTTCACGGGACCTCAGATGCTGTTTGTCTGCTCCCTGTGTTTTACGGATGAGGATACCTGGGGCCAGACCTGAGTCTCCAGCACTGATCAGTGATGTAGTCAAGAGCCTGGGCGAGGGGTCAGAGGGGGCTTACTCTAAGGCTTGGGGGCTTTTGGTTTTGAGTCTAGCGTCCTGATGATTCTGTTGGCTTCCATTTGCCCACAAAGCTGGTTAACTCCCTGTATGTTAAGCTGTTGCGGTTCTGCTGAAAGCTACTACCCTTTTTAAGATGAAAGTGCTGCGCGTCCAAAAGATTTTCTTTGGAATGGCCAGTGTCCCAGAACAGGAGGCAAAAGCGTCCACTTTGCCCAGTAATTCCATCAGCATCAGCCTGTTTGAGATGGCTTTCTACCAGTGCTGTCCTGGGAACCTCCACTGGGCTTTTTTCCAGCAAATAGGATCAAGCGGACTGTGGGATAACGCCAGGAAGAGTCCTATCACGCTCTGCAAGATCACCATCTTGTTCCACATGCAAAAATGTCCATGGAGGTGGATTTTCATTTTTAACGCCCTGCCCTGCCTTTTGTTGGAGCACGTTGAGGTGGCAGTACTCACAAGTGACAGGCAAATGAAGAATTAGCTGACGATGATAAGTGGTCAGCGTGTGTGAAGTGAGCCAGGCACCCTTGCAAGGGTTTAATCCTCACAGCAGCTCTCTGAGATCCTGTTACAGCCCCACTTTTTTAGATGAGGATACTGAGGCACAGAGAGGTAAGGGGCTTGCCCTTGGCTCTGTCCGTAAGGAAGCCCAGACACAGACCTAGAAGGTCTGCCTCTTGGTGGTGTGGTGGTTGACATTTAAATTGCACAGCGTGTGGACAGGTTCATTTTCAGATTAGTTCCTCCAAGCTCTGTGGTCCCCTCTGCTTATTGTCTCTTGCTCTCTGCTGATCCTAGAGCCCTCCTGCCTGCTTAAGGACCTGGTAGGTCTGTTCTTGCTCATTTCCTCAGCTTGAACTACCGTTCCTCCCAATCCGGCCCCTGTCCAGACTTGCCCATTCATCTCAGAGTGGACCACACATCCCCAAACTATTTGATCTCCAAGTGAGAATCCGTGTCTGCCCTCCACCCTGGGTCCCGTGGAACGTCATCTCTACACGTTGGTGAATTTGTCCCACCCGAGGTTCAAGTTACTTGTTGATACCATGGCCCCTGCTATATACATCCATGTTTTAGCCACGTCCTTCATACGAGTATTGTTCTAAAACCATTTGTGGTTGAATAAATGTGAAAGGGAAGAAATAGAATAGTATTCTTGATTAATAAATTTTCTGTAATAAGTGGTATATGTTTGGAAACATCTTTTTTTCAGAAAATGTTTCCAAAATGGCTAACTGTATTGCCTGAAAGAGGACTGCCTAGAGAATCTGACTGACTTCCTTGGTGACAGTGAATTTTCATGGCCTCGACAATTTACTATAGCTCAGATGAGTTAATCAGCTACTTGTACAAGTGCCTGCTTTGCACCAGGCAGTATTCTTGGCACCAAGGATTTCATGGTGAGCAAATCCAAGTCTCTGATCTCATGAGTTTAGTTCTGAAAGTGATAGATGACAAATTCATTAATAAATAAATGAGCAAGATAATTTCAGATAGCAAAAAGGGGGAAGATAAACCAGAACGCTCTGATAGAGGACAGTAAGGGAAGGCTAATCGTGGCCGTTAGGATGCAGCATCTGAGGATATGACCTGGGATCTCATACCTGGTTGCAAAGTGGAGCCAGCCGAGGCCATTTCGAGGCAGAGCTGTCCAGCAGAAGGACCTACTAGGGCAGGATTGGACATGACGTGCACCAGGAGAGATGAGGCCAGTACTGTTGGAGCAAGGGGTGAATGGAAAGACTGGCTCACGGTGAGGTTATAGGTAGTGAAAAGCCAGGTTATGTTTAACCTTCTAGGAAAGAATTTTCAGTTTATTGTAAGCAGAGTAGGAAGCCATTGGAGTTTTATGTAGGGAATGACATTTCAAATAGAAATGCGTACATACACACCCCCCTGGGAAACAGTCAGTAAATCATAAAACCGTGGTTTGTCTCTCTTGCTATAAATACTTTATATTGTTGCTAATTAAAGAGCCTAGGCATTTGAGGTTTTACTATGTATAGTATTTAAAAATTAATGAAATAGTAACGTTTATTTTTACAACTGCCGCCTTGATTTGACCGATGAATTTTGCACAACAAAATGAGGACTTATTTCTTTAAAAAAAAAAAAAACCACAATTACATTGTATAGCTCCGTGAAGTAAGTGCCAGCAAGGGGCTGATTGATGGCACTACCTAAACTGGTCTCTGTGGAGGGGATAATCCTTCAGTTGTCTTAGGCTGGTGATGTGATACTTTAATGTTAAAAATAAAGCAAAATTGCCTTCACAGGCATATTTTCCTGTTAACTCCATTTTTAGGTTTCCTGGATCACAGGGACAAGAAGGCACCAGTGACCACTGGTTCTCTGAAATTAATCATCAGTGAGATTGAGGCCTACACCCTGTAGTTAGAAATTAGACTTGGCAGTGACGACTGTAATTTTGTCATTTGTCGAAGGCTGGGGTTGGCTCCTAAAAATGGGTGTTGATGGTGACATCTAGTGGATCCTGGGTAGATAAAGTTTTGTGACCTATACAATAATTACTCATCAAATACTGGTTGAAGAACCAACCCCATTTTCACCTTTCCCACATTCAAACACAAGAATGTGGGTTCTCTATAACCCAGTTTGCTGTATCTAAAATATGACACTATCAGGAGTTTTGAAACTTGCTTTTTCTTCCAATAGACTGAAGATCCGACCATGGAGCGACCCTATACATTTAAGGACTTTCTCCTTCGACCAAGAAGGTGAGGCTTTGGGGTACAGATGTCCTTCATGCTTTGGTCTTTTGTTTTCTCTAAGGAAGACTTCAGCTTCTTTTCCTTTTGTATCTTTTTAAAATGTCCTCATAAATATGAAAGATGTAACCAAGTCATATCCTTTATAACCAATTTTCTTCTGTTACGCAGTCATAAATCTCGAGTTAAGGGATTTTTGCGATTGAAAATGGCCTATATGCCAAAAAATGGCGGTCAAGATGAAGAAAACAGTGAACAGAGGGATGATATGGAGGTAAGTTGCGGAGCTCCAGGCCTTGATCTGTTTACCTTGCCCAAGATCATACTAATATTTCATTTAAGCCTTTATAACAAGGAAATAAAAGTGGACAGACCTTAACTATGAACAAACTCACCTGGATCTTTGACCCTCTACCAATGTGGTTAGCTTTACTTAAAAAAAAAAAAAAAAAAAAAACTACACACAAAAGATAAGCTTTTCATTTTATGTTACAGCACTGATAATTGAAGAGTCTCCTCTTTATAAAATGCTGTACCCACATTTCACAAGCAGCCCCCACCCGTGTGTGAAATTCTGCTCACCATATTTCATCCTCTTATTTCTTTGGACTTTCAGCCCGTTGTAAATGTGCTCATAGTACTTGGAATTGCTTCAAAGTGGATGAAATGATTGAGAAAAGCTTTTCCAAGTTTCTTAGGCATTGGGCCAACAGGTGTTGCATTAGGAAAGCTCTCGTCTAGAAATACCATTTTGGAATTAGCTGTCCAGAGGATTTTTTCTTCCCTCCTGGCATAGCTACCTTTTATAACTCCTTAGTCACAGACCTACATCGTGGATGCCATTGTACTTTCCCCGAGCATGCTTCATACAGTGCTGTTATCTCCTATGGTTCTGAAAATGTGCATTACACAGGGCCCCTCTAGGGCTTACTCGCACATCTGTTTGCAGCTGTGGCATATACGTGATTCGTGAATTATGTGTTATGGGCAAGTGATCGGAACCCTCCCCAGGCCAAGTGGTCATATTTCTGGGCAGTGTTTCACTCGTGCACTTTCTGTCTATGGGGAGGAGCGAAGCAGGTGGTAGGCATGTATGAATGTTAAGGTTTCATAAGCACATCGACAGATTTTTATCTCAAATCCAAGGAATTTTTTACACTCTTGTAGCTTTCCGACTGCACTAACCAGTGAATTAATTTTCCAGTGACTTTACTCGGGGATGTTAGGAGGGAATACTTAATGACTAAAATATGTGTTGCAAAAATGCAACTCTTAACTCTGGTACCATGAAGCCTTTATGGGGCGGCGGCAAGTGGGAAGGGCCGAAGTGGACGGCAACTTCCCAGACTTCTGCTCTCATGGTTGTACCTGATGCAGAGGGGGAGCCCGATGGCCTTCCAGAGCCTGCCCCAGCCCAGTGCCATCCTCCCTGGGGAGCCCACCTCCTGGCCCCTCGTGCCGTGCTCTGTCAACAACACACATGCAGCATGGCTCATCGCCCCGGCTCCCTCTTACCGTATGGAGGTGTCGAAAAGACAACAGTTGGAACATGACCCATGTCTCTGGCATGACTCTCTACCGCCCTGGAGGCCTTCAGGTCAAAATAACAAACCTGAATGTGAAAAGAGAGTAACGTGACTTTACACAACAGACCATACATATCCAAAGCTGTGTTGCTCTGTACAGTGAGGTCAAGTTCGAAGGCAGCACAACTACTTGGTCATTGCTCAGAGTTTACTGAGACTCTTCTAGAATTGATTTTTCTTTCTTTCCTTTTTTTTTTTTGGCCCTTTTTGGGAATTTCTTCACACATGGCATGTGAAGCTACTGAAAGAGCCAGAGTACAAAGGAATAAGGATAAAGGACCCAGAGCACAGGGTGGTGGTTTTTCCTCCCATGTAAAGGGTCTGCCCCAATGATCTTCATTCGCTTTTTATTCCCATAGCATGGCTGGGAGGTTGTGGACTCGAATGACTCAGCCTCTCAGCACCAGGAGGAGCTTCCTCCACCCCCACTGCCCCCAGGCTGGGAAGAGAAGGTGGACAACCTTGGTCGTACCTATTATGTCAACCACAACAACCGGACCACCCAGTGGCACCGACCAAGCTTGATGTGAGTACTGTCCCGTGGGCAGGAAGGCATCCGCACGCTCCAAGGTTGGCACCTGGTGGCTCTTTGGGGCAAGAGGGGAAATCAATCCTGTATCAGAAAAAGCGTGTGGTTGGTTGCAGAGGTTGTTGCAGAACCGGGTTCCTCTTCATTTCATTAAAGAGCACAGGAACCCGTCAGAATTCACATGTGATAAAGCAGCAGCTCTTGCCTTTGTATCCTATTCGCCTACTTGAAGTATGAACTGATTTGTTTTATCTTTTTATATAGGCTCATGAATACAGAGGTTATTTCTCCCAGATTAATCATAAGTACAGTGATTATATCACTTCCCTCCTCTTCGTCTTCCTTTCCTGACCCAGAAAGAAAAACAGCAGTCGGATTAGCTATGCAATTTTCTCTCAAGTTTTTAGATTATTTATTCCCTTTAGTTATTTGATTTGGAAGTGCAACTTATTTTTTTCCTTTTTCGGAAATTTATAAATCACCCCCTTGATCTAACTAGACACCCAGGGGGAGGGCTGCAAACTCAGAATTAGTCATTACTGCTTATTCTCATCCCTCACCAGCCTCAGGGATGTAGTGAATTGATTACTGTTTTGTTCACAGAGCAATTTTGTATTTGATGGTAGAAAGTAAACACTAGTTAGACCTCAGCTACATTAAAAAAGGATTTAAAGCAGCTTGTTTTTAAATCATAGTATACAGCAAGGCCTAAAACTAATAGTATGCGATAAAAGGCAAAACAAAATAATTGAAGGAAAAGGAAAAAATTATCTTTGAAAATTTGAGCTCCCTAGCAGCCATGACAAGGAGGGTAATTATCGGTGAGTTGTGTAATTTTCAATATGTAATAAAAGCAAGTATATTAGGTGAGATCATTTTCTCTTTCACCCATGCTCTGAAAGAAATTTGCTAATGATGGTTTATATATAAATGGTATTAGCAGTGTGATGGATGGTGTTGTCAGCAAGCCTTTTTATCTTTAGAAGTTACAGAGATATTCCGCGTATAACCATGGGTGGGGAAGGTAGCCAAGAAATTTGAGGCTTCCCAAATCTGCATCAGTGAATCCAGTCCTTCCTAAGCCCCCAAGTGGGTTCCTATGGATATCAGCTGTGCTTGGTCAGCGTTAGCTCATTATTCACAGGACAGTGTAAATATCCAAACATCCAGATGATAATGAGCTGCTCTTTGTTGTAATTTTTTTCCATAGAAACATAAATGGAAATGGGTTTAGTTAATTCTTCTATTTGTATTCTATTTTTTACTATTTCCATTTGATCAGTGACCATAGCTATTGTGAAACTAATTTAAGCCGTTTGACTACTCTAGCTATTTGTAGTTTTTTTTTTTTTTAAAAAAGGACCCCCCCCCCCCAACTTCACTACATGTAGTGATCAGGTATCTTGAATCAAGATTCTTGGTAGCCATACCCTAAATCACTCTTACCTTCCTTTGCTAAGCATCACTGTACATACAGCACTCTGTGGGGACCAGAGTGTCCTATGACCTCTGTAGAAAAGGGACTAACAGCAGTTTACAAAGAAATACTGGTGGCCGATACATATATGGAAAAAATACTCATCTTCATTAATAATCATGCAGACTGAAGTCTCTTCCTTTGGCATAAATGGAAACCCTTGCTTACTCTACCTCTCAGAGTTGTGAAACTCCAATGAGGAAATTCCTGAGAAGAGACTTCATATGTTTTTGTAAACATACCACCTTGGTGGCAGTGTCCCAAAGAACTAAACCAAAACAAGAGAGATCATTTATACAGTGCTAGCTCATCAGTTGTCCAGAGAGACATGGGAAAAATGCAACTCTTAATCCAAGTTCAGGTTCACATGTAGTTTAGGGAGTGGTCAGTGGTGTGACTGCCCCATCCGTGAGGAGCTATGCCAAAGAGGCTGAACCAGGAAGTACGTCAGCCCAGCTCAGGTGGGGCCCAAGGAGTTGCCTCCTTCCCAATGGGCATGGCTTCTAGAAAACAAGAGAGAAGTTAGATATGAAAAGTTCGTTTCCACCATAACCTCTTCATCCCATCTGAACTGTCCGGAGAATTGGAGGTTCTTTCTCCTTAACTTAGCATGGTTTGGCCAGAAGCCCTCAAGCCTTCCAGAATTATTTCAGAGTATCGTTCTAATTTGAAAACAGTTATTTTCATAATTCCATTTTTACAGAATACTGCTGCACGCTTTGGGGGGAAATTGGTATTAAGTGTCTTTATTAAGAGGCTCTGAGGAAATGAGACAGTGATGACCGCGTGTTAAAGTGAAGGAAAGATTTTTTTCCTCGTGGCTCCCGTCTTTCCCAGTTTGCTAGGCCTGTGCTCCAAACTTCAACCCCCTGAATAATCTTCAGTGACGGCTCGTTGCCCTCCGGCTGTTCTTGCAAGGTCCTTCTTCCCCCTGTCTCTTGCCAGATTCCCACCCACAGTCATAAACCCCCAGTGCGTTGAGTGGCCAGACCATATGCAGCTGCTTCCTGATTACTCTCTTCTTGGCCCTGTGGATGCAATAATGCACTCCCCCCACCACCACCCAAAAACCGAAACAGAACTAGAATGTCCCCTTCTGGCTGCCTTTAGAGGTCAGCTGCTCTACCTTCCTCCGGGAGAACTGTACTTGTGTTCAGGTCCCCCCTGGAAGGCGCATGCTTCCGGTCTCGTAGCATGGAGCACGTAGTACTCGGGTTGCCACTCTGGGCCAGGACAATGTTTTCTTACAGATCTACCTCTCATTGCCTGGCACAAAGTAGGAGCTCAGGAAAGTACTTGTAACTGAATGAATGACACGAATGAATCCCTTCTGAAAGTGATTATAGGCACACGGTTTAGTGAACCATCTAGGCCTGGATATGGAACCTCAGGATGAAAGGCTGGCCACAGAGTGCTCCCAGCTCTCTCAAGTCTGAAGGTGGCTTTTAAAACAATTCTAATTTTAGAATTCTCCTTGACCCTATTTTCAATGTCAACTGTAAGCTTTTTGCTTCAAAAAACACAATTTTATGGGTGCCTGGGTGGTGTAGTCCGCTAAGCACCGACCCTTGGTTCCGGCTTCGGTTATGATCTCGGGGTCCTGGGATCAAGCCCCATGTCAGGCTCTGCGCCCAGCACATAATCTGCTTGAGATTCTCTCTCCCTCTGCTCTTCCCACTCGTGTTTTCTCTCTTTTTAAAAATAAAAATCTTTTAAAAACACAGTTTTAAAAACACGTTGAATGAATGGAATTAAGGTTGTGAATGAAGAGGAACTTGGGAGACTCAAAGGCTTAACTCTGTTCCCTCTTTCCAAAATGCTTTGTACGACTTCTGTCTTAGCAACCGTGTAATCGTGTATCAGTAACTCCATTCATTATTACAGCCCCTAATGTGTGTGAATGTGAGTGATCTGATACATTGATGTTAATTGGCACTGAACTTGATAAACTGATGGATTTATCCTGCCTCTGTCCACTTGTATATTTCCCATGAAAGTCAAATAAAGAAAATATATATGAAATTAATGACTGAAGAAAATTGAAAGAACCATTTCCTACAGTATTTTCTTGCCCCTAATAAAATCATTTTCCCTTTTAATCTGTCAGCTCAGAAATATTTTTAAATGATCACCTTCCCATTAGTGACTCTTTAAATTTCCACTTTCATCAACCCTCTCATTCAGTTGCTTAATGACATGCAAAAGGTCTCCTCTTCATGAACATTTTCACTTTATCACTGAAGACCCTAAGAGCCTATAGTTGGAATGTCAAAATCAGAAGTCTCTTCTCTATGCTATTTAGTGATTTCTGGTTCACACCCAATTACTAATTATATGAGCATGTGGAATAAGGAAGATTTGCGTGATTGATTTTAAATGCTCTTTTTAAAAAGTAAGTCCTTCTCGGAACAATGGAATTTTATGTATTTCTAAGAGATATAAAATGCAGGCATAGTGATACTAAAACCCCATTTCTTCTCAACATCTCAGAAGTCCCTGTAACAGAGCAAGCATGTAATAGGCCTGGCACATAATGATAATGCAGACATTAATCACTTAGTGTTGACTGAATGAATATTAACTGACCTTTCAAGTGAAGATTTACAATTTTGATGAAACTTTTATACACGTATTTTTTTTAATATACATAAAGTATTTTAAAATAAGGGCCCCTGGCTCAGTTAAGCGGGTGACTCTTGATTTCGGCTCAAGTCATGATCTCAGAGTCATGAGATTGAGCCTACAACAGGACTCTGCACTCAGTAAGGAGTTTCCTTGAGATTTTCTCACCCTCTCCCTCTGCCCCTCCCCCTGCTTGTGGGCCTGTGCATGTGTGCTCACTCGCTCTGTCTCTCAAAAAATATATATATATTTTTTTAAAGGGCCTGTCATTAGAAAGCAGTAATGCTTCCATCCTTAATAAAAAGGGAAAGGATAATGTCAACTTTCTCTGCTTTCTTAGACACTACTAAAATATTTTATATATATCATAAAGAATTAATTCTGGTCACTTTCTAAGTATTTTTCTGTTCCGTAATAACTTACTACTCTTTATAATCATTATGTGTTTAAGAATTGAATATCGTATAAAAATCACTGTGACAACACAAAAATCACAAATGTGATACTACATTTTCTAACCTGTCCAACAAAGTGTCTTTTTTTTTTCATTTTGTTTTGATAGTTTCAGAAACGTATTAGTACCTTTCCCTGTCCTCTGATTTTAGCTATTTTCTCTATAGCCATAGTTTTGTCCATTTTTCTGAAGGTACTTCAGCGTACTATTCTAGTTTAGTTACACTTCAATATAACTAGAAAATAGGCAAGGTTTTTATTAGATTTCCAAAGTTTATGTACTGGGGACACGGGTATAGTAAAACTTCACTGATTCAGATTTTATTAAGTAATTGTCATTCTGATGTGGATTAAGTGGAAGCTAACTTTTATACTACCATGTTTACCAGCAGTTCTAATGTAAAGGTGTTTGTTGGAAGTACTTAAACTCTCTGAGAAACAGACATGAAAGAGTCACCTATTTACTTGCGTGTGGTGCTATTTAACTCAAACTATTCACTATTACAGGGGCCCAACAGCCTTTTTATTGGGAGGTAGTATAAGTTAGCTTCAGAGCCTATTAGAATATTTTAAAAGCTGTGTTGTAGGAAGAATCTATAAGGACGGCCCATGATTAATAACTATTTAAATTAGTCTGAAACAGTGTTTTCAAATATTTTGAAAGGTTAACTTGCAGCATCACTTCCGTTAAGTAAATTAGGGTGTCGTCTTCAGAGTCTGAGTTTTCTCTGAAAAAACGTTTTGACGTTCAAATTTCTACTCTAAAAGACAGCAAGTAGTATTTCTCCCAAAGGATGATTGCCTCTAATGTACTACCAAAGTATTCAAGATCGAATTGATGCTTTCAGGTCCTGAATCAAGAGAGATGACACAGAAAAATAGAACATGAAGTTATAGTGTTCTTCAAATCCCTCTTGATTTGGGACATGATACCACCTGATGTTTGAATTTTAAGAAGTGGTTTAATCGGGAGAAATGGCAGTGTCATGATTCAGAGATCCCCTCAAAGCGAGATCCAGAGCAGCCAAAAATCACGCATGTTGGATGAGGAGCACTTCTCTCCACATCCCAGCTTTGAGTTTGTACTGTTTCTACGCTTCGGCCAGTTGTTAACGACCAAGGGTTTGCCGCTTGTCATTGCTAGCCCAGAAGGCTCGCGATGGCTGGCCCCAAGTCCGTGGCCTGTCCTTCGAGAAGCCTGCCTCTCACTAGAACAAATGACTGCAGGGCTGTGATTCCTTAAATACTAAAGTACCTTTTGCAATATGTGCTTGATAAATACTCAGAACATGGTGACTGATGCATTTAAACCCTGCATCTGTTTGACCCGAACCCTCCTCCCACTGTGCTTTAGCCAGGCTGTCGTGGGGGAGACTCCTCCCGCTGCCTGTCCGGGTTGGACGTGACAACACTGACGTTTTAGTGGCCGTGAGGCCCCTGGAGCGCATCGGATTGTTGTCAGGGCGTCGGTGACCAATGCCGGCCCTCCTGTCTCCCTTCTCCTCGCCCCCCTGCTCCCAGGGATGTGTCCTCCGAGTCCGACAGCAACATCAGGCAGATCAACCAGGAGGCCGCGCACCGGCGCTTCCGCTCGCGCAGGCACATCAGCGAGGACCTGGAGCCTGAGCCCGGCGAGGGCGGAGACGGCCCAGAGGTAAGTGGGCCCCACGCACCCCTCGGCAGCCCCTCTCTGACTCCAAGGCCTGGTCCTACAGCTGATTGGTGACCATCGGGGTATTAATTGATTCAGGACGTGCTTATGAAAGTCGTGTTTGATGAATACCTGTATCTGCTCATTACCAAAGGGAAATGGCCTTATTTGTAGTGCTGAAAATCTTCAGATGTTTTCACTTTCTAATTTACTTTTCCCCCCAGAGCCTACCTGTACTGTAGATAGGCAACGTGGTTGTTCGTATGTCAGCAATTGAATGAGCCCTGTAACTTGTGTGGGTACCACGTACTTTTACTGAGTGGTTTTGATATCAAAAAAAGAGATTTGTTAGCAAGAAAATCGAAATTTGGGTGAATTTAGAGAGGTTTAGTATTTTTCCCCTTAAATGTTTATGGTAAATTACTGCGGGGATATTATGAATTGAACGACAAATTAGCAATTACCATAACTTGCGTGCAGCCTTAACTCTGCTTACTAGAAATCCATCCTTTTTAGGCCACGTGTTCTGAAGAAGATCATTCATAAGATGTTCCAGTGTTCAAAATTGGAAAAGCAAAATTAATGATAATAAATTCACTGAAAGTTACTTAATAGCACTGTTTAATTGCAGTTTATAGCATCTCCGCTGTTTTCATGGACTCCTCAGCAGTTAGAGTAAAAGAAACTCATGAAAATCGGGAGTGAATCCCTGAGAACATTTTAACCCATATGTGGAATAGCTAGCGCTAGAAGTGGGTCACTGCTCAGAGAGGTGGTATGATAGAGCGGTTAAGAGGACGCCTGGGGGGCTCAGTCAGTGAAGCATCTGCCTTCGGCTCATGGTCCTGGGATCCAGCCCTACATCACGCTCCCTGCTCAGTGGGGAGCCTGCTTCTCCCTCTCCCTCTGTAGCTCCCCCCGCTCGTGCACGTGTGCGTGTGCCGCTCGTGCTCGCTCTCTCTCTCTCTGTCTCTCTCAAATAAAGAAATAATAGAAATAAATAAATAAAATGGTTAAGAGTATACAGCCCTTAGAACCAGGTTTCCTTAGATCTGTTCCTGGCCCTGCCACGTCCTAGCTCTCTTCTCTCTGGTAGGTTACTCTCTGTGCCTCAGTTTCCTCATCTGTGAATTAGGATACAGTTCTTCTGTGAATTAGGGTACACATCTTCCTCATGGTTGTGGAGAAGATTATGTGCCTAAGTGCTCAGTAAATGTTAATTCTAGTTATTATCATGGTTATTGTTGTTGGCAAGGTGACGAGAGGATCGCTCGTTCCTGCCATTTACCCCAAAGTCTCATTCCTTGTGATAGCCTTGGGAGACCATCTCCGAAGAAGTGAACATCACGGGAGACCCCCTCAGTCTGGCGCTGCCCCCACCACCATCCTCTCCAGTATCTCGGACCAGCCCTCAGGAGCTGTCTGAGGAACTGAGCAGAAGGCTTCAGATCACTCCAGACTCAAATGGGGAGCAATTTGGTTCTTTGATGGTAAGTAATAGTCGTTTGAATGAGAAGTTGAGCAAATACTTAATCACTTCTTATTGCTTTAAGAGAATCTTACATGCAAATAAAGACCAAGGTTCTCCAGCTCCCAGAGAACTCTGACAGGTTCCCTAAGTTCCTCCTTTTCTAGGAGGACAATACCAAAATTAGTCCAAGCAGGTGAGGATCTTTCTTGATTTGTAAAGAACTCAAGCAAATAAGAGTCCACGACTTCTGTTATTATCAGCTTTAACCCTGAATTTCTTTTCCTAGTCAAACACTCATAAATCGTACCTTCATCGCAAAGGTGATATTTCACGCTGAGACCTAAGAGACATTGGGCCTCTTAATTAGTCCTCTTAATTTGTACTCTCTGCACACTTTACCATCCTCATTTCACAGCTGAAGGCATGATGTGGAAGGGACCCATCCAAGACAGTTAGAATGGGAGATGGAATACCTCCCCTAAGGCCCAGAGTACAAGTCCTCAAGAAAGATTAGGAAGTTGTGGCACAGACCTCAGGGTAGCAATTGAACTTGGGTTCTCAACCATCAGGGAACCTCTTTCTAGAAACTTTGGATGGGGCCACCCCCCATTGAGAAGCAGCAAAACCAGTATGAAGACCTCCATGTTTTGACAACACAAAATGTGCAGAAAAATCCATAGAAAAACACCTGCTTATATGTAAAGTTGAGAACAAACAACTGAATGTTTCTCGAAAAGTTGAACTTTTAAGATGTGTTATAGTAAATAACAGTCACTCTACTGAAAACGGCATCCTAGCAAAATAGTCATTATTAGAACCAAATCAAATATAAGTGGATGGGAGGACCACATCAAATGTAAAAGCAAGTAAATGTTCACAAAATTGCTAGTGTTTTTATTTAAAGACTCCATTGGCCCATATTGTGTGAGCTGCAGTGAGTACTCAATTAATTTGAGTTTATATTATAATTCTGTAAGTGTTTTTCAGAAAGAGAAATATCACGGAGATGAAAATTTAATTCTAAAAGGGCAGGGGAAAAATTACATGTGGGATATTTGAATTGATGAAACTGTTGCTATGGAAACAACAGAAGCAATGAAACCATATATTTAAAACCTATAAAAGGTAGTAAGTAATGTAGGAGCCATAGCAATTTTCCACCTCTAATCTACCAAGTAAAAAAAAAATCATAATTTTCTTTAGCATTAAGTTAGCATCTCCAGTTATTTGTGTGAAGACTTGCCTGCATTTAATTATTCCAGGTGTATGAAATACCCTTAAGATCCAAGTTGGAGGGTCAGTATTATTTTAAGATTGTGTTGAGTTTGACTCAGCTGTTAGGTAAGAATGTCTTGGAAAAAAATGATACGGGACTCTTCTGCAGTTTTGCTTGTCAGGGTCACTCTGTATTCAAGGGACAGTAGCTTGAACTTTTACTTAAAGAAGGAACCCTTCATCCTAACCAGTGTGGAAGGACACAGTTAGGCCCCCATCACTGTTAGTCTTTCTTTGACCTTACCCCGTCTTACTGGTCATCCCAAAATACTAAAAATGAGTAAGTGCTGTGTACATACTTCTCCCGTGAATGAACCTGTTGCTGATTAGACACTTGGCCTTTGTGTGTGTGACCTCCTGCTGTTCTCTGATCGGATCTGTGAGGTGGTTTTTCTAACAATAGATATTAATGCAAACAAGTCAGAGGAACATACACATCACACACTCGATGTTTTAGATTAGTGTCACTATTTTAATCTTTTATTCCTGTTCAGCACAACATCAGCTCCATTGAGAAGCTAAAACATAAATACCTGACCCTTCGGAAGTAGCACAAGTCTATATGTGAGTTCTCTGGACTTAGACTCCAACTGACCTTTTGTCAATAGTAATACTCAATAAATGTCTAATAACCATATTAGTATTTTTTCCTCTATTTGTATCACCCTGGAATTTACCCCCGCTGGTGCATCCCACAGCAAAATACAAGACTGCTAGCTTCCTAGTTCCTTTTTTTAAAAGATTCTATTTATTTCTTCATGAGAATCCCAGAGAGGTAGAGACATAGGCAGAGGGAGAAGCAGACTCCCCATGGGGAGCGCAACCCAGAACTGGATCCTAGGACCCAGGGATCACGCCCTGAGCCAAAGGCAGATGCTCAACCACTGAGCCACCCAGGAACCCCTGGTTCCATTTTTAAAGCAATACTTAAGCGTTCCATGGGCCTCTTCAGTACCCTTTCTTTTTTTGGCCTTGTTTTGCTGTTACTTCTTACTAAGGACCCATCAGAATCTCAATCTGCCTGAATCTCTTGAAAAATACAAGATGACTCGACTACTTGAAGGATAACGCTCCTGGTTCAGAAAAGCTGGTGTCTCGTGTACTTACCTTTTGATACCAAAGTGCACCCAGTAGGGTTGAGTGACATGTTAAGCCAGTGAACCTTGCTTCTATGCCTAGGTTTTCACAATGTTCCATGTCCTTTCCTCCCTTCAGCAAAGAGAGCCCTCCTCAAGGCTGCGGTCCTGCAGTGTCACCGACGGGGTCGCCGAGCAGGCTCATCTACCACCGGTAACCCACGCCCCCTGCCAGCCTTCCGTTGGCTCTTGCGCCTTCTATTTGAAATCATCTGGGCTGCCAAAGAAGAGTTTTTCCTGTGCAAATCCATTCTCTGTCTAAATGGGACCTTAGGATTTCCTAGCAAATTGCCCATGGAGAGTGGATTTCCAATATAAAGAGTTACCACCATAGTGTCTCTGACATGCTGAAAACTTCATTGCTTTGCTTTTCCACTCAAATTAATACCAAATTCTGATGTGCTCACCTGACTTAAGCTACTTAACTAAAAGCATGCTTTTAAGAATTCTTTTACTTTTTTAAAACTTCATTTAGCCACTAATGCTGTGCTCCAGTGAGCTGCATCTTAAGAACATGTTGACCCCCTCTAAACAGGAATAACTCTTCTGGGTTTGCAGGGAGTGGGTTTTTCCCCATCACTAATGACCTCAACTCTTAACCCACAAGTGCCTGTACCTTCTCTGTAAAGGCAGCTCTACTGACAAAAGAATTGACTATAATTTGTTCCCACCCTCCCGTAACGTTCATAACCAGCAGCAAATATGGAAGAATAAGGAGTGTTTGACAATCTAGGGCAAAAATAAGACTGAATATTCGCATTGGAAGGCAGACCAGGACTGCCTTGGGAGAGGTTTGGTTTATGCAGTAAACATTTTTTGTGAATTTACTTCCTTTGGAGGAGAAAATAGTTTGTGGTTTTAGCATGTTCAATTTGTTGTTGACCTTGGCCAATTTTTTTTATTAGTACAAATCCTTGATCATTTTGAGGGTACTAATATTTCATCATGTATGAAATTAAAGGGAAAAAAAGATTATAATTAGAGTTTTGCAATCATGGTATCTTCCTTATGGTGTACATTTTTACTTCATATTGTTGCCTGCATTTTAGTCTTTTATGGTAACAGAACAAATTCATGAGTATGCCCTTAAACTGAGAAATCAACATGGTAGATTGAGTTGTGGCACACGCAGAATGGGCTGGTTGTTCAGGAGCTTTCGACAAGAGCATCCTTTCTGGGATAGCTTTAGTACAGGCCTCCCCAAAAACCAGAGTGATCAGCTGTGATAGCCTGGGGAGGGGATCCTCCTCAACCTGATGATTCTGTGATTTGTTTTCTTGACGAATTAATAGCACGTTCCCTCCTTTTCAAAATCGGTGTCAATTTTATCTTCCAAAGAGCTCACTTTCCTGAAAATTGTTGATTTTCCTCCCTCTTTCCTTGTACCCTATAAAGCTGCAAACTCACTGATCACCAGTGGCCTCTTAACTCAAATTATGAGTTTGGCAGATTTAAGAATCTGCTTAATTATTTAACAGTAGGAGCAAAACCATAGCGGTTTCCAGTTTTTTTCAAATAAGACTTCTCACATGACTGAGATTGCAGTTCATGAGTTTTCTTGAATCACGGCTACAACCTGAGCCCTCTCTGGGTGGGAGGGCAATTGTGTCCCTCTTTTTCTTTTGGTCATCAGTGAGTGGTTGCTCAGCTTTATCTGGACAGGGTGGATTTCAGGGATTCTGATTCATGGCCCCTGCCTTACTGGCTGTTGCAGCAGCTATTCCTGATTCAATAAGCAATGGGTGATGTCCCTAAGTGCATTTCACTGATGTCCATTGTCATTCAACAGCCGAGTGTCCCAACTAGGAGAGCACGGTCATCCACCGTCACGGGTGGTGAGGAGCCAACGGTAATGATACCCCTAATCAGACATTAATAGCAAAACTGTGGGTTGGTTTTAACATTTTGCAAAATAGTGAATATACCCTTTTTTCTTTTTTGGTTAAGATCAGCCTCCTTATGCTGTAGAGCTGTACACGTTGCTTAGTGTAAAGCTCTCACTTTCACATCATTCAAAGGGAGTGGGTACAATAACAGTTTTTCGTCCTATATAGTTTTATTAAGAATACTGTCAAACTTCAATAAAGAGCATTTAATTTGACCATTTAAAATCTACTTCTGGGACACCTGGGTGGCTCAGTCAGTTAAGCATCCGACTCTTCATCTCAGCTCACGTCTTGATCTCAGGGTTAGGAGCTTAAGCCCTGCATTGGGCTCCACACTGGGCATGGAGCCTACTTTAAAAATATATTTCTGCCACACTTGGTTCAGCAGCACATATATTAGAATATATTTCTACCTTTAATGTTTATACTGCTGTTAAGCCTTTATTATTTGTTAGAATGCTTGGATAACATAATTTGTTTGGAGGAGAAGAGGGAAGCCACACAGAAACTACACGCAGTTGTGCACATGGATTCCCAGTGGTGCACACAGCCCAAATCTCTTGTCTGTTTCCTGTACCAGATTTTACATGCTGGGTTAGATTTTCTGTATCACGAGCATGAACCAGTGACCCTGCTTTGCCACAAGGGTCTTTATCCACAGGAATGAACTAGTGTTCATAGAATTTGGGGAGAGAAAGGAGGGAATATAATTAAGTTTAAATGGTCTAGGAAAAAAAATAAGTTTTTCTGAGCCAAGTATCTGTTATTCTTACTCATTGTTTTAAATAATTTTTAGTATTCATGGTTTTGGGTAACTTGAATAGGACTATGTACTCTAATTGCCTGGTTTTTGCTTGACCCTTAAAGATATGTTAGCTTTTGAGTTTACACATTGAGCTGCTGTCGCTCTTTGAAGAATTTTCCTTATTGTGTCACCATTGTTAGGTTTGTTAAACTGCTTATTACTTGAGAATACCTTTAAATACACATGCAATTGCTGATTTTTATGCAGGATGTGGACTTAAAGGAATAATTTAGTCATATTGTTAGAATTTAATGCTCAGCATTGTGCACAGGAAAATCAAATTGGCAGTGTGCCAAAATGAGCCCATTGTAAGGTATTGAACGATAGTGATTTATGTGAAAATCCTGTGTTGGGGTGGCCAGGCCTCAGCCTCCAGTAGAATTCAAGAAATTCTAAATGAATTGGCATATTTCCTACTGTGTGCTAGTAAATTCTACCAGAAGTAGAGCTGCAAGGTAGACAAGATCATTTCATTAAATAATTTTAATAGAATTCAGGGCTAATGAGCATTCTCTACCATCCATTTTTGCATTTTATTGGAACCTGGGAATCTTGTCCGCATTGGAGCGTTGTGATAGCTGAGGGATATTAAGTGACAGGGTAAACTGAATTATGAGAGCACTGGGCTCCATGGTGAGAGGTATTTGGCAGGACAGAGTGACCCATCCAAATGAGGTCCTGTGGCCCTACCACTGCTGTGTTCTGCCTGCCTGTGCCCTCCCCCTCGCCCAACGATGAATTAAAAACATGAGTTTGGTTTTGTTGGTTCTTAAAGACCAGATAGTAGTCATTCCTAAATGCTTTTACCTATTCTCATGCTTCCCATGTACCTGGGGATCTTTCCGCTGCAGTAAGCCAATTTATCCAATGGCTACATCAGAAACCAGACAATTTTGAAAGTATGTTTTCCAGTTCCATCTCTTATCATATTTTCCCCCTCTTTTATACCCTCTCCTGCCCCTGCCCCACCCCTGCGTGTCAGCCCCATACTGATGTGTACCATCTCTTGTCCTGAGGCTACCCTGGAACGTAGCCTCTCACTCCAATGCCTGTGCTTCCACAAGCATGCATGGTGTGGACACAGCAAAACTGGGATCTCATATACACATCACCTAGCAACCTAGTGTTTTTCACTTGTGGTCCTTCCCCTGGGACCTGTTAATAATTACGTAATACTCGGTGATGGGAATGCACCTCAATTTCTATAATTATCCCCCATCAATGAACATTCAGCTCCACCCCCACCCCCTGGGCACTACACACCATGTTGCGTTAACCATCCTGGCGTACATCTCTTTCCATGGTAGTGCTTTTATTCTTGTAACATTAATGAACAACCCCTGATTCTCACCTGTGGAACCATGACCCTTTGGTTTAGGAATACACACTGGTTGTATACACACAAATAATACTTTGTATTTGAAAAGTGGTGTCACTTTCCAGCTGGCTAAGCAGAAGCTGTCTCTGAGATAAAAGGACAGAGAGAGTACAATCCTTCTGGACTTTGCTGTTATATACCTAAAAATACAGAGTTAACAGTATAGTAGGGTTTGAACGAATCTTGGAGAATCTGTAATGGTACCAAACTGATTGTCATCTTTAAAAGCATATTGAAACTTTTACAGTTTGCACATAATTGATTTATCCATCTTAATGAAATAAATGGAACCACTAGGAAGCTGTAGTTAACTGGCTATTTGGCAGTGCAGAGCACGATAGTATATTTAGATGAAAAGCTGGGAAATTGTTAAATTGAGCTGCCTAGCAGTTTGTCTCTTGATTAATTAACTTACCTCTTGAGGTCGTATGGAATGTACACGTGAATACACACACACATAGCAGGAGAAATCTGATTTCGGCTCTAGGGCTGGATCTCTTGAACGATCTACCGGGAGAAGCTGAGTCCTGCCTCTTCCCCTGCTGTGTGTGGAGAACAGTGTTAGAGTCACAAATGCAGTTGTTGGCACAAGTTGTTCTCCATGGTCACTTAGAAATCTATAAAGAAATATTTTAATAACACCATATCCCGTAAATGGAACTAGATTGTAGGTTGCCAATTCAATTCTCAATAGAAGGCAAAATGAGCGTATTAATCAAAATCCATATTCTCCTCTATACTCTTGGTTCCCAGAAACTGATTAGTCCTATTAACTGGAGCTGTGAGAGGAACCTGGTACTGGAGGGTCTGCAGCTTTTAAATCTGATTCTGAGATGAACCACGCACATCAGCTTCTTTTAGTTTACGATGTCTCCCCATCATCCTTTCCAGGGATTTTGTCACTTTAACCTTATCCTGATGGTTTCCAGAACAGAGCTTTCTGAGCACATATCTGATTTCCACTCCCAAAACCTAACTCAACCGGGAGGAGGAAAACCAACAGACTCCATGTAGCGAGCATTCCACTGAGCCCAAGAAGTTTTAGTTATCAGATAAGCAATAGTAGGTCAAGGATTGATAGCGCATGCTTTGCCAAAAATGCAAACCGACCGCTTAGGTTAGTTACAGTGTGGGTTCTGACTTAGTTCAGCAGAGTCCAGTTTTTGTAGTGCCTGGATGAAAAGTAGCCTAGAAAGAGCTCTTTGGGATTAGTGCTTCAGCCAGGGAAGGAGGCGGGTAAGGGCTTGAGGCTATGGACGAGTTCATCTGTCTTCAGCACTCACAGAAGGATCAGGCCTGCATGTCCAGGTCCGTTCCGCTCCTGTAGTGGCCTCACACCTAGATCCAGAACCCATAGGGTCTCTCAGTCTTGGAATTCCCATTTCAGGACCTTCGGGACTTAATCTGGAAAACCATCAATAGTTACTGTCGTTTTACTAGAAAGTCCTCTTACAAATAGTCTTGCAGGGCATGGTAAATGTGTTAGAAATAACCGTTGAGGCAGCTGCTCCGTGGCTCAGTTTCTCTCTGGAACGTGCTATCTAGCTTATGGAGTATTGAGCCTCATTAACTGAAGTCCCCAAATTACATGGCAGGATGGTTAAGCGTGCTTTTTCTAGTTCTTGATCCTGCAGGAGACCAGGGGGCGCTCTGTGGCCTCCTTGCCCCAGCACAGTCTTGGTGGTGACTGTCAAAGACAGGGCGCACACAGGAGTTGGTTCAGAGATTGACATCCTGGCCCTGACATCCACCTGGTCAACCACCTGGAGGCTCACAAGATCCTAATTAGGGAAACCTGTTGCCCCAAAAGAAGTGGCTTCCTTTTGTCACCTCGTGTAAGAGATTATTCCTGAGGTGTGGCCTCTCGCTGCTTTTACATTCTCCCAGGAGCCTTGGTGGCCACGGTTGGCTTGTAATTCTGAGTCCCCGCCCTGAGGGTAGGGGTAGCGCCCTTTTCTCAGTTACAGATCTTATATGCAGCGTCCATATGCCCAGCACTTCTCGGGACAGCACGGACCTCAGACGTCCGTCTCCTTGTCTCCCTGAGTCACTGAAACACGCTTGCTGGTCCAGTGTTTCTCCACCCAGACTGCATTTCTCAGACTGCCCCCTACAAGCAAAAGTGTCTCAGGAATCCTTCTGCAATCTAATTTGGACTTTGCAGATCCAGTCGCCCTATACTGAACATGTCTCAAACCCACCAACTGCGTGTTCTTCTGGAATTCTGACCTCACGTTGCCCAGTGACTTCCCGACTGGGGCCGCTAAGCTGTCCTGGTCGGTCCTCATGACTGCGTGCCCTGGCGCGAATACAGCTGTCCTAGAGAGGAGACTGTATTTTTTTTTTCTCCCTGAAAGCTGTAGTGGAAGGGCTCTAAGCTGAGGAAGACTTTGGGAGTTAGGAGAGCATCTCTGTGGCAACTCTATTGAGGAAAAAAACTATTCAGAGTATCCCTCTCTTGGTGACATTGGACAGTTTAAAATACCTTGAAACTCTCTGTGGTTTGACAGCAAAATCTAGTAACTGAAACAGATTGTACGTTTCTCTTAGGATCATGTTAGCCACGACCCTTTATGTTTAAGACTTCAGGGTTTTACCACTGACTTAGAAGATCTTGTGGCTGTGTGGGGGTCATCTCACAGTAGATTGGAAGCCGTTGGAAATCAATTGCCTTTTTTCCAGACACTAATGTTTTTGGTACAAGTAAAATTAAGTTACCTGGTCTAGTAACTCTCTGCGTGTACATTACTTTTATTAAACTGATCAAAAAGCAAATGCAGGATATTAAATAATAATGATTTCTTACACAAACAGCCATCAGTGGCCTATGCACACACCACGCCGGGCCTACCTTCAGGCTGGGAAGAAAGAAAAGATGCTAAGGGACGCACATACTATGTCAATCATAACAATCGAACCACAACTTGGACTCGACCTATCATGCAGGTACGCAGATCGTCCTACAACCTAAAATCACAGGCTGTAGAAGCCGAAACGTATGTGAGCTCGGTGCTCCCGAGGTGAATGTATTGTTCTGAAAGAACCCGTGTTTAAGATCATGTTTCTCACAGAGAAGATGGGAACTCTAAGCCTAGTATTTGCTGGAGGAAGAATTCGGTCCTCAAGCCAGTCCACCCCTAGACACGGTTTAGGGAGCCCATCCCAGGGTGGAGCTTCTCTCCCTTGATTTCTGAGGCTGGCGTTTACGCTGGGCTAGTGATTCATTTCTATTTCCTTTGACTGTACTTCTCCATCGTTGCCCCCATTATTATGTTTAATCATTTTCCTCCACGCTTGAAATAGGCCAGCCCTCTTATTATTGCTGGCTTATGTTGTTTGGGTCCATGGTCCTCATCACTTGCACAGGAGTCCTCCTCCTGCCAAGCTAACTTGTTTTTGCCTCCGAAATAGCTCGCCGAAGACGGTGCGTCCGGATCCGCCACAAACAGTAACAACCACCTAATCGAGCCTCAGATCCGCCGGCCCCGTAGCCTCAGCTCGCCGACCGTAACCTTATCTGCCCCACTGGAGGTGAGAAGGCCTCATCGGCTCACCGGCTCACCCCCTCCCGGGACTTCTCATCTCCTTGCTCATCTTACTTGGGTTTGAGTGGTTGCAGCCCCCTGTCCCTCTCTCTCTCTCTCTCTCTCTCTCTCTCTCTCTCTCTCTCTCTCTGATGGGTCGTGGTGTTGTCGTGCAGCCTTCCTTCATGCTTCTCTGTGCCGCCCGGCTCGCACCCGTGGACTGCCCCCCTCTGATCCCCATTCTCATTCGGCTGCCCCCGTGGCTCCTTGTGCCCGAAGGGGGCGCCCCTCTGCCGGACACTCTCCATCTCTCCTTGTGTTTCGCTCTTGACTTGCATACGAACTCTTGCCAATACCAATGCTTACATTGCGTTTCCAAACATAGCTGTCGCTTTGATCATTTTTCTTTTCCTTTCGACGGTAGGGCCTGTCACCGTGCGGGCATATGTGTTTCTGATGCACACGCACATCTCGAAGCCATTGCGGGGCATCTGCGGGTGCCTTCTGTTTGTGTGGTGGTGTTGCCATCCCTTCGCATCACAAACGTCAGAGTTAGAGAAGCCAGAGAGCAAGTGTGTGAAATTCTGAGCTTGACGGTGTCTCAGACCTAGCTGCGGGCCCGTTCCCTGGGTCTGCGATGCTGCTGGCTGGGAGCCGATGGGGTCTGTTCCAAACTGGGATGGGAGTGCCAGGGGGTAGCAACCTGCTAGTCCGGACGGCTGTCTGTTGGTACGGGTTTTGCTTTCTGTGCTCTAAAAATTGCCAACCCCTTCTTCATTAGACTGTGAGCTCATTAAGAGCAGGGGCATGTGTTTCTCCACCCTCTGTAAAATTTCCATCCGTAACATTCAATACAGAACAATACTTGGGGTGCGCACTGAATAGCTGTCCACGGACCTTGGGTATAAGTACTTAATATTGTCATGTGTTTAACCAACCAGAAAACTTTAAAGTTAGATGGGTTGAAAAGTAGATGAATGACAGAAACGGGTTTTAGAGCTTCTCCCTTGTACCTCTTCAGAGAGCAGCGTCCCTGTGTACCCAGGTACATTTTGACCCTCCCGGAATAGCAGCTGGTAAGAGTTCTAATGCTCGTTATTATTCCTTAGGGTGCCAAGGATTCGCCCATACGTCGGGCTGTGAAAGATACCCTTTCCAATCCACAGTCCCCACAGCCATCACCTTACAACTCCCCCAAACCACAACACAAAGTCACACAGAGCTTCCTGCCGCCCGGCTGGGAAATGAGGATAGCGCCCAACGGCCGGCCCTTCTTCATTGACCATAACACAAAGACTACAACGTGGGTAAGGCTGTGCTTTTATTTGGTTCCATTTTCATCATGAGGTCTGGCATTGCTTCCTGGATTTCCTAGTTCTCGGAGAGGAATTTCACTGAGCCGAAGCATGGCCCCAGGGGACCTCCTCGGCCTACATTGGACTCTGCACATCTGGGCCGGTGGGGGGCGGGTGGCTTCTGGGCTCAGGCTCGTGGCTACCTCTGGGCTTGGTGCCAGAGTGGGTTCCTTTTCTTCATAGGACCCCTGGAAAGTTCTAGTCCTGACAATTTACCGTATTGGGAAGAAAGGTGTAGTGGCTCCCCAAGGCCAGGAATTCGATGTCCCTGCTTCATTTTCCATGATGCTGTAACTTTGTTAGGGGGTCCTCATATTTTTTTAATCATTTCTCCTCATCAGTTTCTTTTTGCATTTCTATTGACATTATCACCTTTGTTTGATTTGTCCTTGTCATCTTCACTGTTCACGTCAGATTCGTGTTTTACACTCCTGTGCTCTGTCTCATTCCTTTAATTATGGGTGGAGAGATGTACTGAGGACTTTGGTTGTACATTTAATAGCTCTTTTGTGTGTGAACATTTTGTCAAAACTGATTTTTCTGATCGTGTTGCTCCTCCATGTGGCGCTGAATCCTACAGGAGAAAGGATCTGTATTGTATTAGCACGATGAGAGTAGTCAGAGGTGCATACGCATCTCTCTCCATGTCTGGGTCAGTTCTTCATTCCTCCAGCTGAATTAGTGGTGTCTGTCTTAGCAGAGCGTGCAGTTCTCTTGTAGAAGCCAGTGGTATGTTTCTGCTGTGTGATCTCTAGACTTATGACCAACCCAACTCGGTATTCTTGTTTCTATTTCTGATGCTACGGGAGGTTTGCTCTTCCTGTCGCTTGTATCTCTGTCTGATTCTCTGGGTACAGAGCTTAACTCTGCCCTTCTGTCATCTGTGCTGCTTGCTCAGAACTGACGGCGTGTGAAAGCTGGTTGAGTCCGGGCAATTGTCCCTGGCCCAGCCATTTGGTCTTGGGCTAGCAGTGAACACATGCTTTGGACTCCCGTTTGTAGTGAAGATACCAAGTGTGCACAGTTGACAGAACGGTAGTATTGTGTAAGAAAGAGGCCTGGACCAACGTGGCCTGGACTTGTGTGTTCCTTTAGTCCCTAACGGGCTCACCCTCTGAAATCCAGTGGATGGTGCTACAACATGTCTCCACGACGACATTCTCTGCATTTGGGGCAAGGCCATGCCTTTTATCGCAGGGCATCTAGCATCCTTGGCCCCTGCCACTAAAGGCTGACGGCCACCATTCCTCCCCAGCCCCTCACCACCATAGGGATAACCAAAAATGCCCCCCATGGCCTAAACACTCATTATTGTGAACCACTCTAAGAGTTCTTCCTCTTCTGAAGTAAGGGGGAATTTATCATTGAGATCTGGCAACACTCATTTAGTAAACTCATAACTACTCCTAAGGCATATACTAACGCATCGCTTTGTTGGACGCGCCTTTTCACCTGAAGATCATATTTACAGGATGGTGGGCAGGGTTAGGCAGAAAGTTAGACAGCCCTTTGGAAAATACAGTAATAAAGATTGGATTTTAGCTCCTTCCCTGTCCGCCCCCCACCCCCAGAGGACTCAGAGCCTGTGGCGGTCCTGCTGGTGTTGTACTGTTGGCTCTCTAGCCCTCAGCCCGAAATGGGAGCTCCAGAAATAGGGTGAATGTCGGAGGAGATGGATTAGCGTATGGAGCCACTGTGGCTTGCCAGCATAAGCTACGATTGGAGTCATCTGAACTAGCTTAGCAGTCAGGGCTCCTAACCTTTTCACCATCCTTCACGCCACAAGTGCAGTGTAATTACAGCTGGGCAGGTTTTATTTTAAACAGCACCAGCTTTATTTATTGCCTGCATCGTTGCTGAATGAAACCCAGTTTGAATTTCCAGTTGCCCCTTTCCACCGGGATCCTCGCTGTTGACTCTTGGACTCATTTAACATTTGAGTGTGTCAAACCAATATTTTGTTGCTGCTGCTGCCGCTGCTGTGGAAAATCCTTAGGGTAACAACTGGAAATTCCACCAGTGACTACCCTTCCTCACTCATCTCAGATGTGCTGGCACAGCTGCGTCACCCCTTCTAGACAAAGGCCTGTACAGAGGAAGGCAGACTCCAAACCTGCGTGTTTATTTTGATATAAGATGGAGGGAAGCGTAAAGGCAATTTTCAGCTTGGAATCTGTTTGGAGTTGGTTTGGGGTTTGCTCTGTGTTATGTGTGTTTAAGAGAACAGCATAGCTAGCTATTCTTAGAATGTGAGCTTTATCATGGAAACAGGAAGAGAAAACTGGTAGGACAGGTTGAGAGTCCTGAAAATACTAGCCTTGCCTCCATCAGCCTGTGTGCCTTTGCTTCCTACGTTAGCCAGCAGCATGAAAAGATACAGGCCGGCATTTCCCTTGGATCCATTGAGAGGGGGAAATTCGCTTTGAAGTCTATTTATAAAACCCAGCCTTTCACACACACCAGTAACGCAGGCAGCGTGCCAGCAGTCTTTCTGGGACAAAATCGGGCCACATCCAGCGAGCATCCCTCTGTTCCCACCTGGGTCAGCATTGCTAAGCGGGGAGTGCTGGAGGCCTCCAGAGCACCCAAGCGCAGGGGACAAGAGGACTTGAGGTTGCCCATTCTTTCTGCTGAGGAAGCAACTGGAAGCATATATGTAAGAGTGCATTTATGTCTTCTACAGGACAAGGCATTGGCTTGTTTCTGTAGCAAGAAAGCAACAACAGCCCTTAATTAAATGACAGGTTTGTTTTCTACCTGGGTCCAAACTAATAAAACTCACTGTAGCCCTTGTGGTTGTTGACCTCTTCCAGGAAGGGAAAAAGCTCAGCTGTTGTTTGAACCCGCCAGCCTCCTCATATTTTATATATTTCTAAAACTCTGCTAGGAATCCTTTTTTCTCCCCTCCCCCCACTGTGGATCTTTGCCTTCTGTTTAAAAATTCTTCTGACAGTAACAAGGGAGCAGTTGTGAAATGGTGGAAGAATGTGTTCATGGTACTTGAGGACAGGGAGAGACTCCCAAGTGGGTTTTGCATATTTTATTCATTTATATCCATTTTTATTTCTATCATTTATAACGTCATTAGTATTCCTGCCTCTATTGTCATCCCTAAAGTTGTCTTGTGGGGCTTTGGCTGCCTTTACCTGCTCCCCCAGGTGGTGGGGGGCAGGGGGAGGGTACCTGCCACCTTTTGTTGTTCCGGGGTGGGCTCAGTTAGTGCCTTCTAGATTGAGCCCTTAGAACTTGGTGGAAGGCAGATGTTGCTCTTGTTATGGTAAAATAATAGGTCCCCAAGAGCCTCCAACCCTCACATCCTACAAATTCGGGGTTTTCTGTGCAAGGCTATCTTAGCAGACCTGTAAGATTAGGTTTTATACTTCATGCCCCTCGTCCCTACCCCCTGGCACTTTTCTGTAACTTTCAGCTGCTGCTTTGTTTGTGTGTGCTTTGCATCACCAGCTTTTTCCCCATAGTTTCACAGTAGCCTGTGTGTATGACTCCAAGGCACGGCTGGTCTCGCATGCAGCGTCTGGAAGCCAGCATGGTCGGGGGTGGGGCTGGGGAGAGAAGGGTGCCCTGTGGTTGTGGCATCGCCGGGTCCAGCTCAGAGCCAGCACTGAGTGGGGAGCTTAGTGCTCCATGTCTTATCCTCTGTCCAAAGTCAGCCTAACACAAATATTTACCAAATCTACATCTCCTGGGACCTTAAAAATCCAAAACCTTAGTGTATCTGTTGACTACACCATATGGGTTCCAGAATACAACAGAAAACCAGACCAATTTTATGCCTTGAATTACCCTTTAAAAAGGACAGCGGCAGGGTTCAGAGTCAATAGCCATCACAATAGCCAAACTGCTAAAACATGATTTATTTCTCCAGCTAATAGTTAGCTATAGTTAATAGAAGCAAAGGTTGGTTTTATTTTTTGATTTTGGGGCAGGTTTTTTTGGGCACAGGGGTTGGGGGGTAGACTTTGCCAGTTCCAAAACTCTGTCACTTTGTTATAATCCAGTGATACTAACAGCTTATACTGTTGACTTAGGAAGTTTTTCTAACAGCTTTCTTGAAGTATAACTCACATGTCCTACAACTCACCTGTTTAAAATATACAAGTGAGTGGTTTTTAGACCATTAAATAAACATGTGCAACCACCGCCATAATCAGTTTAAGAACATTTTCATACCCATTAGCTGGCACAAAGTGAATTGTATTATTTTCCACGGTTTATACCAATTACTTCATTTTCTTGTTGCCTTGGGAAAATGCTGAGGCAGGAAAACCTTTTTAGTGATTTGACAGGAACAGAGGCTTTCATGTAATTGAAATAAAAAGGATTTTGTTAGTTTTGTTTTTTTTTTTTAATCTTTGGCTTATTCGGTTGACAGTATGCTATTCTGAGTTGTATCATTTGTTTCATAATCTTTTGAGTTTCTAACGCAAATTCTCAGTTACATTGCATTTTTGTTGGGTCTGTATAAGTGAGAGCCACTCCCAGACTCTGGGCGAGAGCCTTCGGACACGTTCTCTTGATCTCAGCAGTTCAGTGTCCTCATGTTAAAGAAGCAGAGATCATGTGCACAGCCTCCTAACAGGGTAGTTGCAAGATGACACATCCCTCTGTTTTCTTTGTCAATTATAAAGCATGACCCAAGATATCAAAGCACATATTACTCTTTCGTTGGTTCTTTGTGGTATCCCATGAGCCACGTCCCTTAAGAAAAATCTTTGACAAACTTTTAAGTATTAAGATGTAAATGAGAATCTCATTTTGCAGAACTTGACCAGGAATCTCAGTAAAGTCTTCTAGTTAGGGATATGAGACGTTACGTGATGGGGCCACCTAACTCCAGCCAGGATGGGACTTGACCATCAGATCAATTTCAGACTCTGCTGTAGATCAAGGAGTGGAAGGGCGCAACAGGAAACTCAGCACCTGTGGAAAGGCTCACTGCCCTCACCCACAGTTCAGTGCCCAAGAGAGATTTATAAACCATTGCACCCCACCCCCAACACACTCTGCAGAGGAGATCCTCATCTGCCCTGGCACCTTCCATTCTTGGTAGGTTTCCATAGTAACGTCCCTGCTGGGACACTCTTCCTCTTCACCTGCTACAGGTCTTGGGAAAATGCTTCACCTTTTATTGAAATATTCTTTGTCCTGCTTTCACCAAGGATGAGGAGAAGAGTATATAAAATCTTTCTTGAGTGTTGATCAGCCAGCCTTCCTATACAAAGAGAGGTCCTCTCCTCCCCCGCACAGGCAGGAGTTGCGTGTGCAGCTCCAGGCACACGCAACCTATTGCCTTGGAACACACTACTCCAAAAGGGGAGGAGCCAGTAACTGCACGCAGAGAATCACTCTTAACATCTTCTGCCTTTCACGTTTTCTTGCAGGAAGATCCACGCCTGAAATTTCCAGTACATATGCGGTCAAAGGCATCCTTAAACCCCAATGACCTTGGCCCTCTTCCTGTGAGTACACTGCAGACACATGGAGAAGTCTGAAAATGTTTATCCATTCATCTGACCCGCTGTTGATGGAGAGACCCTGTGGGCCTTCTCTTTCTCCAGGCTTTTTTGGGTCCCATTGGTCTGTAATCTTTTAATAGAATTAGGCACATGGCTGGATTCTAGTAACACATACTAGAATTCATGTCCACTACTTATAAAAGAGAGTTTTGAATTGTTAGCGGTGAGTAGAAAGACCTTGTAACTAGGATGTAAGAGGCGTTCTCTACATGCGACAGTTTAGGCAGCACACATTTATTATGTAACTTAGCAACCAATAGGTTCCATCCATATTGCTAATTCAGTCATTGGAACAGAAATATTAAAAACAGCGGGAGAAAAATGCCTAAGTAATCATAGACGGTTTCTGTAAGTCATTAGCCTACAGATATTTTAAGTTTTTCTTCCCTGTTGAGGGCTGTTTATATAATTTAATTTTTTATCACTTATTCTCTTTGAAGGGCCCAAATGGGAGTTGAGCTATATTAGATTTTGAATGAAACTTTCACCATATGTCCTTCTCAGCCTTCCCACCCACCCCCATCCACCAAATCAAAAAGCCTTACTAGGACAGGAAGGTGAGGAGACTGGAGATTTCTAGAATGGAGGGGTGGTGGGCATTCTTCCAACGGGATTTTCCAAACTCAAGAACTTCACTGTTGCCTGGCATGTGGAATGTGATGGCACAGCTTGAATCTAGGAAGGTTAGGGTTCAATCTTTATTCATCAGGTTTTGCACAAGAATGCCTCAATCCCCAGAACTTTTTGGTTCCTGGGTTTAGATAGAGCCCAGAGAATGCCAGAGACCAAGATTAGACATCAAAAGACAGCATGCTGTCCTGATCTGTTGGGATTCCTGACTTTCAGATAGCAAGTAGGCACCGTTCAGATAATGAAGGCGTACCAGCCTGACCTTGGGAAAAAATACCCAAATCCAATTGTTTCCTGAGTACAAATAGTGAGAGCCCACACCGGAGAATCTGTGTGTTGTTAGGTCATTCAGCCACCTGGTGATAGGACTAGAGCATCTGTCTCTGACATTTTTAAATTAACCTTCCTCTCCCTTCAGTACTCAGTAAATATTTATTTAATTAAATGAGCTATTCAATCCTAAACTCAACTGTTCCGTGGAATGCTGGAGTTGCCCTTTGAAGCTTTTGAAATAGCAAGCCCTGCTTCTTGTTCATCACACAGTGAGTGGAGGCTGCTAAGGCTGGTGAACATGTGATAGAGTGTTGCTAGATGTTGTCAAGAGTTAACTGGAAATGTTTGTGGTTTATTCTTAATGTAACAATATACCCTAGAAGAGAAGAGTCAAAAAGCATTCTTAGAGTGTTTAAATTTAGCATTGATTTTTGGAACTCTTAGCTAATGTATGTATTCATTCATTCTCTCTCTCTCTCTCTGTCTATACCAGCCTGGTTGGGAAGAAAGAATTCACTTGGATGGCCGAACGTTTTATATTGACCATAGTAAGTAGGCTCTTTTATAGACACATCAGCATTTCAGGAAAAAGGATGGGGGGATGGGGAGTCATTCAAATATTATAGTGAAAGGTTTGTCATTTTACTCTTCATCTAGGCAGCCAGGTGTTATGTGGAGAGAATGATGCCAGAGAATCAGTGCCCTCATACGGTACTATGATTTCATCCCAAGTTTGCTTGAAAGTAGCCCAGCAAGCTTTCACCCGATTTGATCTTGTGACCTATTAACTTCTTGGGTTTTTTTTTTTTTAATTAAAAAATTTTTTTGGGTCCATAACCCCTTGATTTCTGCGCTTTTAATAAATACACTCTAGTAATAGAAAATAAGGCTAGAAGTTATAATGGAGTCAAAGAAATCTCTGTGTGAGCAGTGCTTGAAGCAGCATGTAAGTGTCTTAAACACTGCCCTCAAAGGTCTTACGGCAAGAAGCACATTCTGACTTATTTTCTATTCATAGCATGTTTTTTTGCACCCAACACACTAATATATATGGAGTTCGTATCTTGAAATTATAGTATAGTTGCTCCAGCACCTCTGAATAAATGTGTGGTTTCTCATTTCAACTAAAAGTTAAACTAATAAAGATTTTGCTTTTAGCCAGTAGGTTTTTTTTTTTTTAAGGCAACATGTTGTTCTCCATGGGAACATATTTGTATATCCCTTAGAATTTCTGAAAAAAAATGTTTTTTAAAAGAAGTTTTCAATTATATGTAAGTGTGTGTAATTGGTAGTATTTTGATCTTTGTTTTCATTTGGTTCCTAAAGAGCAAGTCTGCACCAGGTTTCTCCAGCCTCACATTCTCTTAACTAATCAAAAGTATACCGAGGAGCCAGTTGCTGGGTAGTCCGACCACAGGGATCCACATGGAAAGGGCTTGCCACTGTCTCATAGGTCTTGTGCCTCTTCTAGGGTAACCCCTAGAAGATACTGAGTGTATTATACACCTTTGCTTTCAGGCAAGAAAGCTTGAGAGGTTATTATAAATTAAGAAGACCAGTTCAGAATTAAACCAAAAGTGGAAGTCCTAGGTGTATTGGGGAATGGGCTACCCTTTGGTTAAAATTAGGTATTTCAATGTACATAGGCTTAGTTTTATCCATGACCAGAAAAGTACTCAAGGTTTGCATGCTTTCCAGAATTTTACAATTGCTACCATAAATGCTTTAAAATGTGCATACTCTTTTTTTCTCTGAAATGCCATTTATTTGTCATTCTACTCATAGCATAATTTGTTAAAATAAGGGAGGCAAGCATACCTCTCTTTCCCACTAAAAACAAAACAAAAAATGTTTCTTTTAGTTTTCATGCATTGCAATTTCAGTTTTCAAAGGTAGGTATGAATAAATAATGATCTTTTTCTTAAAACAAGGTCTCAACCAGTAACACAACCTTGGTCTGCTACACAGAATTTTTGACACAACATTGTGACCGTGTTCTGACTGGTGATCTGGTGTTCGGGTCAACCTGAAAAGAATTTTATGACTGTTCTTTAATGCAGGAGCCCCCAAACAAGAAACACTATGTTGCAAAAGGCATCCTAGTGCACATTAGAAATAATAAAGGTCATAGACTGGGTTTCTAGTGATGTGCATAGACCGATCTAGTATAACCTAGAGTAGATGTTTGATGAGTGGTGCCATGAAGTATTAATTCGTGGAAGGTCAGCAGTGAAGGCTGAGGAGGTTGACATCCTTGGTCAGAAAATGGAGAGAACTTGCCTTGGAGAAGCAGCAGCCATGGCTGCAGCCCCAGGTTGGCCCGTTTCTGTGTGCTGGGAGGCAGGAGAGGTTAGTTTGGCTAAATGCCTGGGTAGTTCCTTGTTCCTGATCAGTCCATCAGTCCCTCCAGGTGCTGAGCTCACTCGCTTCCCATCCTCTTGCCAGGACAGACAGCTTGCAGGAGGCTCCTCTTGGCTTCCGGGACAGTAAAGACCACACACAGGGTCTGCTTGATCTGAGTTAGGAAAGGTGGTATTTGTGGTCATTTCCATGGAGATTGAAGTTTGCCTTTGCTCTACCCTACTGAAAGGTTCTCTCAACCAGATAATAGTGGAAATTAGGTGAGCAAAAACTATATGTTAAGAAAAACATGTCTTTAATTACAATCTCGTTTGCTGTTGATGCAACATTTCTGCCATTTCTCCCCAATCTGTCAAAGTTTGCTCCATTGAAAGTTATAAAGGGGCTGTGTATCAATGAAACAGTTAAATTCCTATGCTGCTTCACCAAATCCCAGTCTGTGACGAGTACAGAATACCTGTCTTTTTAAGAGGTTTTATCAGGCCAATAGGTACACTCCAAAATGCCTTCCACCACCTGGCAGGTGACGTTGAGGGACAAGCCTCTCCTGAGCAGTTTCCCCACATCTGATTGCTTGCAAGATTCAGCATCTCCGTTTGCTGGCCTACCGCGTGCAGGATGGGAACCAGGTCATTCCCGTGTGGTGGCATTTTCCTGTGCCAGCAGTTGTCTCAAGAGAGTCAGAGCCATCTTGTCTTCCGTCATCCCCAGGACACGTGACTGCACATGGATGACAAATACAGCAGTGCACTTGTCTTTTAAATAATGATGCTATTTATTTTTGCTTCATCAACTTTTGAGAAGTCAGACTTTTTTTAAAAAGATTTTATTTATTTATTCATGAGAGACACACAGAGAGAGAGGCGAGACACAGGCAGAGGGAGAAGCAGACTCCATGCAGGGAGCCCGATGCGGGACTCGATCCCGGGTCTCCAGGATCACCCTCCTGGGCTGAAGGCGACACTAAGCCGCTCAGCCACCCAGGGATCCTGAAGTCAGACATTTTTAAGATTAAAAATAACCATCTGAAAGCCGTAATTTCAGAAGAGATCAAGTATTGAACACATAGCTCCCGTCTCGAGACTGGAGTATGAAGGTTAAGGGAAGATCTTGAACTGAGTTTACACCTCGTTTTGGAATCACGTGGTTCTTCTTAAAAACCAGGTATGCCCAGCAGCTGAGTCAGTGGCCACAGGTGTCTTGGAGACAAAGCTAGAAGAGAAAATAAGATTCCAAAAAAAAATTTAAAAAAAGAAAATAAGATTCCACTGAGGCTGTAAAATCCTGTTTTAGTCATTCTTGCCATCAGGCTTACCAAACCTGTTAATAGTAGCTACATTAACTGGCTCATTCTTCTCCTTCATTCTTGTCCCTTTATTTCAAATACATTGAAGACAAAAAGCAAGTTTAGATTTAGAAGTTCTGGGGAAAAAAATGAAGAAATGGCCACTCTCATTCATATCCTATACTGACAATACTTAGGTATAAAATCGATCTGTATTGTAACCACATAGAAATTTGTGTTGTTCTGAAATCTTAAGACTGTTTTAAAAGGGAAGCTGTTTTTGCCATCAGCTTCGTACAATTTAAAGAAATAACCTATTAGCCTCCTGTTATGTTGTGGGAAGCGTGTTCAGCAGTGGAGAGGGAGCTGCAGAGATAAGGAACACCCAGTCTCTGTCCTCAAGGGACTTATATTCTAGTAGCAAGCCTCAAGGGTATTTTCATTTGGGTAGAGGAATGAACCAGCTTTAAAGAAGCAGGAAAAGTGAAGACCGCACCTTCTCACTACATGGCCAGATACCAGGGTTGGTGGCTGGCTGCAAGAGGACCATAGGAACAGCTTGCTTTTTGGATGGATTCCAAATGACGAGTCAGATTTATCTAGTAAAGCAAGGGGGGTACAACCCCAGGAAGGAAAAAAACATGCAAGTGTATGAAAGTGTGTGGACTATGCCATAGAGAACTGAGGTAGGGTTGCTGGTGACCAGCATGCAGAAGAGGTTAGCATGATACCATAGGTCAAGTTAAAGGGTGTCTGCCAGTGGTGGGATTTTGGGTCCCTTCTGCAGGCAGGAGGGGGAAGTCCTGAGGATTTTTCGGGGGTGGGGGTGTCATAGTGGCCAAATTTGTTCCTTAGAAAGATCCTTCTGGCAGAACTACAAAGGAAGTCTTGAACAGGAATGAGTGTGCCCGAGGCCAGGGAAGCATAGGAAATAGTCCATGGAAGAGAAGTACACTCCAGAAGGCAGCCTTCTCAAGTGGGATATGGGGGGCAGCTTGGTGAGCACCAGCCAAGAATGGCCGGGGAGGATAGGGAGGTGGCCAGTGCTGGGTGTGAGCAGTGAGTGCGCTGTGATAGTGGTGTTGGGGGGGTATAGGATCACAGGGACGAGTTCTGGTCTTGGAAGAGCATGGGTTTGGTTTTGGTAGAGTTGGATTTGAGGGCGCTATGGGATACACACCTGCACCTGTCAAGGGTAGAACTTGGAAGTTGGGGTTTGGACAGACTCCTTGGGAGACGCCATGTGTACATAGTCATTAACTTACTTCTGCTCTGACAGTTCCCAGGTGATAAGATTGTGGACCGGGAGCTATTACTCAGCTATATTTGATTTATTTGGTTTTCCTTTGTTCTCCATCACAATGGCAACTTTTCCTTTCCAAATTCCTATTCATGAGGTAGGGAGCTTTTTGCTTCCATCAAAATTCTGTAAAACCATTGAAACATTTTACATAAACTTTCTGCCAACATGACTCAAAAATCAGGTGCTTTGGTAGTTTCATTTTAGAACTTGATCTTCGCTTTCATTAAAATAATTATTATGCCAGGTTTGGAAAAATTCCTCGTAGGGTCACTAAAGCTAAATTTATTTGTCATTCTTACCAGTCTACTTACAGATTATACAGGAAATGAGCAGAATCAGTATTCTTAAATAATCCCCCACCTTTTTTTTAAGCAACTTAGATACTCCCTAATACTCCAGAGAGGACCCATTGCCCTCTCCATACCTTTCCCACAAGTCCATCCCTGCCTCCCCCGCACACACAGTAGTAACCCACAAGCACAGTCATGAAACCCAAGTGATGCAGGGCGGCTACCGCACAGTATCACTACACCACTGAAGCAGGTGTAGAGGCAGCAACCAACAGTCTTGGTGACGTTGACTCTTTGAGAAGAATGGACACTGCTTCTCGCCACCTTGACCAAAAGGGAAACCTGTCTCTATGCTGTTTGTCCGCCATATCCAGTGCTCACTATTTGGACTTCTTAGCTGCTTTGATATTTGCGTGCATCTGAGTGACATGTGTAATGGATTATTAATTTGTTCAACATTCGAATTCTTAATTGAAATCAGTTTTCCATCACCATGAGCGAAGAAAAAAGTACTTGAGAAAAATCGTGTGTGTGTGTGTTTTAACTTTTTAGGGGCTGAGACTTGTTATGCCTTTTTTCAATTAAAGGAAAATCAAGATCAAGTTATAAATCCTTGAAAGAACAGGGGTTTATAATTGAAATTTTGGCAGATTTTCTTGCCAAAAACAGTGTGAATAGATGGTTTGGCTTTAGTCGTGCTTTTTTGATGGAGTGTTTTTAACTAAACAGTATTGGGGGTGTGTGGAGGGCTGCCATATAGAATAGGGTTCTCTTCTAACCCTGAAATACTAAGTCATTTATTTAGGGGGTTGCTATGGGAGACAGAACAGCTTTTGAAAAATCCAGAAATCTTTTTAAAACATTCTTGACGTAGAATAGATTTGAATTAACATTCTGATTTTTTTTTTAACATTAATTTCCAGATAGCAAAATTACTCAGTGGGAAGATCCAAGACTGCAGAATCCAGCTATTACTGGTCCGGTCAGTATTCTCAAGTTTTAACTCTTCAGTCTAATATTTGGGTTGCATCTAAACATGTATTTCTTGTATATTATTGCTCACCTGGTGCCAGGGGCCTGGTGTGGTTGGCTAGATTAGCATCTCTCCCATTTCCTCCTCACTGGAATTCCCGGGTGGGATACAACTGCATTTGCCTTTCTGAAGGGCTTTCACTTATAAAGGAACAGAAAGTGCTTTGCCAATAGTAACAAAACTATACATTTTTTCCTCCTGTGTAAAAAGGTGGATGAAAAGTATAACAATCAGAATGTCCTTTCCCCCCCTCCTTTTTTTTTTTTTTTTTTTTTTTGCCAAGCCAAGCCCTGTATCTGTAGAGTTTGTCAGTTCTTTCGGCCAAGGGTGGTAAATGCATGCTAACAATCTGAATCTCTTCTAGCGTGGAACGTTTGGAAAACTTTGGTTGAGGTTGTAGCCAACCTCTGAAGCCGGCAGGGTTAAGAACCTCTGTCTCTGCTGACCCACTACCTTACAGTCCCTGCCTATACGCCCAGGGCAAAAGGAAGCTAGGTAGAGAGCCCTCTTAAAATACTGCCACGTGCGGTGTTCAGCCCACCCCCACCCCATCACTCAGCAGTAACGGCTCCTTGGTACCCAGCACTGCCTGGGTCACAGTCATCCACAGGGAATGTACCAGCATCTTTGGTCAGTGTTGATAGGAGCCCGGGGAGCTAATTTGGAATTACAGGAAACCTGTGGCATCACAAAACATTGCAGACTTGGGGATCTGTTAAAAACTGGAGGAGCCAAAGGAAATAAAAGCATATTGACTGCTGGGCTAAGAGGCCAGTAGGTTTGGGTTTTTTTAATACTGCTTTTGTGGCTTTAATCTGGTTCAGTTCAAATTATGTTTTGAGTTATTAAAGGTAAGTCTGTTTGAAAACTTAAAAGATAATACCATGCAAACCTCCCCTGATATTTGACATCCCCTAAGTTAATTTGTTGGATTTGTTTATTGGCTTTGTTCAGCTGCTTTGGTACCGTGTAACGCAAAGTGCCCAATCATACCTCAGTTAAAACAGCTGCTTTTTATGTGACTTCAACACCTGCCTTACCACCATGGCTTCCTTTTGATATATTCACAGTCACGATAAAGCGCTAGAGTCCTATTTTCTCTTCTGCATCATGAGAAACAAGGTATTCAGGAATCAGTGCTGTTTCCAAGTGACAGAGGACTTTTGACATAATTCTGAAGCCTTTTGAAATATCTCTATCACTGATCATCTGCCTTCACTCAAACACCATTAGTTCTTACTATGTTGACAATTGCTTAGCATCATAAGTCCAAGTAGATTTGACCCAAAGAAAGATCTTTTTTTTTTTTTAATTAAGAAAAGAGCCTTGTTTACTCTTTCATTAGTAGTAGGGAGTCTTCTTTCGGGAAGAGCATGTATATTTAGGTAGTTAGCAACTTCGTGTAGACAGCTGGCTTTTGTTGTCATTCAGTTCTGAATATTTGGTAATTTCCATGATTGCTTTCTCTCCTTGACTTACAAGTTATTTAGAACGTGCTTTTCATTTCTATTTCTTAACTAATTTTCTAATTTTATTGCATTGTGGTCAGAGAATATTATCTATGGAATATTGATTACCAGATATTTGAAACTTCCTTGGCAGCTCGGCCATTTTTTTATATAAATGTTCTTTTTGTGTTTGAAAAGAGTGTGTATTCTGTCTTTGTTGAGTATAGAGTTCTTTATATGTCCATTATATCAAGTATATGGTGTTCAAATTATTCATTTCCATCACTGCTTTTTTTTTCCTGGCTGTTCTATAACCAAGATGGTAGTGTCAGACTCTCCCTTGGCGAGCATGGCTTTATCAATCACTTTCTCTTCCTTAGTATTTGCCTGGTATATCTTTTCTCCTGCTTAATTAGCTGTTTTTTTCTCTTTTCTTACCTAGATAGATAAAATACCCTTTATTTTCTTTCATTTCCTCTACTTGCTTGGAAGTTGATTTTCTATTTCTGTTCTTTCGGTGCTTACGTTAAAATTTGTAACCAACATACTTCATGTCAAAATTGATCACTCTGTTCTCCTCCTGAGTAAGATGGGACTTGGGAGATCTCTCATATCATCCTTCCTATTCACTTTCCATCGTTTGGCAACATTTTAAAACTTTCCAAATAGCCGTTAATATTTTAACTTTTTTCTCAGCAGCCAGTGCTTGTTTACGTCCCTTAAATGTAAGCAGATTTCTTTGCCAACCATTGGTTCTTATACCTGCTACCTCTAGGTTTTCCTCTGAATGAAGTAGGATTCCAGATTCTTAGAGTGTTGTCTACAGGTCAGAATCATCTGGAAACTTGTTAGAAACACAAATTTGGGGGTCCCAACCCAGGCCTACTGAGAATCAAGCAACTTTGGAGAGTGAGCCCTGCAAAATCTGTTTGAACACACCCTCCCAGGGATGGTGGTGCCCACCTGAGTCTGGGAGTGGGAATCTCTTAGTCTGAGAGAGAGGGCTTATATGACCTCTCTGATAATTGATAGCTCTAGAAGTCTTAACTAACCATTATTTTCCTAATACCTGGGAGATATTCTTTTCTTGTCTTCTGGCCTCCAGAACTGTTGAGAAGCTTGCTATTGATCTGATTGTCATTTTTTGGTAGCTAAGTCTTTCTTTTCTCTGGCAGTTTTGAATTTTCTCTGTGACTTTGGCATTGTGTAATTTTACTGTCATGAACCTAAGTGTGCATTTCTTTATATTCTGCTTTGGACCCATTGTAATTCTTCAATCTGGGGACCCTTGTCTTCCCTCCATTCTGGAAAATTCTCCAGCTATTTCTCATATACTGTATCTTTGCTATTCTTCCTGGTTATCTGTACCAGTAATTCCTCTTGGGTCTGTGATTCACCTTCACATTCTGTCTTCCTAATGTCTTAGCTTTCCTATTCTCTGTCTCCCTGTCTCTCTCTCTCTCTCTCTCTCTCTCTCTCTCTCTCTCTCATTGCTATATTGTGGGCTCAGCTCTTCCAGCTAATTCTTTTTTAAGCTTTTTGTAACCTACCCTTTACCAGTTCATCATGTCTATTATTTCAGTAACTATGCTTAATTACTCATCATTCCATTGAGTCTTTTTCACTTTGCTTGGTCTTTTCAGTTACTGTTATTCTATCATGTTCTTTTATTTTTTTTAACTCATACTTAGCTCTCAAATCATTCTTAAAATGCTTATTTCATATTCTCTTTTAGATTATTCTGTTATCTCTGGCCATAGGGGCACTAAATTTCCCATGTGTTGTGTCTGTAGACTCCCCTCAATGGTAGTTCAGTTTAGTTCAGTTTATAAAAAGTTCAGTTTATAATTTGTGTGTGTGCGCTCATCTTTTTTTTTTTCCTCCCCTATGAGGCATTTATAAGTCCTGACCTGTATTTACCGTTAACTTCTTAGCTTGGGATCATGCAGGCCCAGTTAATATAACTGTGGACTTCATACCCACTTTGGTGTAGGCTTAGAGTATGAATTTATTACAGGTCTGTTTCTTTTTGTTTTTCTCTCGTTTGTGGTCCTGGACAGAAGGTAAGCTTCCTTACAACTTTCCTGGGCTGGTGGGAAGTTTTCTTGTCCCTGTGTCAGATGTAGGTTTTAAGCAGGGAACTCTGTTTCTTACTCCCTAGCTCAGTCATACAGACTGTAGGGCAACTTCTGTGGCCCCATGTGAGGATTAAAACCCCAGCCCAAGCACTAAGTCTAGGTCCAATGCTCCCGTCTTTAATTTTAAGTCTTTCTGCTTATCTGGAACCTAGAGTTTCTCTTTCTCCCAAGTTTTAAAAATATCTGGATTAGGGGAGGGGGAGGGTTCCCTGTCTGTGGCAGCTCAACACAGCATTACTGTAAGTCTGTGTTACAAGCATCACCAGTGAAAGCGTTGGTAAAGTGCTGTCCATGCTTGCTGCTCTTATGAATACTATCTCATGTTTGTGTAACGCTTTGTACTTTTTTGAGAACTTTATAAATCAGCTGCTTTGAAACTCAGCAACAGTCCACTCAGGAATAGGGAAGATGCTGTCATTCCCAATTTGTCAGAAGCTCAGAAACCCACCCGTGTTGCCATCCATCCCAGCAAAGGCCAGAAGTAGAATAGGAGCTATGGGTGTGCTGGCCGCGCCAGGGTCTCCACGTCAGACACGAGCCCCCCTCTGAGGAGCACCAGCATCAGCTGGACCGGAGCGATGTGAGAATGTTTAGACCCGACTTAGGCGATCAGTCAGGCTTTCACTTCTGTTCAGAAAAGAAAACATATATAATATAGAGCTCATTGCTTTTATCAACAAACATGTTAAGTTTTGGAGCAGGCTTTATATTAGAAGTTAAATTGTACACAAGAAAATAATATGCCAGAATTTCAAAAGACAATAAACAAATACCAGACATGTACTCCACTCGTGATTCTCTTCAAAGGCTGCACTTGTAGGGAGGTTTTGTCCAGGGAGGTCTTTGTCCTGTTGGCATTAGTTCAGGAGGAGAGTATAAAGACCTATTTATTCTGCTGCTTCTTATTCATAAGAACTATCTCCAGAGAGAAAAGAGAAGTATTGAAGAAGGATAATGATTTTTCAGCTTTCATGCATCATTGCCCAGAAGAAGAAAGATCAGAAATATCTCAGCATTTTATTTCCACCCACATGCAGTCAGCACCTCCCAGGTACAAGTCAAGCAGGAGAGTAGAGAACACAAGCTGGGGGCAACATTTTAAGATATATCCTCCCTCTGTGATTTAAGACTCTTGAACTTGTATTTTAGGCCTGCCTTCAACATTTTCAGGGAGGACACAAAAACAAAAAATAATTGCTGGGAACCACAGGTTTTTGGAAACGGAAGAGCCTTGAAGTTCATCTAGTCCATTTCTTCCTTGACTATGAAGAAATTCTGTAGTCAGGAGGTTATGTCGCAGGGCTAGTTGGCACCGGAGTCTGCCTTAGAAGTCCGGTCTGCTAAAGCCAGCTTGAGATAATGAAAGGGCATTTTTTTCAACTTACTTTCCCTCTGACACAGTTAAGCGTAGCTAAAAGCATCAGCTGAACACTTTCCTTCTGGAGACTTTATACACACTGCTCCTGTCGTGGTGTCTTCCTTCCTGCCCTCTGGGTTCTGCTCAGACCACTCCTATAAAGGAGCCTACTGGCAACTCTGTTTTCCCTCAGTACATTTACCACTATTCATTTATTTATTTCTTACTGCCTGTTACACACAATAGCTTGCAAGCTCCTGGAGGGAACAGGAAAAGAAATCTTTGGTGGGTGTACCATTATTTCCCTAGCACCTGAAATCTTGGCACAGAATAGGAGCTCAGGAAGTATCTGTTGAACGAGGAACCACCAAAGAATCCATAAAACTGACAGGAAACCTTAGTTTATGATGGGATATAGTATTAGAGCAAAAAACATGATAATGTCCTCATTGGCTTATATCAGAACAATGTATCCTTGCCCTTACTTTGGTGGTCTCCTGAATATTGGCAAAATTTCTACCTTTTCTAGAATCAGGATTCATAATTGACTTCATCAGACTGAACACGGCCCAAAATAAATATGATAGATGGTCAAATCTAGTGTTCAATGGAAAATCCAATGAAGAATAGCTTAAAAGCTGAGATCCTAGGTACCATAAATTGTCTTAAGAATCTCCTTAGGATATATAAACACGTTGTCTTTATTGCTCTTGAATTACAAAGCAAAACACTGACATGATTATTGTTTTCTATAAGAGTGGTTATTTTTGTTTTGGCTTATTGTTTGTGTGATTGTGTCTTAAAATAGTATGAAGGAGGGAAGCTTTTGTTTGTCACTTCTCCTCTTTCTGAAAAAGTATAAGGTGTTAGGCTTGGAGTCTGGAGACACTTTAAGGATCAGTATATTTTATTAACTTAGCCCAAAATGATATCAGCAGAACTATTCTTGCCCAAATTCATACTATTTGTGGAAAAGCAACAAGTTTTTCTGAGTACGAGGCTGTCACAGTTATGTCCATGTGTATGCAAAAGCCAATCTTTTCCGCTTTCTAAAAAAAATAATAAAGCCTTTTCAGTAGCCTGAAGTCAGGGCTCTGGCTCTCAGATATTGTAAGTACTTTACACCATAGCAAGTAAGTAGTATAAATGACGACATTAAAATGTTATTACTTTACCAGAAGAGATTCCAGAACTTTTAAGTAATGATAGCCAACTCAGTTACTGAACCCACGCCTTTGGTACCATCACTCTGCTTCGTAGATACGCCACTCCAGATATACAGAAATCCCTGCCCAAGACCTGCTAACTAGTAAGAGGCAAACCTTCCATTCCTAAATCGAAGACCTTTCCAAAATGCTGTCTACCTGATTTTATATTCCTTGCTATGAGTATCCATTCACTAGCCTTTCTTGTCATTTTATTTCTTCCCCATGGTTTCTAAAAGCACAGTTAGTCTTTTCAAAATGACCACATACGTGATTTTGGATTTTATCTTAAAGAATCCTAGCCAATGACTTTTATCTAAATCCCCCCCAAAAAAAAGGTTACACCCCAACTCCCATTTAGACAAAAGTCACGTGGACAGTGTATTTGGTTTATGTTGCATATCTCTAAAAATGATGTCAATCCAGTTATTTTAAGGGGTAAAAGCCCCCCACTCAGTGCTGATTTGCCGCAATCACCTCTAGGCCTTTCTGTCTACACTATAGACATTATATAAATTTCAGTGATTATACGGAGAGTGAGAATTTTAAGGTTTATGATTTGTGAAATTCTGTGAATGTTGGCTCAGTAGACCTAAAATTTCTAGTGTATTGTGTACATTATCAATATGTATAAATTTATCTTCCAGGCTGTTCCTTACTCCAGAGAATTTAAGCAGAAATATGACTACTTTAGGAAGAAATTAAAGAAACCTGTGAGTAACATATCTTCCAGAAATGCTGTTCTAGTCATTTGTAAGTTACCAAAGTTACGGGATCCCTGGGTGGCGCAGTGTTTTGGCGCCTGCCTTTGGCCTAGGGCACGATCCTGGAGACCCGGGATCGAATCCCATGTCAGGCTCCCGGTGCATGGAGCCTGCTTCTCCCTCTGCCTGTGTCTCTGCCTCTCTCTCTCTCTCTCTCTCTCTCTCTCTCTCTCTCTCTCTCTGTGACTATCATAAGTAAATAAAAAAAAAAATTAAAAAAAAAAGTTACCAAAGTTACTTCAGTGAGAACGACTCGTGTGTCACCTTTATGTGTGTACTAAAAATATTACCTTCCTTTTTCCATTGCACTTTGATCCACCTGGATCTTCAATCTGAATTTTCTTTTTTAAGAGACATGGTAAGTGAAGACTAACCTAGTATTACATATCAAATCAACCTGAGTGGTCATTTCTTATGTAATACATGAAAAGATAGAAGTGATTTTAATGGGATATAAACCAATTCAGGACCTAGTCAGAAAATCTGGAGAAGCCTGTGCACTTGCCTATGGTCATCATCATAAAACCTAGACCCCACTTACAAAAATGTTCCCGTCCTTCCCTTCCAATTCAGAAGTATAATTTTAATCCTGCTGCTAACATAAACACAATTTGTAATACTAAATTCTAATATTTGGCATATTAAGAGCAAGTGTAAATTGTCAGATTAAAATTCTTAGTGGGAAACCCTGTAAGATTTTTACAAGACCGAGAAACCCTATGAGGTTTTTTACAGGCAGCATTTAAATCACAATATTACATTTTCTACTGACACATCCTCTCTGGATCTTCAGCACTGCATCTTCTGTTGTACTGCCTGACTTTACCTCTCTGATCCATGTTTTACCAGTTTTCCCTTCAATTTGAGCATCCGTGGTTTCTACACCAGCCATGGTTCCTTGGCTTCCTCCCCTCAGGAAGAGGAGAGTATTGGCCATGGCTCCCCTCACCCCAGTCTGCCCAGGCTCCATCCCCACAGCCAGTCCCTCTTTTCTGGGCCTCTTTGATGGGGATGCCCAGATGCACGAGACGTCGTCTCTGCGTCGGGAGCTCTCACTTTGGGGTTCTCTTCTCCCAGCGTCCTGATTCAAGTAGTTGTTGGATAACTGCCCTTGAAGTGACTTCGACACACACATGTAAAATTCCTCAGTGTTAACTTTGTGAGGAACCTACATTTCCCCCAGTAGCAGGGGATGACTTTGTGGGTAGTAGCCCATCTCTCCCCAGCACCTCCGCTGTGGTGTCACCTGCCAGGAGGCTCACTCTGCAGATCCACTGTCAGGGCAAGGCTCACCCTGGTCCTCCTCTGTCCAGGCTGTGGTTATGCCCAACTCCAGTCAAGTGCTTACTGACGTTCATGTTCATGAACTGTGACCTTTGCAATGCTTTCCCACAACTTGGCCTGATAACCGAGGTCCCACTTCTGATGGCAACAAAATTAGCTTGTAGGCATGGGGGCTCCCATCTCCCAGCTAGAGTCCCTGCCAGAGTTGGACGTGCGCTCATCTCGGCCAGGTGAGGATTGTTTTATGGGTTTCTGTGACCTGGACTAACATCCCTTTCTTTGACAGAAGCGATGTGGAGAGTTGACCATATTTCAGTGGCCCGTAGGTGGATAAGTGCCCCACATGGTTTATAAAATGGGGAGAGGATGACGGTCTTCTCCTCAAACACACTTTCTTGTGCATCATGTGTTCCCGGCTAAATCTGCCAGCTGCTGGCACATACTCTGTGTATCTTATCCTGACATAGTGGGGCTTGCTGTCTGTGTGAAGAAAATCCCTGAAGGAGGGAATCTCAGCTGGAACCCTTCATCACTTGTTTATTTGAAGACTGCCGTCATTTCTGCTCTTTGTTGTTGGATTTTTTTTCTGTTCGAGAGTAAAGCGTGTGTTTACTGTGTGATTACAGGCTTGTTTTCTTCTTTCGTGTAGGCTGATATTCCAAATAGGTTTGAAATGAAACTTCACAGAAATAACATCTTTGAAGAGTCCTATCGGAGAATCATGTCTGTGAAAAGACCGGATGTCCTGAAAGCTAGACTGTGGATCGAATTTGAATCAGAGAAAGGTCTTGACTACGGGGGTGTGGCCAGAGAGTGGTTCTTCCTCCTGTCTAAAGAGATGTTCAACCCCTACTACGGGCTTTTTGAGTACTCTGCAACGTGAGTATGCGGAGGGCTCTCTGAATGTGGCCCCCCCCACCCACCCCCACCCCCACTGAACCAGTTTTACTCATAATGAATTTAAATTTAACAGGAGAATGAGTGGCTCAGTCATTTAAGATGAATTAACAGTGCCGATTTCAGCCCCCCCCCCAACCCTCATAGATCTAGAACAGGTTCCGACTCTCCATGGTGAAGTAATGTACTCTGTGAACACCTAAAAATAATTTTTCCTTTGTCATCCAGGTTCACGTCATTGAAATTGAAAATGTGCTGGGTACTTATGGTAGGGAACAAGAGGCAATTTTCATTTGTAATGTTATGCTAATTCGAGAGGATTTGTCAGTGTCAGAATTCAGAAACTCATCAGGTTACAGACAAGAATAGTTTCTGAAGTTCTACTACTCAAAGGCAAATGATGTGAACCTTGAGGACCCATTCTTCGTGTCCTGGTCCTGTAAGGAAAGAAACAGATTCTCCCTTGCATTAGGATTTCATGATTCCCAAACATGGAAACTGAGGCCGATTTAGTTGCCTTCTCAGGAATCCACACCTGCGACTTACAAGGCCACACATTCCTTCCAGGCTGTAGAGTCTCCAAAGGCTTAGACTAGACCTGAGGCCCCAGTAGAATAGTTGACCTTGCTGAAAGGCAGCCTGTGCTCTAAGGGGACATGGCTTCTCCCACATTATCTACCTGGTGCTACTCTCCTGGAAGCTATTTTGGAAGCCAACCTTAGCATCCTCCTTGGTTGATCTAGCCAAGAATTTCCCATTTTGTTTACTGTTGTTCTCCAGTCCCTTGAGAAAGCCTGCTATGTGAAATTGGTAAAACCTTTGAAGTGGAGGGCAGGGTAGGAAGGTAAGACCCTAACCTCTCACCCACATTCCCAGAGAGAGAGAGAGAGAGAGACCGACCACCACCACCCCCATGCCAGGGGAATCTATGAAGCCCCATTTGAAGCCAACTGATCTCAAGATTTTGAGACCAAAAAATGGTGATTAGATACATGTGAACATTTTGAGGTTTGCAGTGTTGAGACTCCAAATGCTGCTACCAGTGCCCTTGTTGAGTGGGGGAGGGGGAGGGCACCTTTCAGGGCAGAGTGTGCTGGTCGGACCAAGGGTTGGGTCCATCAGAAAAACTTGAATCTCCAAACCAAAAGTCTCCCAAAGGAATTAACCCTCATCCTCACAGAGAAAACATGGTACTCATGTCATTGGGAATCCACACATGGTTCCTCTGTGTTAGACGGCGTTTCTCATCCTCCCAAGATATTCGCCTAAACCATATGAAACTGACATTTCTGTAGAGCAAAAAGTACTCAAATATGAACAGTTTCTTGAAGTGTAACGTAAGAAACGTAACTGTTCTGTTAGACCTCAATGGGTCACAAAGGGACTAACTAGACAGTCATGTCCTCTAGCTTATGCCTTGTCCCATTGGGTACAGAACGTTCGCAGGTGTGCTCTGCAAGTCTAATGACAGGAGGCAAAGGAGAATTCAGATCTTTGCATTTCTTATTTAAAAGTATGATTGTGCTTTTCCCTTCTATCCCTCCCCAAAGGGACAACTACACACTTCAGATCAATCCCAATTCAGGCCTCTGTAATGAAGACCATTTGTCCTATTTCACTTTTATTGGAAGAGTTGCTGGTCTGGCAGTATTTCATGGGAAACTTCTAGATGGTAAGTTACTGACACAAAGGAACCAAAATGGGACATTGCTGTTTGTGGTTCCTTATTAGGCTTCATATCTTTCACATCACAATTTTAAGCAGAAGTTTCACTGATTTCTCTAGAATTCGATAAATTAGTTTTATGGTTTGCCTATAAAAGGTGCTTTTCCCTGGTGTCATCCTAATTTGAGCACTGAAGACATAGTGTCTACAGTTTCAAAAAAAATTTTTTTAACTGACAGTGTGAAGCACAGAACATTCTGTATTTGCACATTTTCTGCTATCCAGAGTAACTTTTTTTTTTTTTTAGCAAGAGGTAGATTTGGTGACAGATGGAAAAGCTAATTGAAAAGTTAATGAAAATGATCTCATCCACCCAATATCCTGCTATTGTTCTGTTTGTCCTCAGATTATTATTTTTTAATGTGAAGGGATTGTAAATAATTTCAAAGCAATGCTAGAAGTCAGTGAAGACCTTGACCCTGAGATCACTGCTTAAACAGATGGCACAAAAGAATCTCATTATTATTTAGAGCATATAAGTCAGGGAAGAACTTCAAGGTAACCTCGGAGTTAGAAGTCAGATTTCTTCCCTGGCTGGATCCGTAGGCTGATTAAGAGTAGACACCTCTTCTGGATTCCATTACTTCAGAAGTACTAACTGGAAGGGGGGATTACAGAAATCCATCAGTGAGGAAGTAGAGTCAGAAATATTTTTGAAGGAGGAACCTGGGTGGCTCAGTTGGTTAAACATCAGACTCTTGCTTTTGGCTCAGGTCATGATCTCAGGGTCATGAAATCAAGCCCCACAAAGGGCTCTGTGCTCAGTGAGGAGTCTGCTTTTCCTTCTCACTCTGCTTGTCCCCCTGTGAGTGTGCACATTCACTCTCTCTCTAGTAAATAAAATCTTTTAAAAAAAATCTATTTTGGGCGGGGCCTGGGTGGCTCAGTGGTTGAGCATCTACCTTTGGCTCAGGTCGTGATCCCAAGGTCCTGGGATCAAGTCCCACATCGGGCTCCCCTCAAGGAGCCTGCTTCTTCCTCTGCCTGTGTCTCTGCCTCTTTCTCTGTGTCTCTCATGAATAAATAAAATCTATAAAAAATTTTTAAAAATTAAAATATCTATTTTTGAAGAATGTGGGCATAACACAGTTGAGGATAGAGAGCAGAGAGTAATATTTGAGGTCAAAATTATAATTACCATAGAAAATGAGGTTTTCTCAGTAATTATGTTAATTGTTTGTGGAACTTCAACTATTCCAGTGAATAATTGATGGCCCCTCTGTACTTCTCCCTTTAATATATCTTCACTGGTAATTGCTAGCTGATTTTGATCCACTTATTTCATGTTTTATTTTTGGTGGGGAAAGTAAACATTTTTTTTTCCTGATTAGAAGGAAACTGCACTCATTATTTATGTATTTTATACACACACACACACACACACACCGTGTGTGTGTGTGTATAAATATATTTTAATTCTGCGACTTGGGAGTTACACCATAGATTATTTTAGCTTGTATAGATCCATTTCAGCCTTCTTAAAGGTCTGTTTATTTACCTTCTGCCAAGTGAGAAGACATTCTTAGTTGCTGCAGAGAAATCTGGAAAGATGATAAGATCTTGGCCTCAGTGAACTTCAGTTCTGTGGGAGGGGATAGGCGAATGGGCGAGGAGCAGGAGAATGGGGGCCTGTAGGAAGAGGGAGCGTGGGAGGAGAAGGCAGCCTGGCAGGAGGGTCCAGGGAGTGGACCTGTGCCACACCTCGAGGGTGGGGTAGGAGTAGGCATTTAGGAGCTGGGGTCACTAGAGAGCCAAGGCTCTTGTGAGAGGAGGAGTGGAGAGAGGCAGGAACACAGCAGGGAGGAGGAGACTGCCACAGAGGGGAGAGCAGTGTGCCTGGGAATTCTGGAGTGAGAACCAGAGGGCCCACAGGTGTGTGAGGCCAGAAGGAGAGCCCTCACCCCCACCCCACCCCCGCAGATCCTGTGCACTCCCCCTTCCCCGGAAGACAGCACAGCCTTCTGGGTGGTCACCCTTGTTCCCCTCTTGCCCACTTCCTGCTTGTCTCCCCATTACTGCCCAAGCAGTGATCCCCAAGTGCAGGTGAATTTTCACCTGGCTTTTCCAGGACACCCGATCCCCAGGCAGCAGCCTGACTCCCCAGACCCCTCGCGGCCTGTCCTCGCCAGGGCGCCTTACCCTCTACTTCTCCTTTGTACTCCGGCTCATGTGGCTTGTTTGAGCTGCAGACGCCTGCTTGGCCTTCAAGAAGCTCTTTTTCCCTCTGTGCTGTACTCTCTCCCTTTCCTGAGCCCTGCCTTCCCCTAGGCCAGGCCTGGCCTCTCATCCAACCTGCGGGCAGCTTAGTTTTTTATTTCATGCTCTGATGCACAGCAGTATCAAAGCTTGGAAAACTAACCCCTGGTTTTCCACCATATCTTAGGTTTCTTCATTAGACCGTTTTACAAAATGATGTTGGGAAAGCAGATAACTCTGAATGACATGGAATCTGTGGTAAGTGAATATAGATCACTCCCATGGGCGTCACGGGCCACCTTCAGGAGAGGTAGCTGAGACCACGTTGTAGTCACGGTGATTTTTGTGGGTGTTGTCATTCGCTGTGAACAGGGAACATTGATTTGTCCAAGGAGTTAATTGCTCTCCCTGGCTTTTATAATAAGTAAATCGTTGTTCGCATTTCCTAGATTCAGTGGTGCTTGAGGTGGGCAGACACAGATCTCGGCCACCTCACTTAACCCAGAACTGGTTTAACCAAATTAAATCCGAGGGTCGTCTGGGGATCTCACTGCAGCTCCTGCTCTCCATCGAAAACTAATAATACGACTGTTTAGAGATCCATCTGGTCTCCCTCTGTTTTCTGATCTCAAAAAAAGGTAGGAGCACAGGCCAGAAAACAGACAAAGGGAAGAGCATTTACCATCACCCCAGATGTGGAAGTGACCAGTACAGTCCAGGGGATGGGATGAACCCAGTTAGAAAATGATGCCAGGAGACACTCTCTGCAAAGTGATTCGGGCTTTCACGTTGCATTCAACTTACTCATTTTATCCAGGTTCACCATTTTAGGGTTGAAAGGATTTTCTATACAAATGAAAATGACACTCTTCTCATAACATATCTTTTGCTTCTGTTTTACTTTACCCATAGCCCCACACCATGGAGCTCCAGTCGAGCATGTGGGTGTTTGCCTGAGTGCCTGCGCACTCACAGGGCCATCAGGAAGCTCTTTGTCCCTTTGGGATATTTGCAGCTCTGCTTTCATATCCTGTCTCCTGATCAGAAAGCACCTGCATTGCCTTGGCCCTGGTGTAGTGTTGATGGTGTCTCTTACATAGTTGGGCGTATGAGCCATGTTCTCATTGTCTACCAGCATCAGTCGGGTCCTGCTCATCATCTCTCTGTGAAGGAAGAGGGTGACACCAGCAGTGCCCTTGAATCCACTCAGCTGGTTTTCCTGTGGGCGAGTTGCTACACTTATCAGCCTCAAATTTCTTTTCAGCTTTCACTTTTAACTTAGGCCTTTATTATAATGTAATGAGGAAGCTAGGAACATAGACATTTCTTTTAAAGTCTAAATCTTATACCCACCTGTTGATGGTCGGTGCACACATTCTCTCTTGCCTTCCCAGAGCCTGTCCGGCCCATCCCCAGTGGTGGAGCCCCTGGGCCTGCCCCAAGAGAGACGAGCCCAGGGCCTTGTGGCTTGTGTTCTGGCTCTGACACCAGAGCAGCCTTCCTGTTTGCTTATGGGACTTGCAGAGAGCAACCAAAGCACAGGAAAGGGGTATAAAATCATTGGTATTTAAAGTAGAACATTCTCTGTCTTTCCTGTTTTCCTCTGATGTTTTCACCCTTAAAAGATAGGAAGTATATTGATCTCTCCATGTTCAACTTGGTAAGTTATTTCTGCCAAGCCAGGGCAGATTGCTTCCTCTACGCTTTACAGAAGGCAGGATTCAAGTCCAATCCCCTGTTAGTACCAAAACACTTTTTTGGTTTGGTTTGTATTTTAAATTGAAGGAGAAGAGTAGGTTTGGAGCAGAGCAGGAAACCTATTAGTGACAAAGTAGTTCATGAGCATTCTGAAAGGGATTACGTTAGAAGGACTTAATTATTTGAAGAAGTCAAATGAGTTTGTATGTGGGGAGTTTGTATTTAATTTCTGTGTCATTTCTTTTAGGATAGTGAATATTACAACTCTTTGAAATGGATCTTGGAAAATGATCCTACTGAACTGGACCTCATGTTCTGTATCGATGAAGAAAACTTTGGGCAGGTACGTGCGGGCCTCCCCAGGATTCCCTCTTTGACTTTTAATCTTTGCTTCTTCTCAGAAGGGCTGTAACAGGACTCTGCTGGAAATTAAAACCACCTCTGAGAGCTTCACATGTTAATTAGCATCTCATTGTATCAGCACCTCCTTATCCTGCCAAGAGGCTAAGTTCTGATCACAACCCCCAAAGTTAGAGATCCTCAGTCCTCTAGGGCCTGAAGCCCATCTCCTTCTCACCTAAAGCAAATCAGAATGTGAACATTTGGACCTTGGTTTTAGAATTTAAGTACTTCAAAAAATAGCGTGTTTACTTAGTGGTATAAGTACATGGGCTGGTTAGGTGATGTTGGGGGGGGGCCTTTAATGGTTCTGTGGTCACGGTGGAAACTGTCTTGTGGGGGGGCTTAGCAGGCTTGGATTTTTCTAGCATTCCCTTCTGGCTTTGCGCCCACACTGTCATTAGGCTGAATTCACCATAAAGGTCAGTCTCAAAGATAAAATTGCCTGCTTGGAATTCTCATCACCATCCTAAAGTTTCTTAGAGTATGTTTGTCTTAAACCCAAAACTTTTAATTCATTTGTCCCTGGTGATAACAGGGCTTTTCAGGAGGTCTGCTCACGGTGTTACCCAACCCTGCTACCTGCCCTTTCACGAAAGCCCATAGACAGTTCCCATCTCCCAGAGCAAATCTCCATGACCTTGAAATTAATGAGACCGTGGAGCCTGTCTGTGAAGGGTTGCCATATGGAAAATGAAACTGATCTTCCTTCTTGCTTCAGAGGTTATTAAAAGTGTTCTCCACTGTCAAAAAATACCTGTCGCTTTACATTGCAGTACTCAGTTGTATGGGTGAAGCTAGGAAATCCGGTGCCTGCCCTCTTGGGTTCACTGTCTTAGAAAACAAACACAGACGTGCAGTTTGTCTACTTAAAAATTCTTTGTTGACCCTCCTGTGACCTTCAGTCTGAAACCTTTTTTTTTTTAATATTTTTTTTAATTTTTATTTATTTATGATAGTCACACAGAGAGAGAGAGAGGCAGAGACACAGGCAGAGGGAGAAGCAGGCTCCATGCACCGGGAGCCTGACGCGGGATTCGATCCTGGGTCTCCAGGATCGCGCCCCGGGCCAAAGGCAGGCGCCAAACCGCTGCGCCACCCACCCAGGGATCCCTGAAACCTTTTTTTTAAGCCTAGCTTATGACCTAGCACTGCCTACCTTTAGCCTTGTCTTTTGACCGCTCCATCTGCTCACCACGACAAGCATAGTGTCGTCCTATAACTTGTCCGCAGGGCCAGGTCCCTGTCTGGGGGGTGCCCTCTGCATTCCTGCACCTTGTCATCCCCCCCTCCCATAACTCTCTCAGGCTGTCCCTTAATCATTTCCCGCCTGCTATGTCCTGTGAGCCAACGTGGGTATTGCCTGCACTCAGCCGCCGCTGAGACCTACTGAAAGCTTACTGAGCAAATGAATGAATGGCACTAATCTAGGGTTTTTTTTCTTCCCCCTGTTAATAATGTTGTAACAGAAGCTCCAAGTGTGAGAAAACAAAATAGTTGCTGTGACTTCGTTTTTTAAGCTGGACCTATGTAAGGGTCTTAACTGCCAATTTTCAAAGGGTAACACATGGATAGTTCTCCAGGAACTGTGTCTTCCTTTCATTTTTAACACATGGAGAAAGGAGTAGAAATAAAGGACCAAGGAAGACTTAATATTGATCTTGTGTGTCGACTGCAAAAAAAAAAAAAAACCTTATATCCACTTATAGAAAACCATATGACTAACAGCACAGTTCAGAAGACGTTAGCAATGCCAGTGCTGGAAGCAAATGCACTAGGAAAGCTTCCTTAGTCAGTTAGATGGAACTGTTTCTGCCTAATAAATGACAACCAAACACAAGATGTTTGGATTTTTAAGTAGACCTCTAATAAAGATTTTGATGATCATTATAGTTCATATCAATTACTCATTAAAAAGAGTTCTCAGACCTCCTCATTTAGTGCTGTAGGCTCCTCTGCCTTTTGGATTGAATCAGGTAGAGTAATGCAGTAATCAAAACAGGCTCACAGGGGGAGTAAGAGAACAATTAGGTGCCCTGTTTGTTAAAATACTGCCTCCCCTTTTTAGAGAGCTAACCTGATTAACAGGGAGCTAGTGTTATCTCTCTTGCATCCTGGGAAGAACTTTAGAGTAAATTAAGCAGCCACTTTCTGATCACATCTCCCATTTCCAGTCCGTCCCCAAGCCCTGTTCATTTTAACTCCTGGATACTTCTCAAATCCATCTGTTCTCCCTTCCCATTCTTCCAACACCCAAGTCTAAGCTACAGTCTTGTCTCATAGACTCCTAGCTGGGCTTTTATAGCCACCTTGGCCTCCTGTAATGGCAGAGTGGCCCAACTTTTCAGGATGTAAGAATTGGCCTATCATTCCTCTGCCAGAAACTTTGAAGGATAAAGATCCAGATCATTGATTGGCCCCATGAGGTCCCACATGGTCTGGCCCCATCTGCCCTGTCTCCAGATGCATTTTGCATCACAGAGCTGCCCCTCTTGCTCTCTGGGTCTGGTCTCACTGAACTTCTTGAACACTCCAAGTTCCTTCTGGCCTCAGGACCTTTGCTCATGCCATCCTATCTTTTGGGAACATACTGCCTCCCACCTGTGGTCAGACATCCCTTCCTCAAGGAGCTGGACCCTGACCCCAGGCCGTAATACTTCAGAGTATGTCCATGTCTCCCTATGGCATATAGCATGGATGACTGTGCATTTATTTGTATGACTAGGTGTTGGGCATTAAGTGTAGCCTGTTGGTGTCATCACTGGGTGTGCATCTTGCCACTATGCACGCACATGCACAGAGCCTGGTACTGGGGAAACACTTTGAACAGAGCGGTTGAGCCAGTGTGGGCATCCACTGATGTGTAAGCCTCTCCTCCCTTCCAGCCCTCTGCAAAACTGTTGACTGTGCATTGCCATTGACTTTAACCCAAGAGGAAGCGCAGGCCTCCCTCTGGCCAGAACGTTGTCATTTCTTCAATGGCATGAAGTTGCCACACGTGGAGTGCACATGCAGCTGCCCTTCCTCGGTGCTATTAGCAGTGTTTTTTCAATTCTCAAAACATCAGACCATCAAGTTGGGTGGTGGCTGTCATTTCACGGAAAGAAACTCCAGCTGTGGGTCATGACCGTGCAGTGTTTTCTTTCTGGTTGATGAGAATTTGGAGCTGCTGGTTCCTGGGGCCTCACTGTGAGTGTCTCAGATGAATAGATTTCAATATTTGAACAGTCATCCTATGCTAAGCAGAAAGCATAAACCAGGCACTTGTGCACACATATGCACCCACACCCTGCAGGAGGAGGCACTTGAGCTGTAATCAGTAGAAAGTCTTTATTGTCGGTTCAGATCAGCATCTGATCGGATTGCCTTGAAGACTAGAGAAGTGAGAACTCTTACAAACCTGTGCAATAGGGAGGGGTAGAGAATGGGCTGCAGCCTGCGGGAAAATTCTTTAGGACCTCGCATATATTAGGTTAAGGCATGCATTCTCTGCTGGGGTGGTTTCACCCCCGAGGGGGTAAAAACTAGTTCTTGGAGAACAGAAAGGTCTCAGCTATTACAGTGGTTTGTGGTGTTCCTAGAAGGCAACAAGTGTCTGGTGGATCTGTTTATTAAGATTTACTGGGAAGAAAAGGGCAGAGAGAGGGGAGGGGGTCTGAAAGGGCTCTTAAGGGGTGAAAATTTTTTAAAAAATGCTAAGAAACTGAATTGGGGAAGGGAATGATGAGAGGCAGAAACTGGATGTAGGAAGGAAGGTGAGCAACCGGGCAAGGTCGTGGCTGCAGCTGGAAAGAACCAGACCAGGAGCCGACTATGGAGGGGGCTCCGGGAATGTCAGAGGCTCTGGCTCCTCAAAGACCAGGTCAAGGAGCTAGAGAGATGACACCTGGAGGAGACTGCAGGAGAAGGGCAGGTTGGCTCAGCTGCCTTGGTACCATGGCTCACGTTCATGTCTGCTTGGAGAGGCTGGCGAGGATGAGGGAGGCCTAGCGCCTGACGCTCATCCCACAGGTATCGTGGGGCACGTGTCCTCTCAGCAGGTGGGTGCTGGTCCCACAGCAAACAGCATCCAAGGTTGGGGCAACAGGCAGCTGGACCTTGCTCTGTCCACGTCCGACTTACTTGATAGGATCCACACGATTTCTTGGCAAACTCCTCAGACTCTGGACATAAGGCATCTCTGCAAGATCTGGGGGATGTTAAATCCGAAGTTGTAACCTGCCAAGAGGAGGGGCCTAGTTCTGTGAGTCACATCTCCTCATAGCTTCCTCTGATCTAGTTCATAGTCTTTATGAAGAAGAGAGATAACATCATCCTCCAGTTAGTTGACTTATATATATATATTTCCAGAAGCACAGACAGAGCACCTCCTGGGTATGAGCACTGTGTTGATGTCCTTCATATTGGGTCCCTGAGCTCAGACACAAGACAACGATGACCCTGGCCCAGAAGCAGGTGTAACAGAGGAAGTACGTATTCAGTGCAGTGGGGAGCCGGGGGGGGTGGCAGGAAGCCGCGCTCCGCCTCCCAATCAGTCTCCCTCTCAGTGAGGAAACAGAGAGAGTGGCACCTGCCTCACGGGGACCGTTATGTGAGCCCAGCACTGCACCTGGGCCATAGGCCGCCGTCTATGTCTGGCCCTTGGCAGCCACTTTAAAACGTGGAATTGGAGCAGCCGCTGCTACCGATTCAAGATGTTTTCTGTGAGAAGCCCGAGCAGGATGGAGATGGACCCCTGAAAGCTTGAGCTGGGACACTGGTTGCCAGGCTCTGGGAGCAGGACCTGGAGCCTGCCCTGAGCCCCCACAGACGGCTTGCTTGACCTCCTTACTTAACTCAGAGAGTGGGGTTCCCCCCCCCTTTTTTTTCTTTCAAAAACAATTCATTTATCTGATGACAAAATACTAATAACGTCAGTAGTAAACATAAAGCCAGTACAATAAAAATACATAAAGGTCATCCATGGTTCCTACCACCCAGAGAACGTTCACGATTAAAATTTTGATTTCTGTCTTCCGGACTTACTCCCGGTAAGCACATGCACACAGGACTTTTTTATCTTTACAGAACAGAATTGTATGATGCGTATGCTTCTAACTTAATATACCCCAAGTGCCTTTCTGTGTCAGGAAATGTCGTGTGTACCATTCTGTGGCCCCCCGATTCCACGTCCCGGACCGCCCCTTGTCCAGCCCGCCCCATTGCTAGGCCTGTGGGCTGTCTCGTTACTGTGCTACACGGGCAGCAGAATGATTGTAATCTTGGCATATACATCTTGTGCACCCGACCAGTTTTTTCCACTTGGAATAAATTCTAGAAGAGGAAGTATTACGACCAGGGATGCTGTGCATTACAATTTGATGCCCGTTGCCGAACTCTCTTCCCAAACGGTTGAAGCAATTAAGCCCCCACCAGCAGCGGAGGGAAGAACGGTGTCCCTGGTGTCGGCAGTGCGGGCTCGCTGCCCCTCTGTCGTCGGGTGTTGCTCTGGGAGGCCCCCAGGTGCTCTCGTCCCCGCCGCTCCCCGGGAGTCCGCAGCCCCCGGAACAGACTCAGGGTCACTGACCTGGGCTGCACGCCTCTCGGCCCTGGGAACTGGGCTCGTTTGGCGTGGATCCGACGGGGGACTCGGTCACCCAAAGGAAACGGCGTGACAGCCACTGGGGAGGGAAAGGAAAAGCCATCGGGGGCTTGTTTAAAAATGCGGCGTATCAACAGATCCTGGCCGCGAACCTCCGAAGAGGTTTAACCCCAAGGAAGGCCCCACGTCCCCTGCGAAGCTGCCGCGCGTGGCCGTGACTCATGACCGGGCAGGGCGAGGGCAGCCTTGGGAAAGGGGGCAGCGCCTGGGAGCCGAGCAAGACAGTAATGAGGGACACGCACCTGAAACCCGCATGGGGGGCGGCGAGGAGTTGAAGTGGCTCGTAGAGCGGCGATCTGTCCTGGACGGAAAGGCCACCCCCCCTCCCCCCGCCGCCGCTGGAGGTCTCGGGGGCCTGGCTGTCCCTGGCCTGGGGGCCCAGGAGGCGCGTGGCACCGGCCGTCCGCTGCCCGAGCAGCACGTGTCCTCGCAGCCCCGAAGCCCTTACCCCCCCGTGACGGTGTGACCCGGAAACTTAGTCTGGAAAACCTCCCCCGCGGGCTGGTGCGCCCCCTGAAATAGTCATGCGGGGAAAAGACCGGAGGGGATCCCCGCAAAACATCCGTGCAGCTTTCTTCAAATAGATAGGAGGCTTGCGGGGGGGGGGGGGGGGGATTTTTTTTTTCCCTTTTTTTGTTTCGTTAAAATTTCTACAAGAGTAGACTTTATTAAAAAAAAAAAAATGAGGGTCCCTCCCTCCCTTGGCTTCTGCTGGGTATTGCTTTCTAGGGCCAGCCTGAAGCACAGAAGGCCACGCTGGTTTTCAGCCACTTTGTTCCCAATCCTCGGTGGCCCTGCAGGAGGGAGCTTGTCCTGGGGAGGGGGGGGGGGTCTGCATGCACATAGAAGGCCAGGCTTCTCGGAACACCAGGTAAATCCATCCCTCAGCTTTGCTTTTGAAGCTGCCTTTTTTTTTTTTTAAGTCCCTGCATTTTGCATTTTTGAAAGAAAATCCATGGGGCACCGGGTGGCTCAAAGAGTTGAGCATCTGACTCTTGGTTTCGGCCCAGGTTGTGATCTCGTGGGTCCTGGGATTGAGCCCCGAGTCTGCTTGAAGATTCTCTCCTTCAGCCTTTCTGCTGACATACACATATTCATTCTCTCTCTCTCTCTCTCTCTCTCTCTCTCTCTCTCTCAAATCTTTGGAGGAAACAAAGCCATGCATCTTTTTTTTTATGATTATAAAATCTAATTTTCAGAAACAAAGTGCGTGAGAATCTGGATCTCTGTAGTCTTGATGAACATATCCTGTCTTTTCTATTAAGCATAATTTCTTGATAATAGATGCTCTTCTCCACTGTTGGTAATGTATGAAGAATAATTAAAACTCCTAAATAACTGCAAAATAATTCACCTTTGTTAACATCTTTAAATGTGTAACATCTCAACAATTTAAAATCTCATTAGATATTCTTTTGTATACAGAGCCCATTTGCTAGGAAATCTTTCTGAATGAATTTTGCTTATCTGCCTTCCATAGTAAGACATTTTTACTCCGTAATGTGGAAAATAACGTCATGATGGTGATCATTGTTTTATCTTTGCAATTACAGACCTATCAAGTGGATCTGAAGCCCAATGGGTCAGAAATAATGGTGACAAATGAAAACAAGAGAGAATATATTGAGTACGTATACACATATTTACAGCTTTTTCTCACTAAATTGAGCAGCCTGTTTGGTTTATGTCTCTTGATGAAACAAAACAGCTCATGACTGTTGTGGTGGACATGCTCTCAACAATCTGAGTTCCTTTCTGGCTTGGGCTAATAGGAAGTTAAATTTTATTTTTTTTTTAAAGATTTATTTATTCATGAGAGACACAGAAACAGAGGCAGAGACACAGGCAGAGGGAGAAGCAAGCTCCTCACAGCCAGATGTGGGACTGGATCCCGGGTCTCCAGGATCATGCCCTGAGTCAAAGGCATATGCTTAACCGCTGAGCCACCCAGGTGTCCCGGAAGTCAAATTTTAAGATGGAATGTTTGACTTGTATCATATCTTCAGTGAGCTGCCTTACTTATAAAGGTGTCAAGAAAGGAGAAAAACGTGTACAGTACTGAGTAATACAGCAAACATGCTCTTAGAGTATGTGCTTACGTGGTCAAAAATTGAGATTTGCCGTGTTGGAACATAGTGTCAACAACCAGTGGGGTAAAATTAGGAATGACCAGAAATAAAATATTTCATCTCTCTTCTGGCTTCTTTTTCCATAGTGAAAATAGAGGAAAATAGTCAAAATGGCTAGGAAAATTCACACATGCAGACATAATGAGTTACTTCTGATGTTTATAATTTCTTAACCCCATCTCAGCCCCAGTTGGTGGAACAAAATGTTTAATCTTTGGGAAATCCAAGTGTTAGGTAATCCTAGGGCATTTATACTAGCTAGAAGACTTTAGTCTGTTGGACACATTCCGTTTTCCTCTTTGGTACATATGTGTGCTTCAGGCACCCGACTAGGATCTCCCTCGCCAGTCCTGGCACAGGGATGAGGTCAGTGTAGCAGTGTTTGGTTTCTGGGTCCCAGTTTCTGCATCTTGCTGGTTGCCACAGCGGCCTGAGCTCCATGTCTGCCCTCAGCGCTCTATTTCAACAAGCTGGTTCCCTCCTCTCTCAACGTAATTGGTCAGAGGACTTGAATTTGGAGAATCAGCCAAGAATCTTGGCATCTTTTAGGGTCATCCACAGATAAAGACCTATCCCTCATTAGAGAGAAATGGAGAGTCTTAGAGCCTCTGCTTAGAGACGCTGACAGAGCATGCACTCTTACATAGCAGACTTCTCCCCGCCTCACAAGTTAAAAGCTAGCTATCCCTAAAAACAAATGAGAAATAATATACTACGGTTCTTAACCTGTTCACATTGGTTGGCACACTTGTTCTGAATTTGGACAATCACAGGCAGGACACCACCTTGGCAGATGCCATTGTCTTCATTTGAAAGTACAGGCTTTGGGGCGCCTGGATGGCTCAGTGGTTGTGCATCTGCCTTGGTCTCAGGGCATAATCCCGGAGTCCTCGGATTGAGTCCCACATTGAGCCTGCTTCTCCCTCTGCCTGTCTCTGTCTGTCTGTCTCTCTCTCGTCTCTCATGAATAAATAAAAAATAAAATCTTAAAAAAAAAGAAGAAGAAAAAGTTCAGGCTTTGCATGGATTTTTTTAAAACACTGCCCCTGAGGGCGATGAGGGTCAGAAGACTGAGGGTTTGGATGTTGTGATACATATTATACATCATTCTTTGCACTTAATTCTTTGAGGTTTCAAATTTGGTGGGGAGTGGGCTTAGCGTTTCAGCTGGCTTCAGTGGAGAGGAAAGGATGATTAAAGTCTCCGCCTGCCCTTGACACACGGGTCCCCCTGGCGCAAGAATGTGGTGATGGTTGCCGGGTGCGGTGATGCCTCGTGTGGCTGGGACTCAGACCGTTGCCATGGCGGCACCTCGCAGGGGAGTGCCTTTTATGACATGACCCTCGTGCCATTTCACGACAAAATGCCTTAGCTGGAGTCCAGCACGGATTTGCCTGGCATTGAATTCTGCTGTGCACTAAAGATCGTAACAGAGAAAATGGTCTCAGTACATTTCTGTTAAAGAGGTCTTGGCATTAATCCTTCCAATTTTAGTATTAAAGGATTAGTGTTTTGCCGACAAGTTATATGTCGTTGTTGAAAACCAGTACACCGGATACTAGAGTGAAATGTGTCACAAAATGTACTGGATACTCCTTTTCAAAATCTATGTACATGTTTTTGCACAGGTGGATGTGTATATGTGTGCATTTACGTGTCTACAGGTACGATGCACCTGTGTATTCACACTCCGCGATTTTTTTTATGCCTTTTCTCCACGTTGTCACATTCGTATGCAACTTTGGTAAACTGAGGCTTGATAGGGGGCATAAAATATTTTTGAAATCCTGAGGTTTTACGTTTCCCAGCAACTCCTGAGAGAATTACTGAGTAAACCACGCTCTTGACCCTGCCTTCTGTCCGCTGGTTGCGGGGGTTCCTCTGCCTTCCCCTCAGTGGGTGAGAAGGCGGCAGGAGACAAAGGGCGCTCATGGTGACGAGGATGGTTCAGCACTCTCTCGTTTCTCCCACAGCTTAGTCATCCAGTGGAGGTTTGTGAACAGGGTCCAGAAGCAGATGAACGCCTTCTTGGAGGTACGTGGTCTGCCCCCAGCGAGTTGAGAGGGGAGGGCTGTCCTCCCTGGGGTGGGGGCGGGGAGGGTGACCACGGGGGGGGGGGGGGGGGGGGACCACCTGACCTGAGGTCAGGCCTGCTCAGCTCACACCTCGGCCGGCCCAGGGCCCCCAGCCACGCTTTCTCTTTTGCTTGGTGTCCGCTTGCTCTGCTTCTGCCTGAGTCCCTCGCAGACTTAGCTTCAGTGCAGGTCCACGGAAAACACATTTTCTTAGGCTGGGTTCTGTCTTCTACTGAGCTGTCTTGTGCCAGCTTTCCTCCCATTAGAGGGTGAAGCAGATGCTCCTCAGATCCAAATACTTAATGTCAGCTATGCTCCCAGGCCCCTGGCAGGGGTGGGGGGGATTCATTATTTTTAAAAAGGGTTCCTTTTTGGGATCCCTGGGTGGCGCAGCGGTTTGACGCCTGCCTTTGGCCCAGGGTGCGATACTGGAGACCCGGGATCGAATCCCACATCGGGCTCCCGGTGCATGGAGCCTGCTTCTCCCTCTGCCTGTGTCTCTGCCTCTCTCTCTCTCTCTCTCTCTCTCTCTCTCTCTCTCTATCATAAATAAAAAACTTAAAAAAAAAAGGGTTCCTTTTGGGGGCGACTGGGTGGCTTCCTCGGTAAAGCCTCTGCGTTCCATTCAGGTCATGGTCCCAGGGTCCTGGGATCAGGCCCTGTGTCAGGCTCCCTGCTCAGCGGAGAATCCGCTTCTCCCTCTCCCTCTCCCCCTCTCTCTCCCTCTCTCTCCCTCCCCCTCCTGTCCCCCCTCCCTTCCCCCTCCCTTCCTCCCTCCCCCCCTCCCTTCCCCTCTTCCTTCCCCCTCTCCCTTCCCCCCTCCCTTCCCCTCTCCCTCTCCTCCTCTCTCTCCCCTCCCCCCCTCCCCCTCTCCCCCTCTCCCCCTGTCTCCCCCTCACCCTCTCCCCCCTTTTCCTCTCCCCTCCCTCTCCCCTCCCCCTCCCCCTGCTCTCTTTACCTCCTCCTTCCCCCCACCCCAAATAAATATATTTTTTTTTAAAAAGTCCATTTTGGCGAAAAGTAAAATTCCCTTTTAAGTCTTGGTAACAGGTTTAGTTATGTAAAGAGAATGTAGGAAGAAGCCCCAAGTGCACAGTATGAATTTCCACTGAACCAGTGCAGATTCTCATTAGGAAACGCTCTCCTCAGCTTGCCCCAGCTCAGTCACCTGCGGTAAAGCTCTAGGCCCAGCAGAACACTCAAAAATAATTCAGGGACTTAAAGCATGAAATGTGAGTTACACTTCCCAAGACGACAGCAGGTTTTATACTTTGTTTGCATAAGAAACCCTGGAAGCGGGGTCCTGGCACCCCTGCCCCCACCACGGTGATCCCACTTTCAGAACCAGACACCTGCGAGGCCCAGCAGCACGGAGCATCTCACCTGACCTCCCAGGGTTCATGTTTCACTCGGGAGCTAGCGCAGGCTCTCAGTGCTCCTCTCTCCTCTGCTGGGTCACACCGCCCCCTTATGTAGTTCACGTCTATGCCTTTGGTACCTTATTTTTAAACATGTTCTCTTGCACATCCGTGGCTCACACGTTTTAGGACACACTGACTCATAGCTGTGTCATAAAATGGTTTTGGAAAGCGGCTGCCTACAGTCATCCACATTTTCAGAGGGTTTCTGAGATTGCTCAGATACCTGAACCTTCTAGATTCTACTTTTCGAAATTTTTACCTTGTGACTATGCTGTTTTTATTAAAACTACAGTTACAGGATACCGTCGCTTTTATATAAATCATCAGCAAAGAATGTGTTTTGTCCTGGGTTTTTTTTCTGTAAAATTTGTCTCTTTCAAGGAAAAAGGGCATTTAAGGGGATTTTTTTTTTCTTTCAGGGATTCACAGAACTGCTTCCTATTGATTTGATTAAAATTTTCGATGAAAATGAGCTGGAGGTTTGTATTTTAAACATTTTCTGTAAAAGTAGATATCTTTAAATGATATCTTATTACTCTCTGGTCCTAATGTCCTAGGGAGTAAGCTTGGCTGGATTCTACTCTCTCTTATGGGGTGTGTTCATGGATTTTAGAGTAAGGAATAGTGAGCTTAGCCACCTGTAGATTCTTCACCCAGGAGAGGGTCGTTCTGGACACACCAGGCAAGTAGAGGCCCACCAAGCTGTGTTGGGTTCATGCCCAGATGTACCAGGTAAGGAGAATTGCTTCTGATAGAGTCATGGTTGGGACACCAGTTGGGGTGGCAGCCTGCTGCCTGCGAGGCTGGACTGGGTGAGGTCCCACACCTCTGCTCCACACGGTGGTAGCTGAATGCGACCTTTGCCAGGAAGTGAGCACTAGGGGCTATAGAACAGACGCCTCTAAGAACCTGACCTGGTTTTATACTGAGTAAGGAACAACTTCAGAAGACGACAGGGTCGTAGCAGGAAGCAGTCTGTATTAGATTGTTTCAGCTTCTTCGTGTTGACCGAGATGAAAACTAGCAACTTAAAAAGCACAGGGATCTCTCACCCTTTGTTGTGTTGAGAGAAATAGGAGGAGGAAGGCTGTGTCTGGAGAAACTGTTACCCATTTGTCCGGGCCGCGTATCCGATGAAGCATTTCTCATAGTCTAGCCTTCTGTTCATTTTTCTTGAAATAGAAACTTCAAGACAGATGGTGTCAAAATCCTGTAGTGTGAGTCTTTTGTTTGATAAGTGGGGAAACTGAGGCAGGGAGCAGGTAAGGGCCTCCCAGGTTTGGGCATAGTCAGGCCTAGGATCTGTTCTCGGGCTTCTGGTTTAGTTCTAGTTCTCCTTCCATTTTTCTTTGCTGCCTCTGCAGGAATACCATGCTGACTTTTCCCCAGGAATCCTTCCTGGTTTGGGGGTTAGGTGGTAAGAGGAGCCCTGAGACTCCATCACAGACCTGGTGGTCACTGCCTTAGTACAGGTCTGCATCCACACACCTCTGGACAGGAGCTGGCCGAGAGAGGAGCTCTGGCTGCCGTAGTGCACGAATTCTCCTGGGGGCTGGGGGTTAGTTCAGATGTTGAGACCTACAACATCTCAGAAGGGGAAACGGCTGGAGTAATGAGCAGCTGTAAACGTAGCACAAGAGCTCAGATTGGAAGGGTGGGCAGGACACAGGCGTGGAGTGGCATCTCCACCACGAGAGGCTGTGGCCTGAACACGCGTCAGAACTGGGTCTCCCTCCTTACCTGCGCTGCCTCTGTGACCTGAAGTGGCAGGAAAATGTCCCCATCATGTGTTTTTAAGAGCTGCCAGTTTACCTGCTTTGCTCGTGACACAGTGCTGGTGTTGAGGAAAGGTTCCTCCCTCCATGGCTGATTCTTCTGTGTTCAGACGTGCCCTGCTCACACCCGGTCATCTCCCTCCTAGTTGCTGATGTGCGGCCTTGGCGATGTGGACGTGAACGATTGGAGACAGCATTCTATTTACAAGAATGGCTACTGCCCCAACCACCCTGTCATTCAGTGGTTCTGGAAGGTAAGGCCTCGGCTGTCTGGGTGCTCCTCAGCCTGGGTTGGAAGTGAGGACCCTGTGCTGCCTCCCCGCAGTCCTGCCTCTGGGACCCAGGGCTCTGTGAGCGTCGGGACCCCTGTGGACAGACAGCTGCCCCTCCCTGCCGTTTTCCCGTAGCTCTAATGGGCATCTCCTCCTGCCTAGGGTCCATCCTTAGCAAAGCACTTTCTCCTCCTTGACCACCTGACTAAAGTGGCTCTATTTGAAGAGCTCACCGAGGAGGATCAAGTAGGTAGTTGCATCAGGAGTTAGAACCACCCGCCAAAGTGTAACTAAGAATATGGGTGGCTTCTCGGGGTGAAACGTGCTTTGGGGCAGACTTCTCCAAGGTGCCATTTTGGGTCAGAAAATCATTTTCTACATTGTATTGGTTCATTCCAACAAACATTTTGTGATCTTTATATCCTTCAGCCAAAGATGCAAATGAAATTTGATTTACTGTCTTAGGGCCAGTGTTTGCTTTCTCTTGAGCTTTGGAGAGAAGTAAAATAGGAATGAGTTGAGTCCCAGGGAGAAACTATTAACTGCCTTCCAAAGAACAGTTTAAGGCGGGGGTGAAAGGCTGGTGACACAAAACTAAGAACTCCCATAACTTGTTTCAATTTCTGAATATTTATTATTAATACAATTCAAGCAGTAGCAGAAACAAGAGAAAATGTTAAAAACAGACTCTTCGGGCAGCCCGGGTGGCTCAGCAGCTTAGCACTGCCTTCGGCCCAGGGTGTGATCCTGGAAAGCCAGGATCGAGTCCTACATCGGGTTCCCTGCATGGAGCCTCCTTCCCCCCCCCCCCTCATGAATAAATAAATAGAATCTTTAAAAAAATCTTCAAAGCCCAGTCCACATGTCTGCTCGGTTCTTGTCGTAACTCAGATGTGCAGCATACACGGGGTATTTTCGAGGCCTATCCTGTCTCTGCTTCTCTCCTTTTATAAAACGTCATCTTCAGAGAATGTGTCTACATCCAGAAACGTCGCCTCCTTCCCTGGGTTCCCCTGGGGTTGGCGCTTCCCGGGCACTGGATCCTGTGCACGAACCGGCCCCCGGGGGTGCTGGCACACCTCGCCTGCAGAAACAGGAGCTCGGTACCATCAGAGTTTGCTTTGTATCTCATTTCTTTTGACCCGTTGGCAGAAGAAGAAAGAGCCACGGTGATCTCTCGTTCCCTAAGATTACCCAGGCGGTGTCCTGGCGCCCATTAAAAAAGAGTCGGTCGCAGTCACCTGGCTGGGGCTTACGCTGCGGTCGTTCTCATGAAGTGTTGCGGGGCTGTCGCGTTAGGGCAGCACAGTGACCCCCTGCCCCCCTCCCCAGGCTGTGCTGCTCATGGATGCAGAGAAGCGGATCCGGCTACTGCAGTTTGTCACGGGGACGTCCCGGGTACCTATGAATGGATTCGCCGAACTTTATGGTGAGCGGGGTACTGTTAGGTTCCCTGCCCCTCCTGTGACCTTCCCCATCCCCCACCCCCACCCCCAAGACACGGGTGTCACCTGTAGGCCTCACACAAGGACTGCAGTTGGGGAGGTGGCCTTGTGCTGCCACCAGGGCGCTTTGTGCTCTTACTTTTGGGGAGAGGAGGGAGACTTGGGGTTTTGTGCAGAGAAAAGTGGGTCTTTTCTGTTTTCCTTGTCTTCTATTTTGGTGTGTCTCAGAGGACTCTGTACCCCCAGGACACAGACTCCCTGTACAGTGCTCACCGAGATGCTAGGACCAACATCACCCTGCGTGTTAGTGGTCATGTCTTGTTCCCCCGCACCCCGAAGTAGCGTTGTGTGGGTGCTGCAGGCCTCGGCTGGAAGGCTGCACTGCTGCGCCCCGTTTGCAGCGTCGTGGAGCCTGTGCCCCGAGGCTGAACAGGCCCCTGGCCGCTCCCAAGGGCAGCTCCTCATCCTGTCTGGGAGGCGGCAAGGGTGTCCCCGGCTCCCCCCGGATGTGCCCGCTCACCTTCTCCCCTTTCCTCGAAGCCCCACTCCAGCTTTGTTCTCTTTTTTTTTTTTTTGTCCAGGTTCCAATGGTCCTCAGCTGTTTACAATAGAGCAATGGGGGAGTCCTGACAAGCTGCCCAGAGCTCACACGTGGTGAGTGACAGGAGCACACTGTCATCCACAAATAGCGTTTTACGTACTTAGCTGGGGCTGGCGCTGGGCTGGGGGTCACGGAGGGCTGTGTCCATGCCGACAGACCGAGTTGTAGTGCTGGTGAAACCCAAACCAGGTGCTGCATGGACCCGGTGTGTGTGGTCATAAAGGGCTAACCCCCCACCCAAGCTGGGGGGAGTTCCTCCTCCAACCCCCCCCCTTCCTTCCTTCATCCAGGAAGCAGGGATCCACTGTGTATTCGCTGTCCTTGGATACGACTGTTCTCAAACTCTGTAGACAGATTGGGTTTTTACTCCAGACTTTAATTGGTTTTTGTCCCCAGGCATAAAATTCCCTGGGGAAACATTGTTTTAATAGGCCTGTCCTGGAGGCACCAGGGTGGCTCAGTCAGTTAAGCGTCTGACTCTTGATTTCGGCTTGGGTCACGCTCTCAGTGTCGCGGATCCAGCCCTGTGTTGGGCTGCGCACTCAGTGGGGAGGCTGCTTGTCCCCCTCCCTCTACTCTTCCTCTTCTCTCTCTCTCTCTCTCTCTCTCTCTCTCTCTCTCTCTCTCATATGAGAACATAAATAAAATATTTAAACATAAAAGACCTCTCATGGCCACCAGTCACCTCTCAGTCCCTGGAATTGAGCAACAATATGACTGGCTTGGGGGAGCCTGAGACAGACGCCCCCTCCCTGGGGGCTGGGGGAAAAAGGTGTGCAAGGCCCAAGAGGAATGAAGCTTAGCAGCTCTCGGGGAGCTCCTGCTGCTGCAGGCGCCAGTGGTCCTCCTGTAGGTTTTCCCCCACAGACTTTTATTTCTTGCTCCTGGGAAGCCAGTGGATGTGGGCCCTCTGGCAAACGGTGAGCCGCAGCCCTGCTCTCCTCCCCAGCAGCGAAGCCTCTTGAGAGCCCCCGCCCTGAGCTGCAGGGCACGGGAAGCGCCTCCCCACCCTCAAAGTGCCAGCTAGGAAGGGACTCTCACGGATGCATATTTGTGGAAAACGGGCTGCGGGAGGTTCTCTGGTTCCTTCCTCTTGCCTTGCTGGACAGAGCGTAGCCCATGTTTACTGTTCCGGGGACTCTCTCTGCAGTGACTCTGGGCCTTGCCCATCCGGCCCTGGAAAGCAAGCAATTCCAGCTAAAACTGGCAAATCTCCAAAGCGGTGGTTGCCATCATTCTCTGCCTTTATTCTAGAGGGAGGACGTGTTGGTAGCTTGGAGCTTTTACCCCAGACAGTGTCAGAGTCAGCGGTGCCTTCGTGCAGAAGGCGGTCAGCACAGAGCTAGGCCCCGGGGCTGCTGGGATTGACACACAAGCTCCCGGCCTTGCAGTCTGCTGACCATGAGGAGGAGGAAGAGCTGCCTTGCCGGGCACTGTGGCGTCTCCAGGCGACGTTACGGGGTGCTGGCATCACCCTCAGCGAGGAAGCTGGCCCCGCGGTCACGCCGCTCACAGGTGCCCGAGGCCCAGAATTTGAACTCTGCTCTGCCAGAGTCAGAGCCTCCGCACTAACCACTGCGTTAGATCTGCGGCCCCTGTTCAGTCGAGTGTCCATCCTGTGTCCTCCCGTGCCCCCGGGGACAGGTGTCTTCCTGTCGAACTTTTCTTCTGTTTCCAAGTCCACATGGCTTGGATCACAACCAAAACATGGTGTGCTGCCCAGATCAGACCTCTGAATTCTGTGGTTCCCAACGTCAGCTGTGCATTGGAACCACCTAGAAAGTTTTGTGGGTTTGTTTTTTTTTTTTTTATCAATACTGATGCCAGGGTCCTGCCCCCAGAGATCTAGACTTAGTTGGTTTGGTGGGTAGCCTGAGCCACAGGATTTTCAGAACTCCCCAGGTGGTTCTGGCCAAGCTAGAGCTTAAAATCCCTGCCCCTTCCCTAGGACGAAGCTCTGCCCCTGGCAGGGAGGCAGCCCAAGGGGCTCTTACCAGAGCCTCTTTGCTTCTCTGTGAGTCACAGAAATAAAGGACCCACGAGTTTTCCTGCTGATGCTCTCTGTAGATGACTGCTGCCCGGTGAAGCGGGCGCTGGGTGCAGGTGCAGAGCCTGATAGACATTGTCACAGAGATCGGTGAGGAAAGTGGGGAGTGAGCTTGCTGGCTGCACCAGCACCGGAGAGACTCTGTGTCCCAGGCACAGCTGTGCTGTGTCGGGGAGGAGGCCAGTATGGCCAGGCCATTGGCCCCTGCAGCCTGGAGCTGATGTGCAGAGGCCTCTGTGAGTCCCAGCCAGAGCCAGCTCCAACCGCGTTTGGAGTCTTTTATGTATTTTAAATTTTTCTTCAACATTCCACATTTGATGGTGCAGATACCTCTTTCTTCCCTGAGTGTAAATGTTCTAATACAAATCTTTTTGTTAATTGTGAAAAAAAAAAGGGGGGGGGTGGGCTGTGTTCCCCGCTGCATGCCTCTCCTTCCAGCCCCAGACCAGACTGCCCTGGAGGAGCGAGCTCTGCTGGCTGCTCACGGCAGTGGTGCTGCCATCAAATTTAGCTGTAGACATGTCTCATTTCTTCCATGTTTTATGAAAAGGCAAAATCGACAGTTAAGCTTCAGAATAAACACCTGGTTTACCAGCAGAGCAAGAGCTACTGTACTCATCATAAACCTCACAGGTGTCTGATCCGTTTAAAGGGCTTCACCTCCTTGGTCTATCAGAGATCACTCCTTGGATGTTTAAAATTACACTTTACGAAGGATCCCAGACCCGCCTGCTCTCTGGAATAGATTCAAAACGACCTCCCACAGCCCACACGTCCTCTGTGTGTGGAAGTGAAGCTCACCGAGAACGCCGAGGCCACTCAGCAGGCTAGGGCCAGGCCAGGCCAGACCCTGGCCCCTGGCTGCTTCATGCTTACCCAGCATATGCTGTGCTCCGGGCACTGTCCTCAGCACTTGATGTGCGTTAACTCATACAATCGTCACGATGATTCTAAGCAGAGGATCATACACCAGGGGAAATGGTCACAGGTCCTCGAGAATGCATCACCCAGGCCCCCCTAGGGACGCCCGGGCCTGCACTGTGAAGGACCTTCTGTGACCATGCAGTCTGCAAAAGTGGGGTTTTGTCCTTAGAACTGGTAAGGTCACGTTTGAGAGCATTATCAAACTGAAAACCCTTTCAGATGGTCTTCAGGATTCCCACGTTTCCGAGGACTCCAGTTTGAGAAGCACTGCCTTCTCCTCTGCTGTGACTTTTAGCAGTTAGTGACTTAGAAGCCTCAGAGCTTGGCGTGTCCTGTTAGAAACCCGCTAGGGATTTCTACAGGGCCCACCGGGGGTGTGCGTGGTTTTCTTAAAGCTGCTGAGAGCAGTGAGGCCTTGAACTGTGAGGACTTGTTCTGTTGTTCTGTTCATATTTGGAATCACAGGTCAGTGCTGGGGGGGAGTTTTCAATCCTGAGGCACCACAAGCAGGGATTAGGGGCAGCCCGGGGCTGAGTTCTGCTTCTGCTGTTTACTCTGTGACCTTGGGCAAGTTACCTAACCTCTCTGTGCCTCCATTCCTCTTTCCTAAAGTAGGGGTGATTGCTAGCACTCACAGAGCTAATAGACGGAGAGCACTTAGAAGTGCTGGTCGGCACGCTCCGTGGACGTCAGCTCTTACAGAATCATCATTAGCTGCGGCAAGTGCCTACAGTCATTTTCTTGACAGGTGCACATCAGCAGTGCACACCCAGGGGTATGGGTTCTAGCTCCTTGGGCCCTGAGCGGGCAGTTGGTGAACGGCGAGTGAGCAATAACATTGCTCACTGTCAGGACGCCCGGGTGGCTCAGCGGTTGAGCGTTTGCCTTCAGCTCAGATCCTGATCCCAGAGTCCCGGGATCGAGTCCCACATGGGGCTCCCTGCACGGAGCCTGCTTCTCCCTCTGCCTGTGTCTCTGCCTCTCTCTCTGTGTCTCTGATGAATAAACAAAATCGAGGAAAAAAAAATTTCTCAGTCTTCGGGCGCTTGCTTCATGGATGGAACACCTTATGTGTGTTCTGATTTGACTCTCCCAACATCCTGAGAGCAGTCTGCCCACATCACAGAAAAGCAGATTGATTCAGAGAGTGAGGTGACTTGCCCAAGGTCACACAGCTGGCAAGTAGCAGAGCCAGCGTGTGAACCCGGCTGCATAGACAAGTGTGCTTCATTGGTCTGAAGGCCTCCCTGTCACCACAGTGATTGATCACACCCCCACTGAAGCCTTCAGATACTTGGGTTTTGTTTTTTTTATATATAAATGGAGCTCTCCACTCCACATGTCCATGACTCGGTTTGACTTTGCTTCGAGAAGGCAGCTTAGTGTTGGGATTCTGGAGACACAGAGGGCCTGGTTTCCTGGGGTTGAGGGCTCTCAATGCTCCAGGCCTCGAATCTGGAGAAACCATTACCTGTCTCAGAGGCCTGTGGTGGAAACGGCATGAGTTACTATCCAGAAGAGCACTTGGCTTGGGATCTAGTGTAGAGTAAGTGAGAGCATTGGAAAGAGAATCAACCTTGGTCCATCCCTAACATGTTAAGTGCTTGGAACTCGGCATGCGTGTCCGGGACCTCGCCTTTCGGGGGCCTCCCTCCCCAGCTGGGCTTTGGCCTCACGTCTAGTTGTGGTAGAGCGGTTTTGTGGCCCATCAGATCCTCTCCTCCATAAGTTATCTAACCTCTTCGACGTGGATGGTTCACTGGCATTTATTTTTGCTGACTCAGAATTTTTGGGGAAGACTCTTCCATCCTCGTGTTCAAATACCAGACTCCCCCTTAGCCACACCCAGGAACCGTGGGGGGAACAAGGTTGACCTTTAACCTATGCTTTCTGTTACTCCCGCAGCTTTAATCGCCTTGACTTACCTCCATATGAAACCTTTGAAGATTTACGAGAGAAACTCCTCATGGCTGTGGAAAACGCTCAAGGATTTGAGGGGGTGGATTAAGCATCCCCCGGCCTCGGCCTCGGGGTGGTTGTTCGTCCAGCAAGTCCTGCTTGCACTTTTGCATTTGCCTAACAACAGACTTTGCAGAGACCAGGCGGAGGAGCAGCCCTGGTGTGGCTCCTGGAGCCGAGCCTTCGCCTGTGACTTGCCCAGGTTCAGACCCGGGAGCCCGGTCCCAGGTCACGTTCCTGCATTTTCCACCACGAATTATCAACTGGTTGATGTGTACACGAATTACATTTCAGGAGGACTTATTCTATTTATGTTGTGCCTCTGTAGGCAAAGCCCTTAATAAATATTTTACATACTTTATAATGACAATGAATGGAATTAATCACTCTACAGGTATAGTATTACAACTCATGTTTACTTTTTAAAAATGATTTAGACCGATTTTCAGATTTTATTTCATTATAATTAAAGATGTCTCGTGTACTTGGAAAAGTGAGCATATTTTTTTTTGTATTTGAATTTCATACCACGTTTCATGTCAGTGACATTTTTATTTTTGAAGTACTTTGACTCCCCGCTCCCCTGCCCTACTCCCTACTTGATTAGCATTGGAAGACTGATTTTTCTCCAAAAACCTTCTACAGATAAGGACTTTGAAAGCATTTAAAATATAACCATTAGGCATAACGATCATTTTCTCCATACTCAGAATACAAACTGGATATTACATTGTTTTGTACAAATTTAGCATACTAGCTGCAGGCCGAGAGAATTGTAACAATAGCATGACAAATTCGGCGCTGACCCGAAGGAATCACACCATTACTCCTTAGAAGTAACTCCGTGTGCCAGAGCACATCTGAGACAGGATTGGACTCTCAGAAGAGACATGACTCCCCCCTCCTTGATGCTGTACAGTCCTTCTTTTATCACTTTTTTCTTCTTTGCTGTTTGTGGTAGAAACATTTGAATGAACCTTGGCACTGCTTGATTTGAAACTGTGGAAACCTGAGATCTGTTTGATGTCTTATCTGTACGCGTTCGCTAATGGTAGCCGAATAACCAATTTTTGTTCTAACTGCACCAATTCTGAAGGCACTTTATGTACTCCATGGAGGTCATACCTGGTTTTGTTTATGTTTTGTTTTTTTTTTTATCCGAGACATTAAATGTGATGATATTTTTTCTCCCCGCACACATCTTTCCCGTGCAATATCTATCAATTGTGAATCTGGCTGCTGGTGTAGAAAACCTGTCTGTAAAGCTGAGCCTACAGACCTAGTCCTCGCCAATTGTTCTGTGATTTCTACACAACTACCGAGATTAATGCACACTTAATCGAACCGGGTTTCCGTGACCTAGGACATGTTGCATGCTTCAACACTGTGTACTGCTTGAGTGGTGTCTGTTCTGTGCTGCATTAAAAGCGAGCGGGAACTCTTGATTTGACACCCCCGCCCCCGACCCCCCCCCCAGGTCGGTCAGGCTGTGAAGCTGGTGGGGACCGGGATGGAGTTGGATTCTTTACCACTTTGTGAGTGTTCGTTGCAGGATTCCGTGGTGTGTTGTTGAGAGAAGGCCTGAGGGCCAACGTGGGCGCTCAGCAACCCTGCTGTCCTCTTAACCTGGCTTGTCCTAAACCCTGTCGTGACAGGAGCTCTAGAGATCTGATCTCTTGCCAGTCCTAGATAAGACAGAAAATCGTGGTTTCAGGGCCCCTCCCCGTTTGTTACCTAAGAAGGACCTTTTGATGTAAGAAACTCATTTGTTCCCCAGCTCTGGGAGGCTTGTGAGAAACCATGAATGTTTGTGGTTGTAAGCGAGCTGCCTTACGAGGTGCAGAGGTCGGAGCCGTCCGAAAGAAGGTGGGTTTCTACGGAGCTGAAGATTGGCTCCCTTTTCCCATTGATTTAAAAATCTCCAGTAGTGATCGGAGAACTTAGATTTTGAGTAATTAGAAAAAAACAACATTGCTCATTACTTTTATCTACTTGTGGGATGTGTTTTCCCTTCAGTCACTATAACGTCTCAAGGCAGAAACCCCCCTCCGTGAAGCCTCTCCTGGGCCGGGGGCTTTCTGTCTAGGACTGGGGCCGAAGGCCGTGCTGGGATGGATTCTGAGAGTGATCCATGTCGCCATGGGGGAGGAAGCCCACGATTCTAGTTGAAGAACTGGGATTCTACCGTTCTGCAAATTGTATATTCAAAAAATCAGAATATTCGGTGTAAATGCAAATTAGGGAAGAGTTAAAAATACAAAAGAAAAATCCGTCCTAAAATCGTTTCCGTTCAAGGAGCAGATAGGGATTGTCAAATACTTGAAAGACCGTAATTGTGACTGACCATTCATCTCCTGCTAACTGCTGGGTTCGGGGTTTTTGTTTTTGTTTTGTTCGGCTTTTAAGCCACATAAGATTCCCTCATCTCAACAATTCTCAGTGTTTCACTCTTCGTCTAAAATAGTCCTAGATCTTGTTTTCTCTGAATGCTGACAACCACTCTCCAACGTCTTCACGACAGAGTCATGGGTGGTGGCTAAGAAAACAGAAACAGACTGCCGGTCCTTCCCATCAGCAGGCCCTGGGCAGCGTTTGCCTCTTCTGGTAGTTACCTTCACTGGCGCTTCTCCCATGTCCAGGGGCTCTGCACCCTCTGATCTGGCTATTTTAGTTCCCTGAAGAAGGTGCAGGTTATTATGGGTCATTTGGCCATGAAGTTAAGAAGCTAGTCCCAGAGTTAACAACTGCATGTGAACGTGAGTTAGCACACCTGCCTGTCGGTCCTGGGTATTTCCGTCCCTGTCCCTTGGAAAGTCCAGATTAGCTTCCGAGTGCACTGCTTTCCTGGCAGCTGCCTCTGGAACAAGAAGCCATGGGGCATTTGTCTGTTTTAAAGCCCTATTTGCTCTGAGACATTTTTTGTTACTTCTCTACAGCCAGTCCTGTACCGCATCGCAAGAATGTAAGATGCTTCTTTGATTTTCGTTTACAAGGCCCTTTGGTCGAACATCAGATTTTCCCTGTGGTCAGATGACAAATGCTATAAAGCGACTGACGTGGGTTATTCCTCCCACATAAGGATGCAGTGACGGATTCTGAGAAATGGTTTGCAAAATATTTGAACCACATTCTACATCTCCCATCACGAGATAGACAACATGTGCCGTGGCTCTCTGATCTTGCCAGATCCAGACTGGCCCCCCTGAAAGCCAAGTCCATTGGCAGCAAATTACGAATTGTTCCAACGGTTAACGAATTGCTTAACACCTGACTCTGGCATCTTCCTAGGTCTTGTATCTCACCTCTGAACTTTTAAAATCTACAGGAAGCGTGAGTTGATTCCCGAGCCCCTCCCCACTGTGCTAGCCAACCTCTTTTCCTTTTTCCTCCTCACCCCCTGGTATTGACCCACCGGGAGAGGAGGGCACCAGTGTCTGGTTATCATTTCCTGCCTCATCAGTAGGGGGCGGTGCCGCGCAGGGTGACTGCCTGGCCCGCTCCCTTGCTGACCCCCAGGAAATCGAGCACTACCTCTTGTCTCATTATTCGGGCTTTGGGGTACATCCTGAGAAGTCACGTCAAAACTGCCAATTTCAGGTCTGAGATGCGTTTTTAAAAATCCTTATGAACTCCACTTTGTATTTTAGATTTTAAAACTGGGAAGACAATGTGATACACTTTGGACCATTTTTTAGTTTATCTAAGCCTTAACGAACAGTGTATATACACTTGCATATGCGCACGTGTGCGCGCACACACACACACACACACACATACCCCAAGAGTGTTTTCCGTGTCAGAAGCAATGCTGTAGCTTTAGGACGTGAGCTTGTGTAATGTTTTATTTCAGAAAAGGATAGCTTTCTATCGGTATGAAATTTTCCAAGAAAACTTCTCATTAGACATCTATCCTTTGTGAAAGATGCTGTGCGCAGAGCAATGCATGTTTAAAATGCATGTCTTCTTGTTCGCTGGGTTTATGTTTCTAGGGAGTATCAGTAGGAATCTAACAGCATTGGCTATAGACCTCTGTGTACTGCATCTCAACCTTGCGTCAGAGCATCGAAAGCCTTTCTGATGACCATGACCCTGTGTCTACAGACATCTGTGTTCCTGTGATCCACTTTGCCCTTTCACTCGCTGATTTCACCTAGATTGTCACGGTTTCCTTCATGTTAACTTTGCAGAACTATGATTTTCCTTTACTCCTACTTATATGAGATGTATATACATGTATACGTACGTATGCTGTCCAAATATATACGTATATATTTGTATGGCATTTGTACACCTTTCTCGAGAAATCTGGTTTCGAATGAGAGTGAGAGCTTAGTCCTTCTACAGTTTTCTCCAAGCTGTGTCCTGAGATTTCTGACCCTCAGAGCCCGAGAGGACCCCAGGAAAATGATGCTAATGTGCTGTCATTCCATAATTCAGGATCTTTTACCAAATGAAACATGAAAAAAACAGTGACTTTTAAGGTGAAAAGAGTTTCAAGCATTCCAAATGAATTCTCAATGTTTCATAACTTTTTATTATAAACCCCACCTCCTCATAATACAAAGCCAAGTACTATTTGATACAGTGATTACAAACCAAACTACTTTGAAATTTTTTAAAGACAACTTCTGGGTAACGCTCCTTTTCACAATCAGAATGGCTTTAAAATACGGTTGAATTTGATACACACAGGAAACGTTTTTAAGAACAAATCCTTTTTGCTTTTCATTTTTCTTGAGAGATCTTAAAGAGAAATTGTTAGATTGTTTTCCTGACAGCAAAAGAGTAATGTGACAAAATGAAGTCGTTGTAAAGAAGTGATACAACTTGTCAAATATTTAATAAAGAATTATGGAAGCTGGAACGTTCTCTACATTGAGTATTATGGATTGTCTGATTTCAAGCTTCTCTCGTTGATGCATTGTCTGAATTGTTTCGGGGGGGGTTACATGCCTGCAGATGTATAGCGCTCATTTCCTTAATATCACACCTTTCAAACGTCGTTGAAGCCTCCCCAAAACACAAGTCTCACGCTCACTGGGATGCACGTCTGTTCTTAGCTGTCATCTCGTTACTAAACTTGGGAATTAATGACTTTATATAACATTTGCATAATTTGTGGGAGTCCGTCCCTAGAAAGGCTTATTACTTTACCTTGTTTTGTTTTGGTCTTTTTTTTTTTTTTCCAACCTCTGGTTTTTAACCAACCATCGATTTAATGTGAGTCAAAGAGTCAGTCATGAAGCCCAAAGAGGTTCTCAGAAGAACGATGCTATCAAAGTCCAGCTCTCCTGTCAATTCCCTGTTACAGCAATAGCCTCCTCTTGGTGGCCATAACCTGTCCCCTCAGGGACTGCCAGGAGGGACCATCCCAGCACATAATTTAGTCCTTTTTGTGTTAGGAGTAGGTGGCATCTTGCTGGGAAGGTGTGCGCAGCATCTGCTGTGCTGGTGGGTAGAGGGCCTCCAAACTTGTATACATTCTTTCTGAGGGAAAAAGACAAGTGATGGAATAAATAGAAGAATTAATTATAGTAGATTGCAGGACCCTGTCATGACCTGGGGGACGCCCACTGGTGGGGACTGAGTGAGAGGGAAGGTTCCCTCTGTGGGGCTGACCTCAGGCAAAAGACGAATTTCACCCCCAGTTGGCTTGTCCCCTCCTGCCCAGGGCCTCCGCAGAGCTCCACGGGAGATCGTGTCCACCTAGCGGGCTCTTCTCTATCTTCAAGTTTGAGTTGGCTCTTGTAGCCTCACCCCATTCCCAGCCAGGTGCCCAGCAAATTGGCCATTTCAAACACACCATTTTCACACGTAGATGGGCCACCCATCACCTACAGTTCTGCGGCCTGGGTGCATACAGGGTACACAGGCTACAGAGTGGCAGAGAGAAGGATTTGGGGCCAGAGTGGTGGGAAGGGAGGGCACTGGTTTTCCTTGAAAGCCTTCTTGCCTCACTACATCCCAATGCTTGGGAAAAGCCCTTTTTTGACTCCCCAAGCCTACAGCTAACTTGCAGACCAGTTCTCTTGGGTGTAAGGTACTGCATGCAGCAAGCACTCAAGAGGAGTGATGCGTGAGAGGCACATCCCTCTGTGATTAAAGGGAAATTCTACTTTGGGGCGATTTCTAAGCGATGCAATGCCATAGGCATTGTACAGTGCAGAGTTTCCAGAATTAGGAAGTTAACCATTTTCAATCCTGCTTGGCTTTGTCCAAACATGAGCTAAAGGGAGAAGCTATAAATCATCTAGATGTAGCCTTTTTTTTTTTTTTTTTTTAGAGATTTATTTATTAGAGAGGCAGAGACATAGGCAGAGGGAGAAGCAGGCTCGCTCTGGGGACCCCAATGCAGGACTGGGTCCCAGGACCCCAAGGTCATGACATGAGCCAAAGGCAGGTGCTCACCCACTGAGCTACCCAGGCACCCCTTGCTGTAGCTGCTCTTGATAAGGAAAGAGAAGCTTTAAGAACGAACAAGAATCTCTCACCTCTCGACAGAGCCCAATAATGCCATTTTTCCTTAGTACTAAAGGTTGTCAGCTTGAGTCCCAAAGCACACCTTTTTTTTTTTTTCTTCTCCAACATTTTGTTATGAGAACATTCAACAACGTTAAAAAGAATTGTGTGCTGAGCCTCAGTCCACCCACTCCCTAGCTCGGGGCGTTCCACTTACCCAGCTTGCCCTATTGATTCATCCGTCTACCGATCCTTTAATCCCTTGTAAACTATTGGGGCATTGCAAAGTGAACTGCAGGCCTCCTGTTCCTCCCCCAGAGACTTCAGCATGCCTATCATTACCTAGATTTTATCATTTAGATTTTTTTCTTTTGAGGTGTTAAGTAAAAATTCAACTGGGTAAATCTGAAGATGGAATTGACTTTACCAAATGATTCATGAGTCAGCAACCATCTCACAAAGAGAAAGTCGCTCCACGGAGCAGTACAAAATGGAAGGTTCTTCAAGGCAGAAAGCGGGTGGGGAGATGGACATTATTGGCAAAGAATGCATTGTGTCAGGCAAGTCACCCTCCTAAAGGGAACGGAAGGGGTCTGTCAGAGAATTACCTCCTAGAGCTGACCAGGAAGTTCCAGGTTAGCTGGTTAAAGGTCACATTCCTGGGATGGGGGGAGGGGAGAGGCTGCAGTTGGGTATTGAGTCTTGGTTTGCTTAGCACGAGTGACTCCATCTTGGACCTTCTGTCTCCTTTTTAACAGAAGTAAAATTCACATACAAAAAAGAAAACCTTAAGAATACTTTCACTGAGTTTCAGCAAATGTGTGCACCTCTGTAACCCAAATTCCCATTGCCCCAGAGAGTTCTTTTGTGCCTCCTCCTAGCCAATCTCTTCTCGGGTGCCCTTCCCCTGCCCCTCAACAACTGCTGTTCTGAATTTTTTTGCACCGTACATTAGTTTTGCCTGTTCTCAGATTTCACAGAAATGGAACTGCAAGATTTGTTACAATAACTTTTTAAGTTCTAGCTGGTGTCCACACTGCCCTGGAGCCATAAAACCCATTAAGCCAATGGGTGGGAAGCCACAGGTCCTCACCAATGAAAAAGGTGATAGTTTCTTTTTTTATTATTTTATTTATTTATTCATGAAAGAGAGAGAGGCAGAGACAGAAGCAGAGGGAGAAGCAGGCTCCATGCAGGGAGCCTGATGCGGGACTCGATTCCAGGTCTCCAGGATCACGCCCTGGGCTGAAGGCAGGTGCTAAACCACTGAGCCACCCAGGAATCCCAAGGTGATAGTTTCATACCCAAATAGCTTCCCCTCTTTCGGATGTAACATGAAAACCTTCACTTTCCAAATACACACAATCACCTTGTAGGATGTACAGGCCTGTTGTTTACCTACAGGGATCATCTAGAACTTTCAGGTTGAAATCCAGGCACGTTTTACTGTCATCAGTCACCAGTGCCTCAAAATGGAGAGGGTGGCTTGGATTGCTCCCCAGCTCCCTGGCCCCATTCTTCACGAATGCATCCTGAGGAGGGGAGAAGGCAAGAGTGTATCAGTCAGGGCAAGTTAATGCTGTACCAAGGAAGCCCAAGCATGGCTTGATAGGATAAAGGTTTATTCCTCACGGGCCTGCATAGGTTAGAGGAGTCACTCCGCTCCAAGAGTCCCTCAGGAACCCGGGCACCCCCACTTCATGGGCCCACCATCCCCTGGGCCAGGTGGGCCTCAGCAACCCCCAGGCAGAGGCTGGAGGGGGCCTGTGGAGACCTGCAGGATGGCCAGGTCTGGAGGAGGACTCTCCCCACTGCCCACCTCCCCTTGGCCGCACGTCATTCGTATGGCCTTACCTGACTACAAAGGAGGCTGGGAAACATCTGGTAGTGCCAGACGCAAGAGGAAGGAGTCTGGGGACAAGCAGTCTTGCTCTGCCCTAGCGTATCACTCAGTGATGCTCAGATGCAGTGACTGAGAAGACCAAATGCATGAGCCCTTCCAGAAGTATTTTCATTTTAACCAATGCCAAGGGTGACGCTTGGCTCAAACCTAAAGAAATAAAGACTGAAATGAAGCGCTTGGGCCTCAGCAAACCGAGTGGAGGAGGGTTTTTGGGGACAGGATCCCTGCTTCAGGACATAGAGTTCGTGGTGTAGAAGGGACAGTCCCCTGAAAAGCCAGCCTATTCTCAGAAACAGCCCCAACCCCAGGCCCTCAAAGGAAACCACGCTGCCTCTCCGCCTGCCGCCTGCCACAGCACAGAGCTCTCTCCACCCTCAAAAGCAAGTGCATATTTTCCAGATCCCTTCCAGGGCAACACAAACATCCCGTTGTCCCACAGAGTCGAAAGGCCATAAGGACCAGAGACTGAGGGGCTGCTTTCTCTGCCCCCGAGAAGGATCTGAGGGAACCCCAGGATGTTGTTGAACTTTTTAAAAAGTTTCTGTTTGATGAAGGATTTTAGAGATTAACTAACAGTGAATATTACTTGTGGCAGAAAGTTTGGGTTAGGGATGGTCTTTCGAGTGCCAGCTATTTAGCTCTCTTCCAAACTCTAAGGGCCCCTCTGAGGTCTTCCCACTCTCTCCTCCCCCACCCTCCGCCGCCCCCTCCACAACCTTGGTCCCCACCCTCTCTTGCCTTCTTTGCTGTCTATATTGACTTAGAAGATCCTTGCTTGTTCATCAGTTGAGATTATCAGAGGGGCATGCCCTCCCCGACGTAATGAGTGTTTAAACAAAAGTCAGGCCTTTGAACCCTGGACTCCAGTTAAAAAATAACAGGCTGGCGACTGAATCAATGAGAGACAAATATTAGCTGTGGGAGCTGGAGCGCCATGGCATTGGGAAATACCCATCACTGGTGACATGGAAAGAACCGTGGTCAGACCCACCGTGGGGGTCTGGGAAACCCAAGGGCCCCAGGGACCTCAGGCCAGTCATTTTCTTGCTCTACGAGTTAAACACTGAAGCCACCAACCCTTAAGTTAGCTTCCAGAACTCCCTTAGTCAGGACGCCTGCAGAATCTTCCTGAAGGGTGTGTGCTCTTATTTCGCTCCCCTTCCCAGCCAACCTGCACTCCTGCTAGGCTGCCTCCAGCAAAGCTCTGAGCCTATCACTCTGCTATGTGCACAATTTGCACCAGTTCCCATTGTACATCTGCCCGGCACTCAGGCCATCAGGGGTGTCTGGGCAACAGGACAGCAGGTCTCTGGGTGGCCACTTCTAGCCTCCCCAGTCATCAACCTCACCTCGTTGTGAGGTGTTCAATGCTACAATCCTTTCCTCTTTCTTGAAATGCTCTGTGGTTTCCATGACATTCCACCTTCCTGATTGTTCTCTTCCTTTCCAACTACTCCTGCTAGTTTTTCTCCTCCCCTAAATGATACTCCCCAATAATTTGTTCTTGGTTCTCTTTTTCCCCCTACCCCCCACTCACCCCCCTCCTTCACTTCCGCCTCCTGTCAGGGCTTAAAATCATCATCTCTGTGTGGGCAATTACTAAGTCTACCTCCCTTCCCAGAGCCCTCAACTCTCCTATCCCAAACCTCAACACGTCCCAATCTAAACTCACAGTGCTCTCAAACTTCTCCCTTCTAAGTTTCTGGGAACTGTATCCTAGTTTCTTCTAGGCATCCACACTGGAATCTTCTTTGCCTTTCCAAATGGCTTTGCTCCCCAAGTACAAAGAGGGACAAAGTTCAGTGTTCCATCCGTTTATTCAGCAAACATGCACTGAGCGGCTACCATGTACCACATACCTGTAGTGGTTAAAAATGAAACAACACAAAAATCCTTTCCATTAGGATTAGCAAGTCTCTATTCTAGTGGAGGCAAATAGGAAACAGATACATAAATAAATGTATGTTACATTAAATGTTGATGAAGCCGGGATCCCTGGGTGGCGCAGCGGTTTGGCGCCTGCCTTTGGCCCAGGGCACGATCCTGGAGACCCGGGATCGAATCCCATGTCAGGCTCCCGGTGCATGGAGCCTGCTTCTCCCTCTGCCTATGTCTCTGCCTCTCTCTCTCTCTCTCTGTGACTATCATAAATAAATAAATAAATAAATAAATAAATAAATAAATAAATAAATAAATAAATAAATAAATAAAAATTAAAAAAATAAAATAAAATAAATGTTGATGAAGCCAAGAATGAAAAGCAAGCAGAGGAAGGATTAAGGGAGCATGAGAGGGTCCAAGTCTAGACGGAGTGGGTCAAGGTGAAGACCTCATGGAGCTGAGAGAGTGAGCCGTGTGGCTACGTGGGGAAGCACACTTGGGCATGGAAGAACAGAAACACAAAGGTTCTAAGCAGGATTGGGAAATAAGGTCAAGGCCCTTTTGAATAAGCTAACGTGACACATCTGTTAGCCATCCAAGTGAAGAGGTCAAGTAGAAAGGTGAACATAGAAGTTCAGGGAGAGGTCCAGGCTGGAGATACCAACATAAGTGCCATCAGCATATCTAAGGGGTTTAAAGCTCGGAGACTGAAAAGGAGGGTCCCAGGATTGGCAGATGAGACCATCAGGAATGGAGCGGCCAGCGAGGAGGGAGGAAAACTGAAAGCCAGTGGGTCCCAGAAACAGGGAGAGGCGAGCCTCTTTATGAAGGCGGGAGACCGTGTGTGTCAGTTACAGACAGTCCCTGACTTACCATGGTTCGACTTAATGATTTTTCAACCTGGTGATGGTGCCAGAGCGATCCACAGTCAGTAGAAACCTACTGGAAGTTGGACTGTGGATCTCGCCCTGGGCCAGCGACGTGCAGTGGGGCCTCCTCCCATGATGCTGGGCAGAGCGACCCAGCTGCTGCCCCCCTCTGTGCCCAGCAGTGCTCCGTTGGCCCCACAGTGGGGTTGTCGGCATGTGACACGAGGCCGTCCACACCTGACCCTCAAACAGGCTTCGTGTGCAAGGACTTTGCCTACCTGCAGGCTCATGTCGGTATTCGGAGCCCAGGTGAGGGAGGCCTGGCCGAGCTCTGATGGTCTGGGTAAATGCATTTTTGATTCGGTGATAACCTCAGCTCCTGCTGGCTTTATTAGGACGTAACCCCATCGTGAGTAGAGGCAAATCTGTACAGCGGTTGGTCCACAAGCTGAGGACAGAGTTGTGACCTCTGGAAATGGCCATAATGGTGACCCCGGTGAGCAGGAGCAGAGGCCCTGGTGGAATTATGGGGGGAAGGGCGAAGGGGAGGGGTGGAGGGCAGCAGGAACACCCTGCCCAGTCCGGATCTGCACCCTCTCCTCCACCTTCCTGGCCTCCGAAACTTGTCCCAGTTATGATCTGTCCCAGTTATGACAGTGACCTCCTGACGGTGCACCCCCTTTCCTCCTCGCCCCATTCCTGATCCAGTTCACTCACAGCCCAGCCCTCCTCACCACTGTCCCCTGCAGAAATCCTTCAACGACTGCCAGTGCCCACTAGACATAGTCCCTGAGCCACCCCTCCAAGCCACGGTCAGGCTTCAGACTCGCTTTCACTTCCTGCCCCTCTATTCCCGTAGACCAGCTCCCCACACACCCCTGGTATCCTTCCCTTCTTCCCTTTGTTCACACTGTTCCCTCTGCTCCAAGTGACCTTCCCATGCATCCAACTCTACTCAAAATTCAGAGTCCATCTCAGATGTCGCCTCAGCAGACAAAGTCTCCCCTGGCGCCCCCCACACATGAGTTGCCAGCCGTCCCCTGAACCTGCAGCCTTTGGCCTGTTTCTGGGTTCTGTGGTTATCTGTGTACTGGTCTCCTTCCTACACATCACCACAAGCAATTGGATGGCACAGGGCTTCATCCGTGCTCACCGTACCTTGGATGCTCCAGAAAGCTGGTCTAAAAGGAACTGGATAGGGGTCTGGAGAATGGGGTGAAGCTGCTGGTTACAGTAGCTTGGACGTTGTCTGTGGATTTCAGTTTCGAGAATCCTACTGTTTCCTGCCTCTGTGCACTCCCCAGTAATCATCAAATGTTGGCTAGGCTGGAGAGCATCTTCCACCCCATGACCCTGAAGAGAGACCCAGTGGATTGTCTGTAAAGAAGGCATTTGGGGTCTTTGGGGAGAGAGGAAGAACAAGGAATCAACAAAAGACACTGGTCTAAGTAAATGGTCTAAGAGAGTCACACCGCCTTGGCTCGCGGGGGGTTTTGTGCCCCCCAACTCTCCTCGTTGCCTAACACGATGGCAGGTGAACAATGAGAGTGTTGCCTTTTTTGCTCTGCTTCCAAGCCTTCCAGACACGATCTTCAAGCTAATGGTATAGGCCACACTTTAGTTCTCGAGCGATGGCGTCTCCTTGGAGGCCCATGGGCACCCCAGCCGCACTCGGCTGTCTAAGCAGAGGTGCCTTGCCAGTGGCTTCTGGTGGTGGCTCAATGGTCTCCTCCGGACCCCGACCACAGGCAGGGCTAAGAGTCCCTTGTGTTTAGGAAAGGAGGCGGTCCCGGAGGAGGTAAGCCTACGCTGCCTTTTGGTGTGAGGGTGAGCAGCTGCACATGAGAACGGCAGCCTCCACACGGCTCAGATGGATCAGAAAATTTCAGGAATTCACAAACTGACTTCCCTATAGGATCACATGACTTCTGGGAGACAGCACCCAGAAGATGTGGAACCAAATACTGCAAAATGCTGATCGGTGGGCCATCACTTGATTCCCCAGGAACTTTATTTGGCCTTGCGAGGATTCTTTTGTATAGGACCATTTCACCTAAAGATCAAGTGTCCCAATTTCTCGTGAAAAATGAGAAGGCCTGCCATCAATGGGCAGGAGCTGAGTAGGGGCTGAGACCTTCCACTGTCCACACCCCCCTATTCCCTACTACACCACATCTGGCCCACCTAACCCATTAGCTGCCTGGCCGTGTAAGCGTTTGGGTTGGCACGTGACCAGAGGCAATTTGAACCAATGTACAATCTGGGCTTGAATTATCTAATAATTATCCTGTTTTTCTTCATCTAGAGCATGACCTTCTCTCACCTCATCACAATATATCATCCCCTGGGGGCTTTAACTCCTGTGCACTGGGAGCCAGGTCTCTCATAACTCTATCCAGGCCTCCACATCCTCTCCTCTCCTAATAACTCAGTTGGGAGCTGCCAAGATGTCTTTCCCACTGTCCTGCCCTGGAGTTCATCCCTTCATCGAGCGTGGAGGGTTGCATCTGGTGGAGGATCCTCTCCTTTTGTTTTTGTACGGGTATAGCTTTATCTTGGGGAAGGAGAAGGAAAAGAGAATCTAGGAGTGAAGACTTCAACTCATCCCCCCAGTCTTGGAAAGTTCTTTTATTAAAGATACACCAATGCCCCAGAAATGCTCCCTCTTTTCCAAAACCCTGCTCAAATAATAGAGAGTAGAAGAGTCTAGCTGTTTGAAACATAGTCTTCTCAGGCCCTGCTCATCCCAGCTTGGGGACAGCCTACCCAATTGCAGTCCTGGCCCCAAGAAGGAAAAAACAAAGAGCCATGTGAGATTAGTTTTACAAACCCTTCCACAAATGTCATGGAGTGGTGGGAGATGTCACTGAGAACCAGAAAGACAAGTACAGGGCAGCCCGGGTGGCTCAGCGGTTTAGCGCCTGCCTTCAGCCCAGGGTGTGATCCTAGGGACCAGGGATTGAGTCCCACATTGGGCTCCCTGCATGGAGCCTACTTCTCCCTCTGCCTGTGTCTCTACCTCTCTCTTTCTCTCTGTGTCTCTCATGAATAAATAAATGAAATCTTTAAAAAAAAAAAAAAGGAAAGAAAGAAAGGCAGGTACAGTTTCCCTACAAGAAAGCATTCATTCATTCAAGCAATATTAACTCATCATTATTTACACCAAACATTTGACCTTAAGCTTTTCATTTAGTGGCAAGGCAGAAGAGAATACCACTGGGACGCCTGGGGGGCTCAGCGGTTGAGCATCTGCCTTTGGCCCAGGTCATGATCCTGGAGTCCCGGGATTGAGTCCCACATCGGGCTCCCTGCATGGAGCCTGCTTCTCCCTCTGCCTGTGTCTCTGCCTCTCTCTCTCTCTCTCTGTTTCTCTCATGAATAAATAAATAAAATCTTAAAAAAAAAAACAAAAGAGAGAATGCCACTAATCAAATCAAAACTTGCTACATATCCACAAGCCAAACCTCTTGGGACCAGCTGTGTTTTTGGAATGAAGAATTTACTTTTTTTTTTTTTTTTGTATTTTAAAAAAGCATGGTGTTATATGTCCCGTACATTATGTAGCATTGCTCGTAGAGTCTGAGGCAGCACGCTGTCATCACACGCATTAGTATTTCTACAGCCAAGCAATCAAATACCTACACTAAGTGGAATAAATAAAGACTATAAATAGCCTCATGTCAGTTCAGGTCAAATTTTTGCCATCAAATGAGATTTTTGCCCTCAATGAGATTGCTTTCTTCTTTTTTTTTAAGTTTGTTTATTTATTTATTTATTTATTTATTTATTTATTTTTTATTTATTTATGTCATCTCTACAACCAGTGTGGGGCTCAAATTCATGACCCCGAGTTGAAGAGTCACATACTCTTTGGATTGAGCGAGCCAGGTGCTCCGAGATTGCTTTCACATTTATAAAATCTGAATTTTGGAATGGCACATAAGGGCTTGTGCCCCTGGCCAGAGATATGTCAAAAAGTCAGGTAAGAAATTCTTCTTGGAGGAGATGCTGCTTGAGCTGAAACCTAAAAGATAAACAGGTCAAGAGGAAGAACTTTGCAGTGCACACCAGACAGCCATCTTCAAAGACTCAAGCAGGCCACAGGGCAGCCAGGGCCAACCATTAAGGCAAAGTGGGGTCCTGCTGGCCCTGCAGGGATCAGTGGTGCTGACAAAAGCCAAGAAGCCCTCACCCAAAACCACCCAGAAAGTGGAGCCCTGCAGACTCCATTTACACTCTTCCCCAGGAGATTCTCATTCTTGTTTAAGTTCAAGAACCACTAATTTATTTGAAACACCCCATATGCCAGGCTGTGTTTAAGCTGCTCTAGAAAGAAGAACACATTTAATCCTGCAACCAGCCTTTCTAGGTAGGTGCATTATTATTCCCATTTTCAGATGGGAGAAGGAAGGTGAGGAGAAGGTAAAGAAAATCTCATCTAAAGTCACAGAGCTTGTTAAGAGACAGACCAAGAGGACTGGCTCCAGAGTTTGTGCTTTTAACTGGAATGGAATACTGCCTTTGTGTTGATTCAGGCATCTGTCCCAAGCTACTGCCTCCCTCCACCTGCAGCCACAGCAAACCTGAGGTTTTGGCCACCTGGAGTACTGAGGAAGCATCCCTGGAAATGCAGATCATGCCCTGGTCCCCCGCCCCGTGAACACCAGACCGTGCAGGGCGGGACTCAGGGAAGGAGGGGGGCTTTGGTCTTTCCCCCCCAGGGGCTGGCAGCCACAGAGAGCTGACCAGTTTGCAATAAGACTTTTGGCCTTGGGGTTCAAAGCCCATGTTGCCCTGCTTTTTATCTGTGTTATTGATAATCTGTTTCCATAGTTTGTTTGAGGAGATGGAGCCAGAGAGCAGGGAGAGGGGGCTGGAGCCAGCTGACTGGATGGTCAAGCCTGGTGAGCAGTTTGCCCTCTTCTTGTGTCAATTCCAAAAGGCAGGGTTTGGAAATAAAGTCAACAAAGAGCTTTTCTTCATCTGCACATAAACAGCCATTCAGCAGTGTTTGGAGAGAGTTGGGCAATGCTGAAGGGAGTTGGGTCAGTTGAAAAGTCAACTTTGGCTTTTAAATCTCTGAAGCCGGCCTTGGTTTCCACGTTTCTAGCAGCACACCTACAGCTCACATCAAAAAAGAAATGCTCCAGGCTTCTGTGTTCCCTCCCTACCCCCATCCACCCACCATGGAATTACCACGGGCATCAGAGAATGTTCTGGAACACTCTGCCTTCTCCCCTGACACTGAGTGTCTGTCATCGCTGCACAAACCGTCACCAAGCAACCTCCTTTTGGTGGCCTCAGAGTTCTTGCTCAAGGACAACTGCTCTCGAGCTTAAGCCAATTCAGAGCTGACTGGAATCACACATGTAGCAATAAAAGTGGCCAAATGCCATGAGTAGGCATAGCAACCATTTACTCAGAGAATTT